GCGTATTTTAACCAACATTTGGACTTGTCCCGGGGATTTTTGCTCACCGATGCCGAAAAGGCTACCATCGATTCCTTAAAATTCGCTGGATGGTCGAATCGAAAGATTTCTTCACACCTGAAGCGGTCGAAAACTTGCATTATTAATTTTGTCAACAAGATCGACAAAAACCAGCACCCAAAAAATCCCGGATCGAAGGCGAAACTGAATTCCCGAGACCGAAGATCGATCATCCGAGTAGCATCCAACACGATGAAGTCATGCAACGACATCAAAAACGAGCGGAATCTTGATGTTAGTAAGACGACGACTTGGAGGACACTTAATGATGATCCCAACATCATCCGGGCAGTTACGCGTCCAGCTCCGAGCCTCCAGGACCATCACAAGTTGCGTCGTCTCGCATTTGCTCGAGTCAACATGGCTATTGATTGGACAAAGGTAACTTTTTAACCAAATTTTTCTTAAAAAACAATACGATTATCATTAGATCATTTTCTCGGATGAGAAAAAGTTCAACCTAGATGATCCCGATGGAAATAAGTGTTATTGGCACGATTTACGGAAGGAAACCCCAATTTTTTCAAAGCGGGACATTGGTGGGGAGAATCTCATGGTCTGGAGAGCATTCTCTTCGGCGGGATTTCTCAAGCTAGCGGTTGTCCACTGTCGGATAATCTCGCTGGACTATCAGCGAGGGTTAGAGGACCATCTATTACCATTTTGATGACGATTTCGGCGAAGAAAGTTCGTATTCCAACAGGCAATGCCTCAATTCATGCAAGTCGATCCATTTTGGATCGGCTCAGCAAAGCAAATATCGACGTTTTGAGGTGGCCAGCGTGCTCACCAGACTTAAATTCGATGAAGAATGGTTAGGGAGAGCTGGTTAGCAGCTTTTATCGTCATGGCAAGCAATATCGACCCATTGATAAATTGAAAACGGCGATTGCCGACGAGTGGGATCTATTGGAGCAGAAACTCAACACCAAGACCACCCAAAATATGGAAAACCTGGTTCAATCGATGCCAAATCGTATTTACGACCTTATTTCTTTGAAAGAAACCGCACCTAAATAATAATCTGGCTTTATAATAGAGTTTTTACTGCGTTCACGGGGGTGGCTTTATAAATGTGAAACGGTTGCAAGTGACCAATTTTCAGTTTTTTCAATGTCACTCGGCCAATTTTTCAGATATCATAATGAAAATCGGTAGATATACGTATTTTTTAGTACTGAATTCAATTTTGAAAACAGAATTAAAAAATTTTCACAATTGACAAAGTTACACCCAAAAACAGGGGTGGCTTTATAAATGTGAAACGCACTGTACTTTAAACGAAATTTTCGATTGTGTGCAAACGATAAATTATTAAAGGTAATGAATTTTCAAAAATCAATTGATCATGTTGATTGATCAATCAATTGATCAATTAAAAAATATTGGTGAGAACACCGTAATAAAATTATATAAAAAATGCGTTCGAAATGAAAATGCAAATGAGTACTGTAATACAATGTTTAAAAATTAAGAAATCGATTATTATGCCAAACCAAATAATGCGGACTAGGTAATAAAATGACGGCCACCTCCACCCTGAAAAAAAAAACATAATTAATTTGTTTCGTACAGTTGAATTTATCTTGACCGCAAAAACTGGCTTTCCCACGTGATTCCAACGTACCAACATTATATTGTTCAAATCAAACGGATCCTGAACTACTTTCAAATGCCACAAATTTTTCAGGAACTCACCCCACCCTTTTTTGTTTTTAAGGAAAATAACTCTAATTTGTGACAAATTTTTGTCATATAGTTGTTTGAACGAATTTAAGCAAATAAATCTATGTAAATTTCTGTAAAATCGTTTTCAGATTTCATACAACTTTTGTAGTTAATTACTTAACGTTTATTGAAAATTTCCAAGATTGATTTTTTAAAATATAAAATGACTGATAGTCAAGCTTTTGCACTCAATCACGGTTTTTGTTAAATCACGGCTCAATCAAGTAGAGCTCTAACAATCTGCGCACTAAGTGACTGAAAATTAAAGGTCTCATTGTCAGTAGTATGCAAGAAAAAAAGTAGGAAATATTTTCATGCGCTTTATTTCAAAATGATCTGCTCAACTGCTTTCTTTCTAATTGTGCTCTCGCTCTCATCTTTAGCCTTTTCAATAACTGTGGGGACTCCTGACGGATCTTTTGAAGTGTCGAGAATCAATATTATCATACAACGCATGGCTATTCGGTTTGATTCGTGAGTATTCAATCACGCATAATTCTATTTTAGTTGGCATGCCAAAACCAATTCAAAAGCATTACTTTCCAGGAAATCCCAGAAATTTGCATGTCGCTCTTATGTGAATATGAATGCGAACCACCGAAAACTACTGCCGCACAAATGCCGAAATAAAATCGCGACTCCTCAGTTGAAATACCTCCAGTTCAATACCTGACCAATTTTTTTGAAATAAGTGAATTTAAATATAATTCTTTTAGTACCGAATAATACCTTAATTGCGTTCAATAGTGAAAAAATAAAGAAATACGCTGTATATACATATGCTGATTAATGTGTATTTATAAAAAAATGTTCCACTGGATGATTTAATAAATTCCACATATGGGGACCTACTAACTTGACGTTTGATTTGATGAGACGAATAGATTTGGAAAAAAAAAACAATTTATTAACTTTATAATTAAAATGGAGAAATATTGGCATTCTGAAGAAGAATGATTTTCTGTAATTGAAGAGCATGAAGTGATGAATTTTTGCACAAATCGACTGTTTCAAATTTTGTACCAGCTTTCGTTCGCTATCATTGAAAATTTTAAACAATTCGACGTACAATGTCATCATTTCCCAATATATATTTCGAAAACGTTTTTTGCTATTTTGCTAACTGCCACCCTAAACACTTCTCGTCAGGGTATATGCAACGATTTTGGGGGTTACTCTATTCATTTCCCACACTATTTTCGATTCTTTTTCCACTTCGTCACAACCACAGCACTATTTCCTCAATGGCTGTGTGATTTTGAGAAATATCGCATGAGAATTTTTGGTGACAAAAAAAGAGCACGTTATGACGAGGAAGGCAAAATTCATTGCATCAAAACTGAAAAATCGTAGAAGAAAATATAAATATCAGAAGATTTTAAATCAAGAAAAAATTATTTGAAACAAAAATTATAAGAAGAAATCGTCAAACTTGAGTTGTAGAGATGATCTAGTACTCCATCTGTTCTGTCCCATTTCTTTCCATATAACACTTTTCATCGCATTGATTATTTCTATAACATATAAATACTTCAAGAACTAAGACGGTTTGTCGTACTCTGTTCTAGTCTTGTCAAACGACAGTGTTCGCGCAATTTTTGCCCTGTTGTCATTTATATCACTATCCGCCTCCGCTTAAAAGTTTTTGTATTGATATATTATTCGAAAATCTGCCTACCTGGGCGTTTCAAGCTTTTCGTTTTAGAGTTTTCAAACCATTCTGTCCAATTATTTGCAGAAGCAACAGAAAATTTGTTCGTTTTCGAGCAATCCACTCTCGAACATGTTTCTACATCGTATGATGAACATCCTGGATTACAATCGCCGTGTTTATAAATTTCAGACGTATGAGATTTTCTAAACAAAAATTGCAGAAAAATATGAAACGCAAATTGCTTAGAAGCAACTTACGGATTTAAACTGTTTTCATGATTTTTTGCATCGTTCAAAGCCACTGAAATTACTTATGCTAATTCTCAAAAAATTAATTTAAAAAACCAATTTTCAAAGAATATTGTTTTTTTAAAATTTCTATTATAAATTTGTTTGCAAAATTAATCTTAAAATACGTTAGTTCCTTTTTTCATTAAAATATTATTCCTTCCTTTTAAAAACTTTTTTACCTATCGCATTTTGAGTGTCTTCGTGAAAATCGAATAGCTCCATTTCGCATCCTTCCTAAATAAAAAAAAAATAAATTATTCTGACAACCCTCTCACCGAAGCTCCGCATTTTTCTGAACGAAATGATAAAAAATCTTTTTTCATAACAAAGTACAAACTGCGTTAAATCTAAAACAAAAAATGTTGATGTGAAAGGAAAAACGAAAAACACATACGAAAAAGTATAAAGCGAAAAATCAATTGAGAATGCTCGCTTGAATAATAACGTGTAGAGAAGGCGACGCCTGAAAAAAAATTGATCAGAAATATTTGTCATATTTTCATTCCATGCAAATGAGCTAAAATATAAATGAACAGCAAATAGATTAAAAAATGAGCGGAATGTAAAAATAAATAATCTAAAAAAAAAGTCGAAAAAAATGACAAATGGTATAGGAAACTGCCATCGAAAATATGTTTATATTATAAAAGAATAATGAAAACACGAAAAGATGAGAGTATATGATTTGGCATATTCGTAGATATTTAATTAATTCTCACCTAGTATACACATTTATACTTAAAATAAGAAATTGTTTAGAAGGGACAATGAAGTATAATCTTCGTTTGAACAGCCAAGGTTCGAGAACTTTCTCATCAAGCTAACTGATACGCTTTCACTAAATCCGTACAGATGAGCTTTAAATAGTATTACATGGCTTCAATGTTATTTGGTTCACCACAAAATACATAATCCGGCCGCATTAGTTGTATTCATGAATCTAATGTTTTCATGCTAAACCTTCGAAATGCCAAGCGTACGCATAATTAATAAAATTATTTGAGAGCAAAATAATGAGTGAAGAAAATGAAAATTGAAAAAAATAATTTATCTGACAAAAAAAAATAATTTATATTTTACAAAGTGAAGGAATAATGCGATATAACCGTAGAAATGGAGATCAATGCTGGCAACATACAGGTTATCAAATAGACTTTGCCAATTTCAACCAAGTCCTCGCTGAAAATTTAAGAAAATAACTCAGAAATTGCAAGAAAAAATAAATGAATTTCTTACCGCCGCTTGTGATATCTTTATTCTTGATTTGCCTAGTTGTGCGATAAGGCTTCCCGACGAATGAGTGTTTGAAGAAGCTCCATAATGATAAAAGTTCGCTCCTCGTCCGAAATCCATATACCGCCAATGTCCCATTGAGGAAGTGGTCCAAATTTTACGATGGCTGTGATTAGGAGAGCGTTTTCTGGGATTGGAGCCTTAAAAGCGCTTATCACAAATGATTTCTTCAATTTTCTTACATCCGTTCCCAAACACTTTATTTGGGCTGCGATCTCTTTAATATCATTAATGAGATCATATATGGACCTCATAGCTTTCAGAGCCTTGACTGCCACTTGTTGAAGCGGAATAATATCCGTAAGCAAATTTTCAGGCTCTTTTTCGGCCACTTGTAGAACACTAATCATTCTTCTTAGTGTTTGGACTTTTTTGTCCATTTCTTCTTCAAATTTTTGAGCAATGAAGCCTGTCGTGCATTTGTGAAGACGTCTTGGTTGAAGACGAAGCACGACGTGGGCTTTCGAGCTGTGCTGAAAGAAAGAATAATTAGTCTATTTATGTTATCAATATCACTTTCTGATTTTGGAAGGTCTGTTTGGAGTTTTGTAAAATCTGAAAACTTGAAACATTTCAGTTCAGTCGTCATTTATTCGGCACAGTAATTGGATTAAAGCTTGAGTTTATTTCTATATTATTCGATAGGATTATAGAATAGGATTCACTTAAATTAGTAGCTTTAGTGGTTTTCTTTTACACATCCAAATATATATTATTCATCGTTTTCTTTAGTATCGCATGTTTTACCTTCAGCGAGACGATTTATTTTTATAATTAATACCTTTAGCAATTTTGTAATAATTATTGAATAAAATGAAAACGAACGTATATTTGCTCCATATCATACGGATACGGATTTGTGAGGCGTAGACCATTCCACGCCTTGTCGAACTCCGACGGTGTTTTCAGCAGCCGTCTGATTTTTCCCTATTAAAGCATTCTCTCATCAGATTTAAGTGTTTTGTTGCTTTACCCTTCCAATTGCTTTGAACTCCTCGATGTCGTCGTATTGGTCCCCATCATCGCTTGTTGCGAGCTGCCCGCTTGAGATATCCACTGATAAATTTTTTAAAAAATTCAGCTTAAAATTTGATTAAATTTTTTTAAAGATTTATAATTGTAATCTTACTCTGCTAGCGCTGGATTTATCCATTTGCTTGTTATGGGCGGACATAGTAAAAGCTTAAAATTTTTGATTTTAAAATAAAATAACTGGTGTCTTGTATGAAATTGCGAATTAATGGGGAAATGTAAGGTATTAATATGTGCGCGTGTAAAGGCGTGGTTGAAATAGAAAAGAGTAGTTGCGACAACGTGACCGCAATTAAAATTGCGAACGAGAGCCTCGTAGAAATTTTGCATCTACGTTCTGCAGTAATAAGCTTAATAAATTTCAAAAGCATGAGAAATCATTTTCTACATATAATGAAGTATAACAAAAGAATTATTATTTGTTAGGGTACAAGAACTTGCAGAAATCGTGAGAGAATGAATAATTTAGAACTATTAAAAAACGAATGAAATGAAACAGTATATAGTGGTAGGCAATAGCTATATATTAAAACAAAAACGAAATGTTTATGAGGCATAAGATCTGTACAGAATGTAGGGTAGTGTTGTGATGCGACCACTACACATCTGGCTTTCATGCAAAATAAGTGGAGGAGAGCAGTTGCATATGACGACGGGTAGTAATATGCGAAGGGTTCTCATTATCGGGCCCGAAAGGTCAAACCGAACGGCACCTGCTTGCGACGAGAGATAAATGAAAAGAATAGTAGAGCACAACCGCGCCTTTTACAAATTGACAGGAAGAGGAATATGTAATGCCGAGGACACTCAATTTCTGCCAATTTATGAAAGGAAGTGAGCATTGAAAACTTGCGAAAAGAGCATTGAAAACAATTAAACACTCTATAATTTTGTAGAATATCAAAATTCACAGACACAAGGGGTAATTTTACAAAACAAGATTTCCACGAATAAATTATAAAATGAAAGGATAAAAATAATTGATATGAACATATAATCCTGCATGGGAAAGACGGTGTTTAATTCTAAAAACATCCGGATTTCTCATTTCAATTTTGACTTCTCAAACTTTTGCTCTTCATTTCTTCTTTCCAGATTATATGGAAACTTTTCAAATAATTTTTTTTTTCAAATAAAATCATCTTGAAAATGAAGCGTAAAAAATGAAAGGAATAAACCTTTTTATCAATTTTAAGGGAAAGGCAATTGCGAACATCTCTGCACGTTTCCCTTAATTACTACCAAATGCATGCGATTGTTTCCATGTGTATTTGTAGAGAATTAAATAGGCGGATTAGGGGGAATTGAATTCATTTCATCAATTTGAAAGTTTTAGTTTATATTATAGCAAAAAAATACTTCCGACATGTTATTATACTTTTCAATTCTCACGTCTACTTTTCATTTATTCTCCTTAATGTAGACGTTATTGTTTTCAAAAAAATTCAAGAACGGTAAAATTTGTTTGCAGAAAATATCAGCGAGTTCGAGAATGTCATTTATTTCACATTCTTATGTAAGTAACCAATTAATCCCAAACAACTATAATTATTCAGAGCATTTTGGAACACACGAAAAATCGCATTGAATTTTTGCGCAGTTTATTTGTAAGCATAACTAGTCGAAGAAAAATGTCAGTATAAAATTCACATTTAGGTAGTTTTCAACGACTATTGTACACAGGAAGATCGCGCAGAGCTGGATTTGTATCAAAACGTATTGAATGCTGCAATCACGTCTCATCTCAATTGTTTTGAAACGGAACATCAAAGTATTTTTGAGGTATTTCATTGTGAATGTTCAAATTTCATTTTTGTTCATTTAGATTTATCTTCTATCTACGATGAATCTTTTGAATATTTTAGAGAGATTTATCAGAAGAAAATATGGAATTTCCCTACCAGTTCTCATAATGAACTGAATCCTTATAATTACCTTTTTTATTTAATTGTTTTTTATTAACTGCTTGTAATCCCGGGTATGAATTATAAGGTATTATTTTTAAAAGTTAGATGTGCAGTTATAAACCAAAAAACATCTTCAAAAGTCTTAGTCTTTATTGAATTTTTATTAGAATTTATGTAGCCAATTACCACTCCTATTGATTGAATCAAAATTCAAATGCCCAATCTTGGTCTCTTAATAGATTATTTTCTAATTAGCCGATTTTGCATCATGCCATTTACTATTCCATCTGTTTTTTTCCATTGCAACATAGACATTCCAATCACTTATTTTATCAAATTTGCACAGCAAATTCTCCCAATTGCCATGCGAACTTTCATCGATAGGAAACTGATATCATGCAAAGATAACGAATTAGTTTGCCTATTGCTAGATTGATTGCTTCAGTTTAATTAAATTGTTAGCCTAATTTTAATTGATTTTACATTTTGTTTATGTCAAATGATTTCTGTTTCTAACAAATGTATTTTTTCACAATCCTTTAATTTCATTATATTTCTTACAGAGCACGCGATTTTTACTCTACTTCCAATTTCCGACAGTTGAAAATCTTACTTAATTATTTTTCTAAATAAATAATTCTATTTGGTATATTTGCCTATAATCTAGAAAGTACTGCAGTCCTTTTTTAATAGAAAATAAAATTTCTTTTAAATAACAAATATTGAGCAATTCGTTTTTGCACAGCTGCTGCAGCCTCTTGAAGAAGATATTGTAAGTTTAAAGATATAGCCTTGATCAAACATTTTTTCGGTTTCATCACTAAAAATTTTTCAATAATTGAAGAACATCAGAGTTAATATGCTATAGAAAAATATTCAAAAGTAATATGAAAGACGCTTAGGCTTACCGAAAACTTTCTCAAAGTAAAACTTTATTTTTGGAAAATCATTTGACTTATGATTATGCATAAAGTTAAAGTGCATTTGTGCAAAAGAGGCACTGATAGAATTATTAATTATAACACGTTGAACGCGAAAACGAATTTATATTTGCACTGTGATGAGAGAAGTATAAAATTAATTCAGAAATATTCAGAAAATGAAGGATGTGTTGTTATACGAGCTTGATCGAATACATGAAACTGCTGTACGTTAAAAATAAACTTATTCACATCAATCAGATTTGTATTTTAGGTCGCAATATCTTATCGCGCAAATTTGCCACCAGATGATTTCTTGCGGGAGATTTTCAATTCCATTGCCGCAACAAAACAAAATTTGGAAAATTTGTCATTTCTGGGAAATCATTTCGAATATCATGTTTGTGTTCAGCATTGTGTTTCCAAACAGAAATTGCAAATTTTCAGCAGCAAATTAACGAGTTTGAGTCAAACATAAAATGTCTTGAACAAGATATTCAAAATTACTACAATCTTGATGATGTTGTGGAACTTCCCGATATTGTAGAAAATGAAGATCATAGAGTTGAAAATCAAGAGGACGACTCTATTGAGGAGGAAGAGGAACAAAACGAGGCAGATGAACATGAAGAACAAGCAGACACCGAAGATGAGCTGCCTATTCTTTAATTATCATCTTAGCAAATGTTTCCTATAATTTTGTCACTATTTCATAATCCTTCTACTTCAAATGTTTAATGAAAAAAATATTTTTGATGAAAATGATTAAAAAAAGAATTGGTTAGGAATTAGTGCAAGATTCAAAAGACGAATATCCGGGTTTTTTAAATTCATAACTTGAGTGTTAAATACACCAATAAAACTCAAAATTTTCCAAAATAATGAAAAAGATGTTTAAATTTCGGTCAAAATTGCGGTTCTTAGCACGCTGAAACATCTGAAAATACCATGTCACAAAAGTCACAGAAAAAAAACGCTCCAATCTCATTTGAATATTTTTACATCGATTTTTCCTTCTAAAAGTCTAAAGTTTTCTAGAGTAGTCTCTAAAATAAAGTTCTGAAGGTGGAGCGACTTTTCCTTGCAGTAAACCCGAGAAAGGAGTTCAATTCAAAAAGCAATACCGCAAGTTTTAAATACAATAATTTAAGAATTTAAATAGCACTGGAAGAAACATAATAATTGATCACTACATTAAAATTAGATTTGTGGAATATTTGGGTTCCAAAACTGTTGTAATAGAAAATTGATATATTTCATCAAAAATGCCCTCATCAGAAAGCAAGGAAAAAATGTCTCGTTTGAAATAAGATTTTCAATAATTTTTGTTGAATATCGAAGTTCGGATCAAGGGTATCTAAGGCGTTATTGATTCAAGTATGAATTCTTTGTGAGGCCATATCTTAGATACAGGCCGTTTCGATATTCGTTCCCTTATAAACTGGATATGAACTAGAATATTCGTGTGAACTATCCTATATACATTAATAGATTGCTTTCAAAAAATTTTTTATAAAGGCACATTTCAAAGTGATTGAATTTCATAATAGTAGTATACATAATTTTTTATCTTAATGTGTAAAAGTTTGTTTATATTCCCATCATATTCACAGAATAAATTTTTTAAAGATTTTTGCTCTTGTAATACTTTGCTTACTCACATTTACAAAAAAAATATATATATATATATATAACGAATTATAATTTCTAATCGCTGACATAATAATGCAGATTTTCCATTAATGAAAGATTTGTCGAGGTTTGTGCATAAACGAAAAAAAGTATTTTTTTAAAAAGATCTTAATGCTTTCACTCGTTCGCCATCATAAAATAATTGAATACAAAGAATCTCTTCGTCGAACAGATTCCTTATCAAATCGTCGGGCGTCTTTGAGACCGTCGAATGTAATCAACCTCCATTGTGAATGGTATTCACAGCCATCGGCGAAAAAAAAAACTCGAGAAGTGATTGATTGGTCGTCTGTCTTATTGATACTCTACACACTTTTCTTTTTATTTTTGGGCGTACCGCATTCGAGGGTATTCTTATAAACGTTCACTCTCAAATGTTCTTCTTTTGAAACTGATTTCTTCTCCTAAATACTTCAAATTCTTTCTGATAGGCTGAAACATTCAAAGACCAAACATATCGATATGATTTCCTGTTCAAAATTTTATTTCAATTTTCTTTTCATTATTTACTTTAAAGTTTATAATTCGGTCCTTATTTTAGCGTTTTAATTCAAATGGAGAAAAAACTAATAGTGCGAATGGCTACGGACAGCTATGATGAGATGTTCAATTGCAACCAAGTAAGTATAATTCAATTGAAAAATTTAATTATTTCTAATTACTAGCTCTATGAAGAAGTAATTGGATGTCAGATTCGCATTTTGAAGGCAAAGCTGGTTTGACTCGAGTAATAATTTAGTTTACCACTAATCCATGCTTGCAGGAATGGCTAACCACTGATCCGTTAAAGGTCGCTTGCGACGCTTCAACGATCGATGAAATTAATGAGCCCATCAAAGGGATTATGCAAATTGTAAGCGAACTGATACGGTCTGGAAACGAGGAGCGAAAACAGGTTTAAATAATTTCAATTAGGGTTTATTTTTAATAGCGAGACATGCTTTGGAATTTTCTCTTACAAAATTGATATTAATAGGATCGTCTCATTGATCTCTACAATCAAACGATTGGCGTCGAAGAAGAATTTGATCGCAAATTTAATGAAGATATTTTGAAAGGTTCTTTTTGAAGCTTGGACTTCTACGCATTATTTGCTTCAGGCTCTTTAACCAAGCCGACCATTATACAAGTTATATCAGAGCCAAACGGCAAAAAAGAACTTATTCGAAAAAATGTTAAGGCAAGATTTACTTTATGCATACTCAATTATTTGTTGATTTTAGCTTTATAAGGAAATTATTGGAAGTCGTATTCATTTTCTGTATTCCAAAATGGTTAGAGCACACATTTTTATAAAAAATGCAAGTTGAGATGTTTCAGGAATATGTCCAAAAAAGCTACAAGTTTTTCCATTACAATATTGAGGACTATATTCAAATCTGTGATCGCATTAGCAAAGCAAATACATATCTCCAAAACGAAACCAATACATGCAATTGTCAGGTATGTTAGTCATTAAGAAGAATTCTATCCATCCATTTTAATTAAACTTCCAATGTTAAAAACTTGCGAATTAGATAAGGTCGTATTTACGCTATGAATAAGCACTTTTAATCAGCAAAGCAATAAAACATTTCGTCTTATCTTTTAAATTTATAAAATTTTATTTCCAGGACAAGCTTCGTGCACTCAACGATAGTGTGACTGCTCTTGAAGACGATATTACCAGCATATTCTACCATGACTTTTTGTAACATGCAAATATTATTTTTTATCAACCGACTTGACACATTTCAACATACTTTCGACCTGTTATCTCTGTATTTTTAAAAATGTATGCTAGTAATGATGGTTTGACAAAGTATGAAAAGAGATTTCTAGATGATCACGACTCACAGTGTATCCCAATACTCCAAATTAGCACAGTTATTAATAACCGGTTTTGAGTGTGCAACAAAACAACGAAATTTCTGAGAGGCCAAGCAAAAAAATTGAAATAGACTAAGAGGAATGTAGAAAAACAAATTTCCATTGTCCAATATTGCCTGGTTCAAAAATGCAAAGGTTTCCTTGAACATGTATACACGATTGAATGAGAGCTCGATATTCATTTCAAATAAATCAATCGAGTAACATACTAAACCACCAAATATGTAATAATAAAAAATCAAGATAATAATTAGAATCTCAAAAACGAGAGTCTTGCATCATCAAATTCGATGAAAAGGTTGGTAAACTTGAGAAGAGTTGTCAAATAAACTTGCATCTCCGTGAATAATTCGCGGTAGTCTCGATGACCGACAACATCAAATTCACATGAAGAAATGTTGACAACTCTGCTTGGCTCCGTAAGCTTTTTCATGTTCGTCGGAAGAAGATCCTGAAACCAGTAATTTTACTAATGAACATAATTCAATATTGTTACGTCTAAATCGTAAGTTCTCAACTGTTTAATCAACTCTCTAATTAGGTCAATAAGCCGTCCAACAACTCTTAATTGCTCCATGACTAATTCGCATATAGTAATCAAATCACATGTAATAAGAAATAGAACTGCAGGATCGTTTAGTTCACATGCATATTGAAAAATATCAACCATGCGAAGAATCTCAATTTGATAACTTCGCAAGTAGCGAACTTCCATGTGAATTTGAAACTTGAACAAATCTGTATATTCTTTGATGGTCATGAGGTTGAACCACGATGGACACACGTGGAGAAGGCACGCAGCTTCCCATTCGAATTCTTTCTAAAAAAAAAATAAATGTTTCACTACCATAATCATAATTAATTACCAAATATGATCCATCACAATTTTCCTCAGTCTTCTTCTTACTGGAACTTCCAATATTAACTCCCTTACTCGTTCTCCCGTTGGCGTACGAATCAACAGATTTTCCGTTAACACAAGTCATACTGACCAATTCTTTGGCAAATGGCTCAGCTGCCACATTTCCCTTTGAGGCTTTTTCTATTGCTCCTTTTTCACTAATTTCATCCTTGGCTGCTTTCACGTTTGTTTCAAACTTTTTTTCGTTAGTTTCTCTCTTATTTGTTTCAGAAGTTTTGCGTTTAGCTGATTGGTTCATCTTTAAAAATATATTTATAATACAAATAATCTGAAACACTTACAGTTTTTGTTGCATTGTCAAACTGATATTTTTTGGATTCGTTGCGATTTGCGCTCTCAATGTTTCGAATTTTTGCTTCCTAAACAGTAATATAAGTTATAAAAAATCTAAGTAGTATTCTTACCAAGTTTCTGATTGCTTCATCAATTTTGGATGGACTAATTGACATTGTGAAGTAAATAAAGTATTAGCAAACGGAAGACGAGTAAAACTGAAATCAATACTCAGTTCAATAAAAGACCGAGTGAGCATGCAGGATGAGACATCAAATATTGAAAGATTAAAAGCAACATAATGCGCAGGCAGCACCTTTGTTTCAGCAGCACGCGGGCTCAGAAAATCGGCTAATGCCTCCAGTTTTTGCGTACTAACTCTCAATAATGTGCCATTTGCCCTTTTGTGTGCATACTCTCGTTTCTTACACAGATACTCATGGTGCCTTTTATATGTTAACAAGTATGTGTTTGAATGTGTTAACTATAAATCTTCATACTCATATAATAGTGCAACGATTTGGAGTTGTTGTGTGTACATTGAAAATTAAAATTTCACAATTGAAATATTATAAAGGCCAATCAAAGAATCAACATATTTAACGAAAACGTAATTACTATGTTTTGAGATATGAAAATGTTAGTTGTATACTGTAATTGTTTTTAAGTAACTATTTTATGAGCTCGAACGTAATTCCAAAAATCGCTTCTGGAAAGATAATTTAGATAAATATCACTAGGTAATCTAATCTATATTTAGTAAAGTCATGAAAATTTGGAAATATATCTAACATCTGAAAAACTGTTGACATTATCAGCTACTGGCAACGCTTAAGACGAGAGTCTAACATATGACAAAGCGCGAAATAAAATGAGTTGATTGGTGGCTATTCGCTAATCTTTATTTCGCGCGTCCACCACCTAACAGGTCAATTTGTACTTCCGGGCCCATTTGACGCTCATGTGATATTATATGTACTTTGTTTATCGCAGGAAAAGTTGTTCAATGCAAATCTTTTATTCTGTTCAACAAATTGCAATTCGTAATCTCACAATTCATTTCAGGTGGAAATAAAATGTGATTTTAAAATTTCGCTAATATATTTACAGATGAGGAGAAAAGGTTACGAATATTGGCGTACTAAGGAAAAGAAAGAAATATAAATGTTTTATATGACATGAGTCAGTGAATATTGAATGCAAGTTAATCCAAACGCAACGTACTTCTAAAAGTATTAATGAAAAAAACACTGTATGAAAAAAAAGTCATCGACAAATTTCAGAGAGGCTAGAAAAAAGAGAATAATAGCGAAATTGTCTAGAGTAAATGGACAAATGATGAAAAAGAGGATATCATTGAAAAAGGGAAAATCATAAATGAGGCCAATTTGAAAACTTGAAGAGTTCCAAATTTTTATTCGTATTTTTTTAAATATAACAATTCGTTATGGAGAATGTCGTTTTTTCTTTTAGCCTAAAAACATTAGAAAGTTATTTTGCTTTGAAAAAAGTCGTATTCTTTCTATCTCTCTCTGTGTGGTTGATCGTAAATGTGGTGCTCGTCTTGCAACACTTTTTATAATTCTATTTGAGCAATTGTAATTCTATTTTAATGCCTATTATTTGAATGACGGAAATCGTTTTTTTTTTGCTGTCTCCTTTTTTTAAATATGGGAATGTATTTACTTCAAACCTTTCATTTCTTTCGAAGCTTTGTTGTAAAGGCGGCCGACTCGCCATTCTTCGTCATTTTACGTATTCATCTCTCTGAAAAAAATCGAGAGCGTTGGTAGTATAATGCACACTCAAAGAATGCAATAGACAAATTTATTATTGCCCGATAAATTTTCAGATTTCGATACGGAGTTGTTCATTTCGAAATGTCTGATTTTGTTAGAAAGGAAAAAATGTAATTTCCAATTGGCTGAAAAAATTTCGCCAATTATTGTAGATCAACCGATTTTAATAAAAAATAATAATTTATCCATATTGTTATTTTGCATTAAATTTGTTATATTTCATTCATGGAAAAATTCAGTCATTTTTACATTTCCAAAAATTATAATTTTTCTATAAATTATCATTTACCTGAATTATTCGGAGAAGCAATTGATTACAATCACAATAAGGTGAACGTGAAGCACACAAACGCTGAGCGGCGAATCGAAAAATAGGAACTGCTACTTACATCGTACAAAAAAAAGAAGAAGTTCAAATATTGTATTGATAGCATTACATCAAATAAATAACTATGCTCTATGCTCTGTTGAAAAGAATGTGGAAGCTTGACCAACGATTTCCAGAATAATTTCGCGGTATTACTGTTTACACTTTTGTGAATAATATTTTGCATAACCAAATTGTATCAACATTAAAAAAAAACCATTTATTCTTAAAAGGGAAGAAGCATTGAGAAAAATGCCGAAATATTAAATGTTCTTGGGCGCCTCATCGCTGCCACATATTCAATTTTCAATCGATTCATTTCGGCGTTAAGGCAGTGCATTTTTGTAGTCATACTAGCAAGCTTCATGTAGTGAACCATACAAAAGATTGAAACCTGAAAACCGATTAAGCAAACAAATAAATAATTATCCAACCTCGGTAAAACGATGGCTATGCTGAGAACGAAAAGGGCACTTGCGGAGAAATTTTTTCAAAGAAAACAAATGGTAGCGAAATTTAGCCCAATAGTTTTTACACATCTTACAGTCATCGGAATATTTTTTCATGCGAGACTTAAAATTAAATATGCAATACGCTATATTGTAATATTATTTTGTTTACCATGCTTTTCCGCAGCTTTTTAATATTTTTAACTGTTTGAAGTTTGTGAGAATAGCAGCGATGCCTATACATTATATTTATTTAATAATGGAATGTAAAGTTTGACGAAATTTTATACTCAAACTGGGAAATTACCGGATAAAGGGCGTGGATACCGGAAATGAAATGAATTCAAAGTTATCAGAATTGTTGTGACGAAAGTTGGGCATAGTAGTGCTACGAATCACGGATACAAATGGGCATGGAAATAAATGAATGAGTAAACAAAATCAGTAAAATAAATATGATCAGGATTTAAAGACAGACGCTCAAAATTGGGAACAAAAACTCCATGAAAGATTTATATTTTCCAAAATTTTTATTTACGATCGAAATTTCACGTAAAGATTCCCGAAGCAGCTTTAATAGTCAATTGATAAAACGGTTACAATTTAAATTAAATTTCATTGAATGTCGAACTATGCAATAATATGTTTTAATTATAATATAAAGGTTTTTTTTTAACTTGAATTCTTTATATTTAAATTTGACCTAGTGATTAGAAATAATATTTTGCATAGAAGTGGCCTTAGATAGTATGCATATTTTTAATAAACCAATTTGGTTCTATCTTTTTAAGAATGCTACTTACTCTTTGATTGTATACGTGTTTTATCAATTCTACATATAATCTGCATTTATAATAAAACTATTTATTTTTTGCATCAAACTCTCCAGGGTAAGTGAAATCAACCTTTAAAAAATGTCATCCGAGAGATTTTCAGAAAACGCAATGCAGTTCATATATTAGAGATTGTTCCAATTTTTCTTATCTTCAATAACCGGTGAAATGCATTTAGTCTATACGTTTCACCGTGTTCGTCAGCAGTTGGAGAGAGTATGGGAAACAAAGAAAGCGCATCTGCCGCCGCTCATCCTTCAACGAGCTATTTGATATTTAGCTGAAAATTGACATAAACTGATTGATATGAAACAAAATTAAGTCAAATAGTTTTATTTAGTGTCCCTTTCAATGTTTGCACCGATAAATTATTGTTTAACGCAGAAATTTAGAAGAAAATTCAAAATTACTCATTTTTTGAAGCAAACTGTTGAAATCCGCACAATTTCAGCAGTTGCTTTGTTTTGAATCAAAATTCCCGTCTCAAATTCTAATCTCGACTGTCATGAGTTCTTATTATAATTTAAATTATAATTATAGCGCTTTAATTATTCAACGCTCTAGTAGAATATTCAGTTTCCGGTTCTAACCAGAATTGCTCAAATTCTGAAAATTATTTATTCTATTATCGTTCACAGCAAGGTTGGTTATCCGTTTTAATCCTTCTTCTGACACATCATCCTCTGAAGTCATAAATTCCCTGCCGCTGCTGCCACATGATTTTGCCGATGCGAGAGAACGTGTGCGCTTTAGAGAACACAGAAGAATGTATGTGCAGTTCGGGCTGCCGACCCAACGACGCCATTTTTTTGTCTGATAAACAAAACGCGATAAATGAGTGCAACACGGAATCAAGATGAAATAAATGGATGGAAGTGAAGATAATATAAATTTTATATAAGCAAAACTTCATTAAATAATAATTTTCAATATAAAAATGAAGAATTTCCCATAGAGAACATAAAAAAATCTGTTTGTTTTTTCTTTAATATTTCAACAAAATTGAACTTTTTTCAGGATTCGCTTTGCTTCTTTTTTTATACCATAATGGGTCCAAAATATTTTTTGATTGAACTTAATTACTTAGTAAAAGCTATTTTCTCGTTTTTCTTAAAATCAACTGTGTTAAATATTTCCACGACTGCTCATTCGCATTCCACTCGCTGAAATGAATCATTTTCTATTTGTAGGGTTTCATATAAATTAGTCTATGCTGATTTAGAAATCTTCCAGTCATTTTCCAATCGCTGCTTGGAGTCCTCACATCAGCGAGCGAAAGCAGTCCAGTGGGGGCGCTCTCTTCGTTTATAACACTATCTCGTCAACTGACGAAAATGTATCGGCGTAAGGAGGTGGTGTGAATGCGAATACTTCGGCAAACAAATAATAATAGACGCAACTCTATCTGAAATGACAAGTTCAACTTAATTTTTAAGAAAAAAATTGCAAATAAAAAATAATAATAATAAATTTAAAGAATAAAACAAATTCATGCTTTCTGATTCACAGTTCCTGTCAATTTTTGCAAATTTCTCTAAAATACTGCTGGAGAATAAAGTTTAAGACAATAATTATTAAAATTTTGTTGGCGAATTTTTTTTCGAAAAATTCAATGCAAAGAAGAACAATCTTTGATTCAGTGCTCATGTTTAATTAAATTTCCTGCAAAACGTGAATATTTGCTCACAGCGAAGGCTTCGTGGAATGAAAAAAAATTCACAAATACGCTCTCGCAATATTACTTTTTCAGTTTGAGAATTTCCCTGATATTTCCATTTGAAGTAGGTACTGAACAATTTACCTCTATTCTTGCGATTTTTATCATTGTATACTAGTCGTCTAGCCAAGGAAGATAAGAGTGGGTCGGAATTCTGATGTATAGAGAGTTTTCCATCTCGACTGTCAGCGACTTTCCCGATGATAATAGTTTAATTTCGGTTATAATGCAATATTCTTTATTCAAACAAATCACCAATCAATATGGAACTACAAATTTCAAAATATTCAAATCTGAAGCTTGAATGACTGTTCTTCCTGTCAAGGCCGTCAATAATATTCCCCATTTGTAGTGTGGGGATTTAAAATGAATTAGTAGACACTCGGGATCATTTCGTTCACAGGAAATTGGATTTCCCGCGCAGCTTCAACCGTTGTGATGACGATGATGCACAAAATAAAAACAAATCCGCTTGGATTGCTACAAGCATTTCAATCATAATGATACGTTTTCTTAATGATTGCATGAAGGAATAAGGGTAACATGAAGGATGGAATAATTTTAACTTAGCTGCGCATATAAAAATTTAGTTAGAAGCAACGTCATCTTCAACAACAATTTCGATTTCTTCTTCTTCCTCTTCCAGCTGGTTTTGCTCTTGCATACTGGTCGATAATCGATCGACATCCGAGTCTACAGCATCCAAAAGTATCTTAGCAATATTTAAGCTTATCTGAAATTCCATCATTAATTTAGTTTGTTTGTACGAAATTCCTACCTCATATTCTGGATAACCAAACTTTACGCGCTCCATTAATGCGCATATCATGAAAAATTTCTGCGAAATTAAGTGAATTTGAAAGAAATTGCTTCCCATTTTTGCAAGTGCTGACTGAAAAAAACAACACATTTTATTTTTTGTTAAATTATTTCTGTTTATTTTTACAAATCTGTTCATGACATTTTTTTCTCGTTGTTCGATGGAACTAATAGTTTCCTGAAGAAAAACAACATGAATAAGTGACAGAAAAAAAAATCAAACCAAAGTTTTACGATCGTAGGTGATTGTAGGAATGCCTTCGACTGGGTTCTAAAACAAAACCCTGTATCTTACTAGACGTTTAAGATTTTACTTTGCTTGGGCCATTTGAACCAGTCATTTCCTTAATATTTAGATATTCGGGAATGCCGAATTGTGCACACAGAATGAGCAAATGTAAGCTGAATATGAGATAGCAGACACAAAAGGAAGAGTAGTTCGATGTTAATCGTGTCGTGAAATGAGAAGATTGAATTAAACTAAGCCGCATTTATATTGGTAAAAAATGAAAGCACGTTTTGCGTTAATGGTGTTATTTTGCTAATGGATTTTATGAAAAATATCTTATCAATAATAGTATGATAAAATAAATCGACAGCAGAAATATATTCACGATCAAATTAAGCTTGGAAAGAATTAATGAATCTGTTAAAAATGTTAAAATATGGGTATTCTCTAAAAAAAACATATTATTTTGGATTTAACATATTAAGTTCATGAAACCAATGGCAACAACTGAAATTCATCTATTATCAATTTAGGGCAACAAACAAGAGAATAATGAAAACACTAGACATAAAAGCTTTAATCGTTTTATCTGAAAGTTCATTAACTGCATTTAAAAATGACCACTTTTGTCATTTTTATTTCACATTTGTTATTGGCATTTTATTTGCTAATACAAAATTTTTGGATAATCAAAAACTGAATGAAATCTGCAGCAGCCATTCCCATATGATTAATTTTTTGAAACTTCAAATATGTAACAACCCTGTAGAATTTTGACAGATTTTGTTTAGGGTATATTTATTTAGCAACATTTATAATAACAAAATTATAATACAACGAAAAAATTAGAACGTGCAGTTGTACTTCTGTTGCATTTTACGCCGTACCTCATCAATAGTCATCGAGCTGGTGCACAAATAATTCTGAAAATTCGACATTTCTTAGATAGTCTCTTGTGTCAATTTTTCTTCTTTTCACTACTGTCTTCTACTTACACATTTGTCAAACTCCTCTTCCAGTTTGTTTGCATAAGATAATGTTTTTGCTGCTTTGCGTGTTTCGTCAAGCAATTCTTCTATGAACATCCATTCGTCTGGATATTTTTTGATGATTGAATGCTAAATTTTTTGTATTGGTATATTTTTTCCATTGGTATATTTTATTTTGAAGTACCTGTAAGTGAAGAAGACCGATAATTTGTCCTTTCAGTGTTTCGTAGGTCTCCTCCGGGGACATATATCTTAGTTTTGCATTAGATTGAACTAAAAATATCTCAGATTTTAAAAATATTGAAGTTAGAGTGTTTCTTATACGGGTATGTTTTCGACTATCAGATTGTATTGCATCATAGATTTTTAAAATAATATATAAATTATTCTTTTTTCAGTTCTCTAATGAATTTCTAATTTATATCTACAATTTTTTTTAATATAGAAGACCCACCAATAGGATTTACTAATGAATTGCCCGTTGTCGAAACCATTGCTGAGACCGTCAATTCGTTGAAACGATATTAACGTATCGATTAGTGGGTGCTAGTTGTCTCGTCGATCCAACACTCCTGCACAACCAGCGTATTTTCCGTTTTTCGTATAAATCTCTGCGTTCAAAGACTAGAATGCTATAAATCGCGTGTAGAAAAAAAATAAAAATATAAAAAAGATGAACGTCGTTATTAACACATATCAAACAAATTGTATGAGTTGAGACAACCATCAAAATTTAAAAAGAAACATATTTAGAAACGAATGTCTGCGTCGAAAATTGGAATGAATGGTGTCTGTAAATCACCATTTCGGTGTTTGCACCATATCGGTAGAGCACCATATGGATGTATCATCTTGGATGTGCATACATGTTTTTTTTAATATTCCAACATTGACTAAAAACAGTTGGACACCTGAAAAGATTTAAAGTAATTACTACAATAATGAAAATAGCTTCTGCAAAACCATTTACTTTGTTTCAAAGTTCTTTGTTCTAAGAAATCACTTGATCATGGCTATTACGTTTCGACACCATTTTGTAAATAAAAAAAAATATCCTCAACTCCATTTCATCCGAAAGTCTTAAGCAATGCGATCGTTCATTCAGTTCATATTATGAATAATTAAAAAACAATATGAAGGAAACGGTATTAAAATTTTTGAAAGATGAGAAGACAGAATATGATGTTATTAATTGTGAAAGTTTAGATATGGTATATCTTCGTTTTGTCATAACTTTCTTCTTGAGCCTCAATAGCCTCCAGAAGTCAAGATCACCTCCTCCACAATAGGACGAAGCGCATTGAGACGGGAATGAGCAGTTTCCAATGTTTTCTGCAATTAGTCGTATCTATTAAAATACGTTGTTCATTTCTCAAAAATTAAACCTTGCATCCTTGGTTGATAACAAAACTGCAAAGTTTGCAAATCTCGATGATTTCTTTCGAGATTTTGTAAACCTTATCAAGGTCCATCGGCTCTCTGTTGTCAGATAAAATTCTCTGCGAGGTTACAGTTTAGAAAATAGTTTCAAATTTTAGTTACCAAAATGCTTGTGTAGCGGTAGAGTTGTGAATGAATAGTGGCGATACTTTCAACTTCACTCATCGCTCTCTGAAGAATTCCATTGATTCATTTCTAATTGAAGCGTAATTACTATCATTTTGAAACAAACAAAATCAAAATATTTATCATTCTGAGAATGATAATCATTCCAAGCCATTGAAAATAAAGAGGTAGCTCTGTTTATTATTATGGAATGTGGTTGAAGATTTGTATTTACGCACAACAAATTAAACATTTTGTGTGTTGTTCTACAGTAGTAAGGCTAAAAAATTCACAAAAAACTATTCAAAGCAAGAGTAATATCATGAATAATTCATAAATCATTTACAAGTGTTCTGGTATACATTCTGGTATTATTATGGTATAAACGATTGCAATATGATATTTCAAAAATTTTTAATGATTTTTTAAATAGATTCTAAGAATTTTCTTTTTTTTTTTGAAACAAAAAAAACCTCAGGTAATCTTTAGTAGGGAATATACATACGTATATCAGTATACCCATTTCTATTTTACGTGTTGCTGCTCAACATATGAATTATTTTTTTTCTTACAGCTTATCAAAATTTCATTCAGGAAAAATCACATACTATCATTGCAAAAAAAACCAGAGCGGTCTGAGTATTTGTGGCCCATCGTAATTTTCGGGACGGTAAACCAAATATCGTATATAGAATAACCTAAGAATCAAACACATCGCAAATCTATACAAGCACACCCTGTTTGTTTTGAAGAACAAATATAAATCACACAGTTTGAGTGGAGCATTATAAATTTGTGACGTTCTAGAAAAGGAATCTGCAGTCTTTGTCTTTCAGTTGAATATTAATTAGAATTTGAAGAATATGATTTCCTGGTTAGCCCGAAATTCCAGAAAGAAAGAAATCAAAACATTGAAAACAAATACTCGTGTGGGATACACTAACAGCGTTGGCAGTTATATAATTCGAACATAATTATATGTTCTCCAATTATGACATTTTGGTAATTTCTCTTGACTAGTTGGCTCCTACTTCTCCCCATTTTTGGTGTTTTTTTCAATTGCTCTAGATTTTCGCGCAGGTTCCATTTTTTAATGAAGCAGGCGAGGGAAGGAATTCATTTAAGTGAGCAACAACTACTAGAAAACGGTATACTCTGTCCCTTGGGCACGATCTCATGAACTAAAAAATGGTCGGATAGGAATTCAAATGATTAAATCTAACTACATATGATAAAAAAGTTAATTTCAACGCACTGGATATGAAATTCTTAGACACGAATAGTCGGCGCCCGGCGACTGCTGTACGCGTGTAGATTAACAGGGATGCGTCTTTCGAAATGGTCTCGCAAGGACAAACAGGTTATTTCAAATTTTATGAACCGGTTCGATAATTTTTAAATAGAACGACGTTACAAATTCGAAGATATGACAAACTCATCAAGAAAAAATAAATCGTTCACGTGAAAACAGCAAAATACATATATATAATTAATTGAGAATCAAACAAATTGTCAGACAACAGAAAATAATCATACTTCCTTTTCTATAAGAAATTATTTTTGTAGAATATACAGTTGATGTTACTTCAGGTATTTTCAAAACAGTATAAACAATTCCTAAATTTGGTATTAATTTAGCTAGTTTTTTCATTTGAGGTAAATGGAAACGGCAATAAATTAAAATGAAAATGATAGGTATACCCAGAAAAAAGAAATACGGGCTGATAAATTTGACAAAAAAAACAATTATAATTATAAACAACCCTTTACATTTTTGTTAAACCGATGAATAATAAATGCGAAACGTCTCGTTAATTAATGCTATTTTTGAAATTCGCTTTTTTTAAAATACAATTGGGATTGCTAATGATTCTTGGAAGGCGTTACTAGATTAGCGCCAGATAATAACGGTGAGTTTCTCTGTACTGTTCAATAATAGTCATGAAATTATTGAAATAATGGCTTAAAAAAATGCTATAATGAATTTATGAAAGATTATGTAATTTTCTGACTGTGAAAGGTAACAGCAGTGGTAGCAGCTTCCTTTTCATTTATTTTTCTCATTGATCATATCGAATTCTGTAATTAATATAATGTACAAAGAAAACGATAATTCGAGAAAACCTGCTATTCATCCACTGCGGCGAGATGCTGAATTGCGTACATACGGACGAAAAGCAGAACATTCGCTTGCAAACTGTGCGATATTCTGCTCGCGATTCCCAAATTGCCCATTTTCTCTAATTTGTTGGTTGAAATAGAACTGCCGTTGAATTTCTTGTGACAGTCTGCGAAGCGCAAAAACAGCACTGACTAGGTGAACAGTTGCTATGTAAAGTCTCTCCTAAAATTTCGGGAAATTTTTATAAATTATAATATCTAAACTGAGCCCACCTCTTGATTATTGGCTAGTTGAAATGCAATGGGCCCATAAACAGATGTTATTTCATATATAGGAAGTAATACGTCTCGTGTGAGATGAGTACTTACACTTGGGCTGTTTCTAATTAGCTGAAACTGAAAACAAAGTCCGATAGGAATTTTTTGTGAATGAATTAAACTGACATATCTAGTCATGATTAGAGAGCAACGATCGAGCACATCTTGCCATGCTTTCTGCAAATTGAGTGAGTGTAAAACATTTTTAATGAATAAAGGGAAACCTGAAAGTCCGTGATCTCCATTGTGCAGATGATTCAACAATTCCTATAATAATGATATTAATAAGTAACATTTTGCAGTCGTGTGTGGCATGAGCAGAATAACGCTTGAAAATGGCATCTCGACAAATGCTCATATCGTATATTAGAAAAACAAATTTAATAGACTATTATCTAATTTGGAAAAATTTTCTCTTGGGTTATATTCTTGAAGCAGAGATTTTGAATCAAAAATTCGAAAGGAGTTTAAAAACCAATGTAAATTCAAAGAGCTCGTCAAGAAGCCTGATAAAACGCTCTGTAAATTCAAAGCATAAACTACTTAGAAAAATGAAAAAAAGCATACAAAGAAGTCAATTAAAAGCGCAGGCTCCAATGATATACTGAAACCACTTTTCTAGTCTTATTAAACAATTTTCAATTTCTATATGGTGCAGAATTGAACTGAAGAACATATTAAATAACTTATCCATAAAATTAATTTAAAAAAGCAAATTATATTCAATTTTCAAATTCTTTCATAGCATTCCAATTAGCATTAGCATTTACTCTTCTCGATCGTGCCACTCACTACATCCAACACATCGTTATGAATGAGAGCGCAAATGTGTTGGATAGTGTTGGCAAGGTAATTTGCAAACAGTGGAAAATTGAGAATTTGCAAAATAACTGAAGGGAGAAATGATGCGAGTGAAAAATGAAATTTTAAACCACGCTGTGGGAAACTATGGAAAATTACTTTATCAAGTTCTAAATTTTCTTAACGGTAAGATGAAACCATTTCTATATATTTTAGTTATGAGTTTAGGATATATGGCATTTAAACTATTTTAAAAAATGAAAATAAATAACGAGGCAGCATAACATAAAATTTTTGCAAAGAAGTTTATCGTTTTTCTTCTGAACAATGGTTCAATTATCTTGAAAAAATTGAACTTGAAACGTTTTCAAATATTGGATATTAAAACGGTATATTTTAAATTTTTTAACGATCAGATTTTCCTTTCCGTTATCCAGAACTTTCTTCCATGTTTTGTATATCGTTTTTTCCATTGAAGCTTGAAAGCAGCAGATATTTTGCAAGCCGTGTTTCGAATCCGCTCAGTGCAGGAAGGAGCAAAAGGAAGACAAGAAAACGACGGGGAGCACGCAGAGTCCAGCAAGATGCTCAACATGACGACGTTATTGAGATTTACATTACTGGCACCAAATTTGGATTTCGCTGTTTTCGGAACAAACCGAATTGAAATAAAGGATCAAACCAAATGTATCTTCAAATTTTGAAGTATATCTTTATTGACGCATCGATCAACTAGAAAATTCAAAAATTCTACAATACAATTTAAGTTTTAAAATGTGTTCTTTAAATATTGAATTTTTGAATGGATACTTGAAGTTTTGCTTGGATCTGGTATAAACTTTATTATTACTATATTTGTACACATTGTGAATTATTGTGTATTGTAGTTAGATTGGTGTGTCGCTACACGTGATTCTGAGTAGGAATAAAAATGAGACGTGGTTTACATTGTGAGCATTGAGTAACGGGTATGATTGACTTCGCAAAAAGGGTTGAAGATATACGTGATAAAATAAAACAGAAATAAATCTGTTATTGCGGCGCACGAACTTTTGTAGTATATTCTGGGATTAAAAGACTTTCTAAATCTTTCAGATGATCTTACATAATCAGCAATGAAGTTGCGGTTTATTTTAAATTTATTTGCTCAAATTTATTTGATATACGAAATTTCATGGCTGCTCATCGAAAAAAAAATTATGTATTCTTTTTCATAGATAATTGAAAATATTTTGTGAAATCTTCATTGCAACCAAACATGTTTCTTTTTTGGTCAGTCACTTTTGATTTTTTTTCATTCACCTATGAAACAAGTTCGCTTTAAATAATTGATATATCGAATAACAAGCAATTCTTTGAAATTAACCAAGCGTCGCTTCTGATTTCGAGATGGTCAGAGCGTTATGTATATATGTATATACAAATTACTGTGTATCACTCGAAATCAGAAGTGAAACGAGGCCAAAAATATCATAGAATATCAGAGACGAATGAATGAATTTTTGAATAAATGAGCAACATATTAGGTTATCGTCGAGGAACTGATGTAAATGAGTGGAGCCTATGTCTTCGTTCCTTCTACTGCTTTATAATAACTACGATGTCTCAATGAAAAAATTGTGTAGACAATTCATACTCATTCAGAAAGCATACAATCATTGATTAACACGAAAAACGCGGGATTTTGATAGATAAAAGAATGAGCATGTGTTTCCTCAATGGGAAACATAATTAAACAAATATCGGAAGGAAGATTATAATGTCTCGAAAATATGATAGCAAATGTATCAAAACTCCGACTAAATCCGGAGATGCAAAAGGATTGCATTATATTTATTTTCTGAGCATTTGCAACAAAATCGCTTTAAGCTGTTCCTCATTTGCTACTCCTTGAAGAAATAATATCAGCTATCTCGCTTAATATTAAAAAAACAAGTATAGAGTATTTTAAGTAATAGGCAGATAATTGCTTTTCCGGCACCTTTGAGAAACATAGTGCACCTGTAGGATGATTGCGTTGGTTGTCAAATCGTTTTAACGACAACTTCAAAGGAAATTGCCATCTGGAAATGCAAAGCTCAGTATTACGCTAGAGTCATCTGTCTTTGCCTAATCCGCTAATTAGAGTCTAGGAGGAGGCCACCTGTCAAATAAAAGACGACCAAAAATAATGGGAATGGTAGCATATTAAAATCTTTCGTTACTCTGCGACATCATAGCTAAAATAATTATTATCAAGTTGTAGAACTGAAAAATTTTAACCAGTCGAAATGTTCCTTTAAAATATGTTTGTACTTTTCTGAGGACATTACTTTTAATTTATCACATTTTTAATAGAGTCAGGTATGAAACCCTTATGAAACCCTTATAATATATTATATAACATCGTCAAATGATTCAGATTACAAAACATTGTGTACTTATGAAAAAAAAAAACAATTTTTTAATAAACGAATTCAATTATTTGATCATAAAAAATTGATTTGATAATTTAATAAAGCCAATGACATAATTCAATTATATTATTTTTTATATGTTTTCATTGATATTTTTTGTGTAAAAAGATGTATTTAAAGGTTCGTCATTTTCTCTCACAGTTCAATTTATTTATCGCCATCAAATGAAGAATTTGAGGCTAATCGCAAAGAAAAGTTTTCCCATCTACTACTTTATGGCTAGGCGGCATGATTTTGAAAAAACTTATATTTTTCTATTGCGTATTTTTTTAATCATCTCAGTTAATATCATATCATCTTCATTTATTAACTCTACGTAACGAAAAAGATATAAAGAGAAACTAAGCTCATAGCGCTTATTAGTCCGGATGGCGATGACCCCGTCGCGACCAACGTTGGCCAACACCGAGACATTTATGAGACTTCGACGACAGCTGCAGGACTGCGAAATCGCTCTGGTAATATTTTAAATTTTCATAATTTATACATGTCATTTTCTTATAGCTACAACTCAACAGTGATTTTATACACATGGAAAACTGCATTGCTAGAGCATCAGGAGCTCATTTAGACCTCCTCAATCAATTGAATAATGAGAAGGAACGCATATTCGCACAAATTCAGGTCTTTAAGCAATTGTTGTATTGATTTATCTTTTTTTTCAATTTGATTTCTCTTACAGCACTACGATAGCGAAGCACGACGACTCATTGAGGAAATGCGGAGAACATAGTTTTAAAAGGATGTTCTGTGCTTAATATCGATAATTCAAATCCATCCCCTTTTAGAAACGCTTATTTTTTGTATTGTTTTATAAATTGTTGAACACTATCTGTTAGACGATTTTTAATAGATGTGAGTTCCTCGGAGATGCCTCACCCCAATGCAGTATTTTAAATTTCGCATTGACAAATATCATCGAAACGAAAGAGACGATGATAGTAAAATATTACAAAAAGGTTAATTCGAATCGTCGAAGACTATTGAGTAAAAATGGAAGATAGATTGCGAATAGTTTCACTCTAATGCATTTAGCTACTTTGATTCAAACAATCTGTCTTAGCTATTTAATAAGTGCCAGTAAATTGTCAAAAACGTCTCGGGTTATTTTAATATTATTGTCTCTCGATGTGAGAACATTATATTTCGCGCATATCTCACCCAATCTTTCGATAGCGAATGATTGATTAGATGTATTGGCAGACCAAAAAATGAAGAAAAATCGCCAACTTTTATTTTCATTGTGGTTTGCGTTTTTATCTCTTCTGATAGCGCATCGCAATGTTAAGAAAACTTGTCAATAATCTTGAGTGCAAAAGGGATCTTTCGAAACTCCTATTATTTTGGCTAAATTTGCTGCACAAAGTCGGTGTTTATTCAAAATCACCCTTATTTTCGGATTATCTCGGTTTAATTACTTTCTGCAATTTTGGCAAATCGGATTTCTAAATAGATGAGCAATTTCAAAATAATTTCTTTAAAAAATAACTAAAAGAGTAGGTAATTGTTAAAATTGTCTTGAAGAAGCATGCACAAAAATGTCTGTCAATGAGATCTTCTATAATATTCAGAAGTACTTTTGGGCATCAGTTTATACAATTTACTTTTGTAAAATTGTTATTTCAGATTTATCGATAATTATTGAATAGATACGATGCATGTGATTTTCAATGGGAAGCGGATGTGAGTATTAAACTACAAGGACCACCTGAATTTCCCTATCAACCTAAAATTATTGAAGAATTTTGCAATTTTATTAAAAACCAATATTTATGTACATATATTTTCTTCCGATGAATCCCGTTTATTAAAGTAAATGGTTAGCAATGTTTTGAATCGATTTACATAACTTACCAATTTTTGATTTAAATTGCAAATAGTATCAGTTCTGTATTTTTTCTTTTATCAAGCACAGGTGTCAAAAAGTAAAAGGAGCCAGATACGGTAATTAACGGCTGGCCAATTGCTCTGTCGCAAGGAAGATTCTATTGCGAGATAAATAAACAGGTGTATTTTTGCGGCAATTGAGTGTTTCCTTTCAAGAAAATGCAATCGTTGAACGTTTTCAACACGTTAACTAACAAATATTTATATTTATTGTTGTTTTATGCATTAAAAAACAATTGTTCATTATCTTTGTATGTATACCAGTTTTTTGCTTCAATTGTGCTTTTTAATGCCAGTTTGCAGACGGATTATAGATCTCTGCGGCTCCATCAATTACCAGCGCTTCTCTCGTTACCATTATCGTTTATTCGTCGCAGCCTTTTTCTTTTGCAAAATTTCGAAGACACATTCACATTTGTCTTGATGGCACGAAATAAAATGGAATTATTCTTTTCTTTAAACAATATAATTTTACCATTGAATTTCAAAAATGATATTCTTCCAACTTTGGTATAATCGATGTCGCGTGACTGCGGAAAATTGGCTATGCCAAAAAAATTTAAAAAGAGGTCTTGGTGCGCGGTTTGCTCTTTTAACCTATACTTATACATAGGCCCGTAAACGTACACTAAGTTTTGTGCCAAGACTACTGCCATGAATTTTTGGCATTCAGCCCATTTTCTGCAGTCGCGAGAAGTCGACAATATTAATTGAAAAGAAGTTGTAAACTTTAGAATGTCTCATTATGACTGCCACATGTTTTGGAGAGACACACAAACAGAGCTAATGCAGCTCTTACAATTGTCGGTGGGCATTTCTCATTAGCCAAACATTATTAAAACCAAAAATTTAAGGGCCGAATTCAAAATTCGCCGAATGAATGTGAACAATATGAAAGGAATCTACGAAGGTTTGTCACGGCAGTTTTGACAATTTGCCAATTGCGACCAAGATGTCGAAACATTCTTCATGAGCACTGGACTATAATAGTAACGGCTTTTTCTTTCGAATATTTAGTTTTCATTTTCCATTTTCCAGAGACACGTCCAAATAGCACGAGACTCCTTAGAAAGATTACAACCTGGAATTTTGAGATCTTGAGATGCGGAAGCCACCCTTATCAATTAAAATGTTTCAACATGTAATGTGAACATTACAATTAAAAGAAATAATAGAATATATTTTTAAGAAAGTGCGATTAATAGGAAACTCACTGGTTAGCACATAATAGCATGAATCAAATTAATTTTCTGACTTTTTGTTATTAATCTTCATATTTCATTTACGTGAAAATATATATTTCAAAAAATTAGAAATATATACCCTTTTTATTTTCTTTTTATTCCATTCGTCATTCTTAACGTCACCAATATCATTAATTCGTTCTGCAAAGATTTACAATGAGTTCGACTCGCATGTTAATCGTACCATTATTTACACTCTCTCGTTCTTTGCAATTTTGATATTTATGTTCATAACGTTAATCATCACTTCACTGATCACCTAAACCATATTTTCAACAATTGGAAAATAATAAATTAATGAATGTTAGTCATAATCATCATTTTATAATTATTATTTGAAAAACGTGTTTCGTTCCATATAAAACTAGTATGTGAGAGTACGTTTATATTTTGATTAATTATAAAATCAATTTAAAAAAGAAGACTCAATTAGTTCACATATCATTATTATCGTGTTCGTCGTCATTTCCATTCTCGGGCCCATTGATCTGATCATTGCGGTGTTCATCATGGCGTCCATTGAAATCTCCATTCGGGTCTCCATTGAGGACTCTATTCGGGTCTCCATTGAGGGCTCTATTCGGGTCTTCATTGAGGGCTCCGTTCTGGATCGCGTCGATGTGCCCATTACGATGTATATTACGCTGACTTTCAGCGAATCTAGCAATATGTCTGTTCAGGTATTCGGTTAGTTCGTCATTTCTGATGCTATTGACGTTTCTATCATGCTGTATCTGCACGGGGAATGATGAACCGCTGATGATGCGGTCTATGCGTTTTCTGCGCAACAGAAAATAGAAATCCACGATTTGTTTGGACCACAACTGCGAATTCAAACATTTACAATTAGTTTAAATTAATTCTACTCACGATCACTGTATCATGATTATGCCTCTGAGTCGTGCATTTGTCATATTCCTCTTCCAGTAGAGATAATCGTAAGCGGTAGTCATTATAGATCTGTTCGTCCTCGTTTTTCAACTCCTCAAATATGTTTCTAATTCGCGGAAGGTGCATATAAATATGATTCCAGAGATCCTAAAAGAAATGAACCAATTTTTAATGATAAATAGAACATTTGTTTTACCGCGCAATTTTGATTGATTCTCTGCTGTTGTTCCATCTTTTCGTTGAGAATTGCGCTGAAATAAACGAGAAAATTCTGTTCGAATGGTGTTCAAAAGATGAATGTGAAATAATAGAATGAATCACGAGACGTAAATGTGATGCTTCAAGACGACTCGAATGAGAGGTATTGCTAGAAACTTCATTTAGTAACCATGGAGATTCGTGTCGCAGATCGAATAAGGCAGATACATGCTCAATCATCCATTATAATGAGATGAGTCATGTTAGATAGATTATAGAAAATTAAGATAGTTTGTGATGCTACAAGGAAAGCGGAATAGAAACAAGGCGAAAATGGAGTGTGTATGGCAGCAGAAGAATTAACGAGAAGCTGAGACGCAAGAAAATAGTAGAAGAAGGTAGATTTTTATTCGAATACTTTATGACAATGCATTAAAAAAATCATATAAAATGAGAAATAGTTAAGGCAACATCAAATACCAAATGAGACCATCAAGCACTGTTATTAAAAATGGCAGGAAAATGCAATAAATGAATGCGTGACTGTGAATAAAGCAAGAGTAAAGCAGTATTAATATAAATTATTAAGAAAGAAACAGTTCGCTTAAGCCCAAAACTGCTTGCATTGCAAGTCAATCGCCTCGAATTTGCTCGTCAACGCTTCCATCATCTTTCCAGATGTATCTTCCGTTGCATTTTCACGATCAAGTTCTGTTATTTTTTGAAGCATTCTGAAATTAAACAAAATTTTCAAGCTTTTCAGTTTGTGTGAATTACTGTGAAGTCTTGAAATTGTTGAGTCCTCTTTTTGCCATATTTTCGGCAGCAAACAATATAGCAGGAACTCCCGGTGGAGCGTAGGAGACCTGATGACCGAAGGAAAGAAAATACGTGAGATGTTCTATTTCATTCAGAGTCCACTTGGCATCGTTTCGCACTATTGTATACTTGGTTGGACGAGTTGTTCCCTTAAGGCGATTTTCAACGTTTAAAATTTATGTTGAAATCTTACGAGAGATCCTGTCTGTGACACTAAAACGAACTCCTGCAATCCTTTCGTTGAAATAGCACCATCGACGCTTGTTCCAGATCTAACATTTTGTTCCTGCGGTTTCTTGCCAGTAATCTTATCCGGAAAAAGGCTAAAGATATTGTTGTTCTCAGTTTTTTCGCTTCATCTTAAGAATTACCGAAGTTTGCACCTCTTGCTTACTACAATGTGCACAATTTTTGGTGTGTACGGTTTTCCTCCATTTCGTTTTTGGAGTTCTGGATCCATTTTGATGCCCTGTGACAGCTGACACAATTCCCCTTCGGCCTGTAAAAGCAATTTAATTGGTTTGAATCAAAATTCAAAAATACTACATTTTCATCAGCTCCAACACTCGTTCCCGATCGATAGATGACGATGCAAGATGGAAGTGTTTTGCATTGTTTGTAATAATTCATCACGCCAACTGGAAAATGCTTCGAAAGGTAACTAAAATAGCAGGTTATCTTTAGAATAGCCCAAATGTTCATACTGCAATTGATGAGATCTTGGAACTTGGAGCCACGGGAACCCACCCAGATCGGTGGATTTTTCGAAACTGTATGTGAACTGAATAAATATCAAATTATACATTGAAATGCATTTGCGCAAAAAATGACATACTCCAACAACCGACGGAGTACCGCAAACGACATTGTTCTGGCGGTCAAACAAACACGTTGACCCAGCATGAGAGAATTCGAATCCCACGAACATAACGTTTTTGAAAAATTTGTCATTGATTCTATAATTTTTTGTAGTAAAAATGGCCAGAGAGAAATCTCTAATTACGCTTTTGAATCTCCATTGCACACAACTTGATTGTTGCGTTTTGTTGGAACGGTCACAATAAAGTTAAGACCTCCAGCTTTTACATTTAATTTTCGGATCACATTATCAATGGTCTGAAATGTAAAATAATAATTTTCACCAAAGGCTATGTTGTTTCTTACAGCGGAATTTCCACTGTCCATAAGGCATTTTCGAATGGTTGACAACCACAAATGATAGGTCTGTTGTCCTGTTTCCGCTTCTAACAATTTCATATAATCTGATAAAACATTTTTTATAGAAAACATTATTCGAAATGACTACTTACCATGAACATCCGGTTTTTGCTCTTTTGTCACACCAAGAACTATCGACACTTTTTCCTGTTTCGCATTTTCCATTAAGTTTCGGAGACCATCGAAATCTTTTTCTTGACACGCCACAATGTCGAAATTTTTATCGTTGATCTTAATCTTGTAATGCTCCGAGCAGCTCAATAATTTATCACGAAAACGCCTAGAAAGCAATAAATACGAATTTCACGTGTACCAATCATACGTCATGTCCAATTTTTCAACACCCTCGAAATGTACCAAAACAATTTTATTGATATGAGCAGGTCTGGCGAATTTGTTCTTCAAAATAACGTTCACACGATGATTTGTGTCGTTTCGTGGCGTTGAAGTTCTGAAAAAAATTAATGTGCATTTTTATCTGACTAAAACCTACTCATTATCTGCACGAAGAGTTGGCGGCGGCAAAATCTTTGATGGAACCCGGAATGGCGCTAATTTGACTCGTATTCCATAACTCTTGACTGATTTCTGTTTTTCCACTTTCAAAAAATTTTGAAGAATACTGGTGTAACGTTCAAGATGATTTTCAGGAAGCAACAACAATTTTCCTGTCAATTCCTTTGTCTGAAATTCAATTTATTTTTTGCGAAGATTTTGATTATAAAACTAACAATTGAAGCAGGAATATGATTTTGCTTCACCCTCTGGCCACGTTCGATTTCCAGGAGTTCGAGTGGATGGAATGATACCGATTCTTTTTTGCGTTCGATTGCAAATGGCAAAAAATTGTATCTTAGTTTAATATTTTTTGTACGTAGAAAATATTCTTCAACGGTAACCATTTTCGTATCTCCGTCTTTGGTAAACGGGAACGTAATCCTGAAATTTTTTTTGAGAGAAAAATACTTCAAAATTACTTTAAAAACATTTTACACTTAAATAATTCTCATATTTGTACAATGAAATCTAGTGAAAGCTAAATTTTTTAAAACACTTGTTTTTCGAACTATTCTTTATCCTCGGTTTACCATCTCTCACTAACTATTATTTTTTGTGAATTTAAAAACAAAACCTACTTATCATGATCACGAAAGTCGAAATCCATTATATAGAAGAGGTTGAGTTTCCCCGAATTTAAATGTTTTGGTGATACCGCAACAGTTTTAAGAGGATCAAGTATTTTCCGCAAATCGCTTGATTTGATAGACTTGATTTGCTCAAGAATACGATAAACACCGTCCTCATTTGATGTATCGAAGTTACCATGACGTCCCAGGGAACCGCGGTTTCTTAAACTTTCTGTTTTTAATTTCACAAGCCATCAATCTTACTTAATCAATTTTGCCATCAATTTTAGAACACTTGATTCCTGATAGAAAGCAGAGCGGTGAACTGAAATAAATAAATCAAATGAAGTTCTATTTTGATATCATCTTACCGTCAATCACGACTACAAACGTCGGAGTTCCATCGGATCCGTTTAAAAGACGAATAGACTTTGTGAAACCCGTTTTTATTTCAATTCCTTCGTCGTCCATTTGGCAAGATTTGTCTTTGTTTGATCTATCATTAATGTAATCGCTCGTTCGGAGGAATGTAGAACTTCCAAATGTGAAAAAATCCCTGGAAAAACGAGTGTCCTTTGAAAAAATTCTTACTACCTTGTGTAAAGGTTCTGCGAAAGCGTGCATTCCAGAAAGCGAATCAATTGATCGCTGTTTAGCCGTTCATATGCTTGAGGTCCTCGAGCGATTATCTGAAAAATCGTACATATCCGATGCAATTTTTTCATCAAATGAGTTAAAAAAAAACCTTTGCTGCGATATCAGGTTTAACACGTTGAATCTTTATAATAATCTTTATGATTTCTCCTCTCGAAATTTGTTGTATTGCATGAAGTCTCTGAAAATGTATTTTAAGTAAAATGAACAAAATTTTTGAAAAATTACCGAAGGCTCAATATCAGTGGGAACCATTAGTTCTACACTTTCTTCGTTTCCGCCAAGATATTTTCCTTCTGAGCCATAGAATGTGGCTCCACCGTCAAAAATAAACTCATGATATTTCATATTAGAAAAGAGATCCGGTCGCTTTTCCGGCAAATGTTTCCAGATATTCATCAGGCCCCACAGACGCTTCACTCGAGAAATGCTGTAAAGATCCTGGTATAATTGTTTTAATTTTCTAGGACATACTCTCCGTATCCCTTCTTCTCGTCGTTTACCGATACCTGTTTTCCTTTTTTGTTTTCGATCAAGCTGAAATATTAGTTAATGTTTCTGTGTGTTCTACCCTTGAATTCTTACATGTCTAAATGATATTGTTCAATAATTGGACACAGATCCGAAATATCCAATGGAAACATATTGACGCGTACTATTTCATCCGGTTTAGTCAAAAAGCTATCTTTTGTCGACGATGCAGAGGCGAATATTTTTTTCTTTTCGGGGCCCTGCAAAAAAAATAATAATTTAATTAAAATAATTGTCTCACTTCTACAGAATCCTTTTGCCTTTTGGGAATACGGAACGTCTCTCTGAAAGAATTGACCCCACTGGATGGATTGGAGATGATTGGTGGTTTGTTGGCGGACGATGTCGCCGAATTTTTTTGGTTGTTTTGAGTAGACATATCACTAAGAATTGACCCAAGCAAATCGTTCGACATAAAATCTGAAAAATAAGTTAGAAAAAAAAAACGTTTATCACAAAACGCCGAATGAATTACAACGTTAACAGGCGGGGATATCTGGATCGCAAAATGATTTATATGTGACGATTGGAAACAATTTACAGCATTGCTCAACACCCTCCCCCCTCAAATCAAAATTGTTCCTCATTTTTAATATTAAAAAATAAAACGAAAAGAAGACCATTCACAATAAAACAAATATTGTAATATTAGAAAAAGAAGAGGCGTTTTCCAATAACGGCCTTTGGTGAGAAAAAATCAATATATGCAACAGAAAGGGCAACGCTAATGTGAAAAGAAGGCAACTACCCAGGCCGACTCCCTACGAAACAGTGAGACTCCTCCGCATGACCCATTGAGCGTTTATTCAGGCGAGGGGGTGTAAAGAGAGCCACACAAGATGGTGTATCGATTGGAGTCTGGTGTAAAACGTAATCAATAGAGCGATGATGAACAGTTTTTGGTTGCACCGAGAAGATATTGTGTATAGCGTGAGGAAGAGAGTGATGGTACGCGCAGTATCGTACATTACAATAATGTCTGCTCGGCAGAAAACTTTGACTAAAGATGACTAAGCATGCACGTAGTAAAATTAAAAAAATTGCATCCAATCTTGTTGCTAGCAACTTTCTAACTAAATCTAAATTACGGCTTGCTGTAATGAAAGTCGAGAAGCAAAAACGCTAAACAAAAATTTGTTGGGTTGATTTACTAGCGATAAACAACGAAAATGGAGAGAGTACAGAATGAAAATGCCTATTCGCAAGGAAATATCGTCTAGGCAAAATTTCGTGCGCTTTTAATTATTACCGAAGTTGCGTTCGTTCACCTAATTGATCAAGTGGCGCAAAAATATGCAGCAAAGGTGTCATAAAATGACAGATAACTATTGTTTTGACTATTCATTTTTTGGCCGTTCCCTGTTTGTCATAGGATAACTCATGAAGTACTTTATCTCAGATCCTATTGTTGATACCCAATCCTATTTCGGTATCGAACATTCCGATGATCATCTTCTTTGGAAAAGGTTTATAAGAAAAATTCATTTCATGTGAACATTGGGTGATTTTCAATTAGTGGTGATGAAGAAAACGAAAAGCTTAGTTAGCAGCTCGGCAGCACTGAATTCCTTATCTTCATGATATATATTACCACCTGTTGTAAAAACGACGATATCACTGATAATGTTTGATAATTCCCCGTGTAAGTTGATCTTCTGTCCACACTCAAATCGGAATTAAAGAATGCATAATATCAAATATGCAAAATTTTAAGATTACAGTTATGGTCTATAAACATTTCTAATCGTTTTTCCATGGATAAGTAGAAACAAACATTATAATTCGGTTTTAGTTAAGTTTATTTACGAATCGGAAAGCATCAGTGAGAGAAACAAAAATTAAAAAATTAAATGTTTGGTTAATATTAAAATGATGGCATAATTTCTGTAAACACCGAAGTTCTCCAGGGACCAAGATCCGTAAGCACGCATGTCCGCAAACAACAATTTCTGCAAACACCGAACACGAAAACTGATCAGTTTTCTAGCGTCATTCACCGTTAACCACAAAACCCCAAAATTTTTAGTTTTACAATGTGGTAAAATTATAATTTTCAATAACATTAAAAATTTAATTATTCAAGGATAAGATGGAAAAAAGCAAGGAGGAAAGATGTTTTATTATTTTTTCGAAGACACAACTTCTTGAGGTTTGCATGTGAAAAGTTTTCATTAGGACAATACATTTCGTTTTGAGTTTCGATTTGCACGCAATTTTTGCAGATTTTGTTGAATTCTTGGTTTTCCAGTACACTTTTTAAAGCAATAAAGATAGTTTTGGCATTACATTAGTACATTAAAAAGTTAAAATAAGACATTAACACATAAACATTTTTTCCAGGATGTTATCGCTATTAAAAATTTCAACGTGGATTGTGTTCATTGCCCATGTAGTATATAACATCAGAATTGTAATAACCCATTATATTTCGATGAATATACTGCAAATGAAGTACCAGAACCTAAAGCAATAAAATTTTTTTAATTTTTCAGTTAAATTGGACCTGCACGCGGTAGTGATCGTGATAGCCCCGTTGGCAACAGCTGCGGAACGCATACAACGTTTGCCAAAAATGGTGACTATTTGGCCAACGCAGCAAATCATGAGGACGACGTTCGCGAAACTCGCACTTAAATAATGTTTTATAGTATTTAATAGATAAAGAAAATAATTACAAAATCGTGGTAAATCGCGTCAATTTCTCTATCCATTGTGCGCCAAAACGGCTGAAAATTTTAATAAACACGTGACATAAATAAAATCTTACCGCGCATTGCTCCTCATCATTTTCCATATTTTCTGGATTGTTATTCATTTTATGAATCGAGAAATGAGTAATATTTAAGCAAATTTTGTGATGAACACTTTCAGTTTACTGGCATTTTTTAAAATACCCTGGTGTATTGTCACCTTGGAAACAATATGAAACAATAATTAGACTGTTTTCGTTTCCAAACACTTATCGAATTGGAAGAATATTGAATGTTCAGGACAGAAACAAAGTGTCTGATGATTAATAATGATCATAAGCTTCGCGAAATGTAAGACTGCATTGCAAATAACTGAGGCGTTCTTGATATCAAAGATTTATTGATGCGGATACTATTTTCCGAACTGATGAATCACGACAATTTTATTCAGTCATTAACTAAAAACCTAAAAGGAAGAAATCATAACAACATTTGCGTTTGGCGTGTAAGATCTGGAACAGGTTTTCAGTAAATAATTATAAAATATTGGCAAATAATTACCTTGACATTCCCATGTTTATCAAACCCGCTATGACAAGTAAATTCTGCTCTCTTATTGTACCAATATTCTTTTTTAATTGGCAGACGAGTTCCGTGGAATGACTTGATTCCACAATTTTTTGTTTTTTTATTGAATTTAAATCTACTAAATAGGCGCCCAATCGAACATCTGTTTATTTAAATTCAAAACTACTATATAATGATGATGACGCTCTGTTAGTATAATACAGTGCTCCGCATAACTATATACCCACCCAAATTTCGGCGAATAACTCGAAAACACGAATACCTCCAGAAATGGTTTCAATTCGAAAAATATGCGCGTTTATTATTAGTTTCAGGTCACATTCATAAAATTCAACAAAAAATACCAATTAAAAAAATTTCGTCATTTTCCCGAAAAAGTGGAAAACCTTTTTCCACAAAACTATATACCCACTACATTTTTTTCTTTTTTTTTTCAATTTTTTTCGTATTTTCGAATTTTTTTTTTGCAATTTTACAGTTCTTAAGTCATTCCTCGTGAAAAGCCGCCCGCCGACTTTGAAAAGTGAAATTGAAACAAAGCTGGCTCAAGTTCTTTGTTATCGACAGATTGGGAATGAACTGGGACGCACTCATAATGTTACTAGCTGATATGCTAAAAATCGTCATGGTGTGTACGGCAATCAGCTCGCATGGGAGAGTCAAGTTGTGCTTCGTTTCGCCGAAATTAAGTGGCGCTGACTACCGATAAGTCATAAGCCGTGGTCTGTTGCCATTTTGGTGTCGAAATCGGTACACAAATTACTCTTTCATACAAGATGGCGCCCCTTGTCATCGTGCTCGCCACACTATCCAGTAGATACGCAACCGTAGAATCCCAGTTCTCGACTGGCCAGCCTGTTATCCAGACATAAACCCCATCGAAAATGTTTGGGATTTATGATGAAGAAAATTTACGATGGCATCAAGTCTTTTCGTTTGATTTCGGATCTCAAAAGGCAATCGTGGAAGCCTAGAAACCTGTCGATCAACAGCTTCTTGACAACCTTTTATTATCAATGAACTGTCGAATTTTTGACGTAAAACGACTCAATGGAGGTCCAGTTAATTATTAAATGTTCATTTTCTTTCAAATTTTAATTTTCGATCCCTTTTTCTGGGTTTTTTTTAATCAAGTGGGTATATAGTTTTGTAAAAAAATTTTCTCCACTTTTTCGTAAAAATGACGAAATTTTTTAAATTGTAATTTTTTGTTGAGCATATTTTTCTAATTGTAACCATTTCTGAATCTATTCGTGTTTTCGAGTTATTCGACAAAATTAGGGTGGGTATATAGTTATATGGAGCACTGTATTATTTTATGTAACAAAGGATATTCTGAAATTTCAAACTACTTTTCATCGATATTTTAATTATGAGTGCTCAAAATCGAAAATGAAACCAGTATGTTTTTTGAAAGACCATTTCAAGAAAAAATATAACATTCGCATTATGTTGTTTCATGATATCTTCAAACAAACCTTTTTTATACTAAAAGCTCGTTGTACAAATCTTTTTCCCCCATTAAAGCAAGTAATTTAATGAAGCTTTTAGAGAACTATGCTCCATAATGCACTTGAACCCATATGTAAAATATATAGAATGTTATTAATTTATTGTCTATTAAAAAAAGTATTTAAAAACAAAGGAATTTAGAAGCATGCATAATGACCAGTTTTCAGGTTCCATTGTTGATTTGCTCGCTGATCTGCTCAATTTCGTGAACGCATGAGCCAAGATTGACAAGAAGTGTCATGTTATACTTGGTCTATAACGGGTTTTGTGTTTTTATTAAATTATATTATAATATAACTTACATAAAACTCGTCGAATGGTATGGGGTTTGTGATTTGCTCCAAGAATGTAGAATTAATGCATTGAAGACGGAAAAGAATACCGTTAAGGGCTTGATAATGCGAGACATTCCCAAACTTCTGACAGCAACCCTGAAATTTAAAAGCAAAATTCAGCAATATTGCAATAACATTGACTTACGACTCGAAAGCTACACGCCATAATATGTGGATAGTACTGATTCCAAACGGCCAAGAATTTCTCCTGGTCCGACATGTCGTAAGTGAAAATTGGAGTATTCTCCATCTTAAATCTTAATATATTTATGGAAAATTGATGATGCAAGATATTTGAAAAAAAAACGGAAAACTATTTTTAATTGATTATTTTCCCCTAAAAATCAGAAGTTTACTTATGTTACAAGCATGTAAAATTGAAATATATATTGCAATATTCGAAAAATCAGTAATGTAAACAAATGATTGAATACGACCGATAGACTTTACTGTTTCGCAGACAATTGTATCGCTGATGCACCACATCGGCATAAATGTTGTGGGAGGAGTTTGTGCTTGCCGGTTTGACCCGACGATGTTCATCATCCCTATCAGAGTGACGTTCGTTGAATATAAACAGAAAGAGAGCTTGTAATCAGAAATATAATACATAAACTAAAAAAACGCAATTGCATTACACTAACTGATAGTTTTAAGAGCATTTTCAATAATATTAAGAAAAGCAAATTACATACCAAGAACCTGATCAAATGAACCTTTGTCGTACTTATAAAACAGTTAACTTGCATATTGGGTGGTAACATTTAGTAAAACTCGAATATCCTATAAAGCACCAGTGATGTTGAAAAGAACAGGACACCTGCCAAACGGCTTGTCTGTCCATTACTTACATGGTTCAGGACCATGCAGCTGCCGGTTCAATAACGTTTCAAAACAAAATTACTTCCATAATAATATTATTAAGGATTCGGATGATTTCAGTAGTCATATCGAGATTAAAAAAAAATAGGTAATAAAAATCAGTTTCCGTCGATTTTCTTGGAGTTAGTTACCACTTTCGAAATTTTCCCTTGTTTATTTCTAATTGAAATATGAACGAAAAACACTGCCCAGTATTTATTACATACGTCACCCTTTATTACTAGATCATCAATCGTTTATTCTAAGTATAACATTTTCAATGGTTTACTTCGTCTCCTTCTTGGTTTTCCTGCTGAACGCGACGGTTAAATTCGTCATTTGCACGGATATTCATCGAGACGATTGCATAGAATTCAGTTTGCTGGCTCAACTTCCATAAGTTTTCTTCGGCCAGCTCCAAGAATTTCTAAAATAATTCATACAATATTATTTTCTCTAAAATCATTCCACCGTGCATTGCGCGTGCTCTGCTGCTGAAAAGCAACAGTTTCCAAATCTCTCTATCAAAAACGTGCAATGATTGATGAGTGTTTTGGCGTCATCCTCGACGACTCGGCTTTCCCCAATTTTGATAATGTCCTTTAAAAATGTATTTTGTTACATAGTTTTTTTGTTCTCGAATGCCCTACCAATGCCTCGTGGATAAATTTGATGCGATTAAGAACATCCACCCAGAAAACCTGAAAATAATTTAATCGTTTTCTCGATTTTCCTGACATCTTACCACGTGGTCACCCATTGTGAGATGAAGCTGGGATATCTAAAAGATAAGAAAATGAAAAACAATTATGTATGTAAATGCGTTCTATTATTTTATATTGAAAAAAAATCAAATAAAAGGGGAAACATTCTTCAAAAATATTTACAGAAATCTTTCACTGTATATGGTCGCAAAATCGCTTGACACCTCGAAAATGGAAAACAAAGACCGTTTTTTAATCTTAACTACAAAAATTAAACGTTTCTGGCAGCACAGTATTTGACGAAATATTAATGAATATATTGAACTTTTATAGTAAATTTGTAAAAAAAGTTTCTGATTAAATTTTTTCTAGTCACTTCAAAATTTCGATCTTGTGAAATATGTGAAATCTGTGATATATAGCAAAAACTTTTGTTAATGATTGTTGAAAAAAATTTCATTTCGATTTCAAAACTAACTTAGTAACAATTAAGAAGTTCACTATTTATACGGTATTGGAACCGAAAAATAAAAAAAAAAAGAATTTTATAAATTTTTATTATATAACTTACATGATCCGCAATGTATTTGAACTTGCGCGTCAGTTTCCAGAAAATTTTCGATGTGACGGAATATGAATAGCGATTGTTACGGAATGAAAAAGAAAAATACAACTGCCAACTTTTTTTTGAAAATAAAAGGCGCGCGTTTTTGCTTGCGCAACGAATTGGCAAGCGCCGCCCAATTTTACAAAGAATAGACAAATGTCACAAAGATACAAAGTGTCGAGAGCAATTTTGATTTTCTTGGTGATGTTTTTATAAACAAAGACGGGCGGACAAAATTGACTCACAACAAGTTGGAAATATATATTTCTACTCCAAAATTTTATAATGAGCTGTTTATTCGACAAACTTGTACAAAAATAGAGCATTGTGTTATTATTGTGGACGTCGACGCACATATCCTCTTTGTGACAGCTCGCGAATAATTCTCATATAAATATTTCGGGCGCCGACCATTTCGTGCTAAAATTAATGAACCGATTTTATGCAATCAATAGGCAGAAAACCTCGATTGTTTCCTGATCAAGAGTTTGTGATAGATATCGTTGGTGGTATTGATGAAAGCGCTGTAGTAGCTCGTCAATCTCCGCAAACCAAGGATTTTCCTGGTTAAGTCCTTGATCGTACTGAAATTTAATGAAACAAATGGCATAACACACAATATACAATACCGCTTGTTGAAGATAGTCGTGAATGTGAAAGCGCATTTCGTTCCAGTCGCGCTGAAATGAAAAATTGAGCAAAACATTAATGACATGGAAAAAATGCACATACTTGAATCGGGTCCGTCATTTACGCTGCGTTATTCTGAAAGCAATTGAGTGAAAAATAAAAATAAATAAAAACTGTTATGAAATTATACAATAATGGATATGTTGCAAAAAAACGTGAGATTATGAGGTTTGAGTACACACGCTGCCCAATTACTCTGCACACGCACCTGCGGAGGGTCCTCACGTGAAAACAGAAATGTGTTGCCCTTCGATATAATGCAAATGGCTACTACCTTGACTATGAGGATTAACAGATTAACTCCCGAGCTGCCCAATCGTTATCCAAAATGTACCCCAAACACCATTAGTTAATTAGTATACAACGTAAATTTTGGAGTCATTTTACCTATTCTATTTTGTTCCCATTCAAAGCAGGGGATATATATTTAATAAATATATGAAACTTGTGGCAACTTCCTCCAGTCAATTAAAAAATGAGCCTTAGCAAAAAATAAGAAAATTCACAGAAAAAATCATCTGTAAAATTTTTAAACGGCAACACACATTCTGCATAACAATACACGTGACACTTCACAAAGTAAATCGATGATTTTTTTTTGACTAGACTCGAATGCAAATTATGGGAAACTGTTGTACGGAGCGAGACACGTGTTGGCTTCTTGTGATTGTTGTGATATATCGATTGTTTAATAATTTATCACAAAAACACTGACAACACTAATTAGTCCTGGTGGCCACTGTACTCGAACCGTTTCAGCTTCATTCCAGGACGGTAGTTCTGGGCTTTCTCGTATTCGATGATTATTTCATCGTGGAGATCAATTGCTTCCTCGTATTCATCTTGAATCTGCTCGAACGTGTGTGTCTTATTATCCGAAAAGTTGCTGCTAAGTTCCATGAAGCGTTTCATTAATACTTGAATGATATATAGTAGGGCGCAGTGCCTTTCCAAGCTGATGTCGTACTTCTCCATCTGAATTTTTCTGTTTTTTTTATTAGCTTTGAAAACCAACCATGAGGTCAAGCCCGACGTTAAGACTGTGTCGGAGTCTCTTCCAGCGATCCTGAAAATATCAATTATTTTCTATTGAAAAAACCACCAGCTGAACCTCGTAGTCCTTCCAAACACGCTCTTCAACGGGTTCTGGCTCTTCCCAAATAGTATAAAGATGGCGGTAGCGTGACATCACCGAAAAAACCAAATACAAAAAAGACAACGATAACAACAACGGCCAAAATGAACAAAATGTTTCTGATAATGTATTTTAATAGTGAGACGCTGCGTCTCTTGCCCAGTGGTCTTCCTGATCGTTTGCAACGTCGCAATACATGCTTCGAACAATAGTATTTCCGGCCATGGGAAAGGCGAATATGAATGAATTGTGAACAGGTGAGCAAATTTTTTAATGGTAACAGGGAACGCATTTGATCACCAATTTCCGAATCAAGTTAGTTTTATCTTCGAAATCCATTGTATGTATACTTAATGAAAAGGACAAAATGACAAGTGAAAATCAGCTTATTTCGAGGAAAAAAAGAACTAAATGACAAATGATTCAAGCGCAGAGTTGTAATTGACAATGCCTTTTTTACGATATAGCCAGATGAAAGACAGTTGCAAAGATAAAAAATCAATTTAAAATTAAGAGGCATCTGCTTCAATTGGACCCTCGTCAGTAATGGAAAAATTCGACCCACATGTGGGCATTTATAGGAGGCACGGCGGTCAGTGAAGAAAAATATTTTTTGGTCTGTCCTCTTTATTCGCAGTGCTATTTCGCACTGACACGGTCTAACCGGAGGGCTCAGCACCGTTCATGAATCATTGGCACATCTTCTAGACAAATGTTGTGAAATACGTCTTCTGTAGACATTTATGACCACCCCAGTATAAATAAAAGCTGGCATATCAAACTAGTAAGTCACTCTGTGGCGCCGCCTTTTTGCAATTATTTTCTTTACCGTATTTTTCCTACCGCCCGTTTTTGTTGACATTGTCCCCGTGTTCCCATATATGGTGCATTTTTTGGTGATTGTAAATGCTTGCCGCTTGCGAAAATCATGAGAAATCGGTAGTAAAAATGATGTCGCTCATTTTGACCAGTACCAAAAGATGTGCATGAAAGGCTGACCAGAGGCGAACACTTTATGAGTGAAAAATAAACTTAGGATAAGACTCAAAAAATAATATTTTTTCAATGAAATATAAACGCAATATTTCTTCATATAACTAAAATTTATTTTTTATGTGCACATTTATGAAAAGAAATTTTTAAATGCCATTATTGCAATACAGTTCGGTGCGTTTCCGCGGCTATCAGAATTTTTTTGCTGCAGGACCTTGTAGTTAATCCAGAGGTATTTAACCAAGAATATGGCTTACGTAGATTCATGGGGAATGTATCCCCCCGGTTTGGAATTTCTGAGCAGCAAAAAAGAACCGTTCGATGAGATTTCGGTAGTTTCCATCTACTTCATCATGGTATTGCAAATCAATTTCATCATGCTATTCCTCGGTTTCTATCAAAATATTATCAGGGTGATGTTGATGGTGGTCGCCCTGACGTTTCGTTCCGACCAACTTTTTTTAAAATCCGAAGCTTGCGTAACAAGGCAAGTTTCAACTACGATTTGTACAAGACTTCGCGTAGGCAAGGAAAACCTTCCAAACCAAATTTTTTGGTAAGCATTTGCTTAAACTATTTTTCCTTGTTTGTTTTTTTTTAAGAAGAAGTCCGAAGAATACCTTAAAGTTCTTTTCGAAATCGAAAAAAAACATTATCGCCGTGAAGCCCGAAGTTGTCAAAACCGACAGGCCGCCTATTATTGCATTTGAAAATTCCGATGAAGATGAAGACTTCGACTAATTTGATACATATTCATTTTAATGTGATCCAGTGTTCTTGTGCCATTGTAATGAATGCTTCAATTTCTGTATTGTTTCATGCTCCCTTCTCCGTTTAACATCTCATTTTGTCAAAATGAAAACTCAATGTATTACCAAAACAAAATGTGCCCAAAATAGGCGGAGCTTGCGCCAAATTGCGGCGTCGGCGACTAAACTGTCAACGAGAGTGACTTGCACTCTGTGTGTCTCACCGCCTGCACTAACCGTGACTCAAAGGGGTCTACGGTAGGGACGGGTCGCGTGCGTCAGCAATAGTAACATTTCAAATATGATGGAATTTTGAGAGACCCGCGGAAACCGTCGAAGTTCGCAACTGCAAGACGAACAAAACCATCGTCATTCTTCGGAAGTGGCAAAGAACAAAAATTGTGGGAAAACAGGAGAGTCCAGAGTAGGGTACCCATCGTTGGTGACAAACAGCGAAAAAATCAGAGGCGCGGGAATATTCGAGTGTTGGCATTGTGCCAATAATCTTGTCATCAACAAGGAAGCGCATACGGAAATATGTGCGCTCGATTTTGGGGATCAGCAAGTTGAAAGCTAAATAAAATATTTTTGGAAATAACCTTAAAAACAGGTCCTTTGAAATAATTCAATTAGAAATTTTTTCATGTCGATTTCGCCAGACCTCACTATTACCGTACCGATAATGTTATTGCGTTTTGTGCAATCTCATTTACACACGTCAGGTCATTCGTTTTCAATAAAAATCAAGGTAGCTGATTAAGTTATTTTGTTTTGATATATTCAAAATCAAATTCTAGTGATTCCATTTCATCCCATTGTCCTTATCCTCTTTCTTGAATAAATTATTCAAAATCACCTTTTAACAAACAACAACAACAATTTATTCACTTTTAATGAAGCAATTCAATCTGACGATCGATAATGTCCACCATCGTCTGAAGCATATCTGCTGCATAAGTTTTGATAATCTCATAATTCACCTGAAAATATGTATCATGTAACTATAAGAAATAAAATTATGGTTTACCAAATCAGTGACGTCGCACAGTCTGTAGATCTCACTTTGAAGAATGTAGAAGTTTCTGACCATATTGAACCAGGTAACAATGTCGTTTACCGACCAATTCTCATTTTCGGACATTCTTCGCTCCTGCAATTTTGAAAATTCAAATTTAAATTTTTTGGCTTGAGAAATCAATACCAAACTTGCTTTCATGGAAGCGAATGATGTGATGACTTCTGGCCAATTGATTCCAGGGGGAACCATTTGCCTGGAAATGATAAAATCGTCGGAAAGAACAAAAAAGAAGGTATCAAAAAAGATCTACGAAACCAAAGGCTCGTGAATCTGCAAAACGACGCTGCTAGACGCTGGCGAAACGCAGACACCACGACGAATGAGCGCGAATATTCGAAATGAAAAGAACATTGGCATGTTGCCGCATTTTGGCAAAAACATTCTCTGCGCACAATACAGCCTGCAGACAATATGAGATCGCGAGCTCATAAGTTTGTCGTGACCTGCATTATGGAACAAATGAAAGCAGACATATGGTAATCGTCTGTTGCAGTGAAAGGGTCAGAATATGACGTGTTTCTACAGATGGCTTGTCAGAATAGTTGTGATCATATTGCATAGACGAGGGAATAGCGATTGCACATGAAATGATATACTCGCGTTTAAGGTTATTATCGTTTATTTTATAGACGAACAAGGGGAGAAAATGTTTCCATGATTGCCTAATGGTCCAACAATTCGTTTTCGTCAATCAAATTTTGGATTTCGTCAATAATACGGATCAGCTCATCAGCGCATTCACGAATGTTTTCCTGGAATACAAACTGAATATGTGAACGCACGCAGTTCAAATTTTTACCGGATTGTTAGGGCTAAGAGATCCAAGCGCGTTAGTGAATTGATCACATATATCAAAAATCATTCTATCCTGTCTTGGATTTTCCTGAGATAAACAGAAGGACTGAAATTGGAAATTTGGAAAAACAAAATGTTATGTTCAATCTTACAAAGCGTTCGCGACATCGATCGATTAATGGTTCAAGCGCCTCCCAAGAATAATAGCGTTCTTCACGTTCGGCTTGCTGCATTACTAAAAAACCTATATAACTGGTTGAATGTAGAATTAATACAGACAGAATAGAAATTTGGAGGCAATGTTTCCATATTATGTTGTTTTTAAATATGAAGTTTTCTTTTTCAATATTTAAGTTTATTTAAATTTCATTTAGGCTTAAACGATGAACCTTTAGTTATTCGGGCTTTTTTATATTCAGGCAACTGTGTTTGATGTCCATTTGCCTTATTAGTTATGCAATTAGTTTTGTGAAAATTATTTTTAAGATTTAAAAAGATTTCGTTTATTTGCTTACTCGAAGTTATAATATCGCATAAAACTATAAATACAACAAATCGCGCATCGTATGCTGAACCAAATTTGAAAACAGCTAATTATCCGATTTCGAAGCGTGTCGCTTATAATAAATATTTGTAAATCAATTGTATAGAAAAAAAGAAAAACAGAGGCGGAAAAATGAGTAGAGTGGAATAAACGAGAACAAGATTTTAAATATCTTGGAAATCACGCAATGTCTTAAATTCTCTCAATCTCTTATTTAACGCCTTTCACATGAAAATAAGTTTTTATCTGCATTTCAAAAACAAAACCGCTCTCTTAAATTGAGGAAAATGTTTGTACACCAGCAAATAACTCCTTTTATGAATTTCTCTTGGATTCCAGTGAAAATTTCAAATGAGACTACTGGTGTTAAATAATATAATATGTATATATACAACCAACCAAGAAATGAGCGCAATTTCTCTTTTGAAAGAGCAAATGCTGAGAATAAGCAGGCAGACAAGATTTGGTACGCAAGAAAAATGGAATTAGCGGAAATGAATGTCGCTTCGAATCCTCTAATCTAAAATAATACACCATTTCCATTCAAATCTATGTGCTTGAATCAAAAATCCATAATACGTCGTCTCTTCATTCAACCCCTTTTCACGAACGTTAAAAAAATCAAAGCGAATTTGACAAAATTTATTTGATAAATTGAATATTTGTCAGTTATCAACTTCCAGTAGATCCGTCCGTTTCCGTGTAGCCGATCTTTGGAAGAGTGTCAATAATTTGCTCAATCTGCACACGAAGACGCATGATTTCGAGAGCGAGAGTTCTCATGATATGCTGGAATTCATCACTGTGGTTAAGACGTTTATTTTGCGTTTCTTACGGCTCCTTCAGCGAAAAAAACAGGTTTAAATTGCAAGTCGTTCAGCTTTGTGCCGAGTTCTCCCAGTTCCCTTTTAATGACAGGCATCTCTTGATTAGGAGCTCCTGCCATACGCACGTAGCAGTAAAACTGAAAAGTATTAATCCAATTAGTTTGAATGATTCGTAGAGTTGTTTACATAGCGAAGCTCACATATATTCATGTCATTGATGATTTTGTGGTAGAACTCAGGATAGATGCGAGGAACCTCGTCCATTTCTGAAATTGTTAAATTTACATAAGATTGGAAATGTTGAAGTGCAGGGAAAGAAAATAAATGCAATTACAAATTACAAAATAAAACGGTGTACTGATATGCATTACATATAATACAAGTGGCGAACATGCAAAAAAATGGTGCACTGTTGTTCGTTTGCCGGCATCAGCACGCACAGACACAACATTCTGAAGGGGCGTGCCGCGATAGTGCTAAGCTCTACGTGCCAAACGTTATGCAATCACTACAAAAGATCGCAATAGAGCGACTTTGATCGTCCTTTGAAAATAGTGTGTAAATTGATGAGATGGGAAAGACAACATACAATTTTTATTACCAACCCATATTTGTGAAGATATACGGTACCAAATATAGTTGGATGAATAGCGAGCCCGCCACATTTGCCGTTGATGTTCTAAGAAACCGGCAAAGAAAAACATTATCTTGAATGTATTGATGATAAAATATCTGAAAAATTCAAAACTGTAATATTATTGTTTGCCGAATAAAAGGGATGGCGTAGGTGATGGAAAAATTTAGCACGGAAAGTGATTTTTGGTGACTTCTGCATAAATATCACCTTTCGTTGGTCGCAATAGCCCTCTTTTCAAAACTGGCTTGCATTAACAATTTTCATCTGCGGATTGATGAATTTAGATTATTCAAAGTCGTTTTTAATTTACAAGTCCGTTTAAAATGTTAGATTGTCCAATAATACGAATATTATATTAACCCCAGTTCTTAAATTACGTTTTATATTATTAATTTTTCTCTATATCTTAAACCATATTGTGTTTATTGGGAATAGAGAAATTTTTTCATTGATGTCTTCTTTTGCGCTGAGTTGCGAATTGTTCACCGATTGTCGGCAAGAACTCGTATAATAAATCCGCAGACAATGATGACAATAATTTTTGCTTTGATATTAGAATGTCATAGCATCTGGTAAGAAACTACTTTTATAATCACACTGTGTTTATTAGAAATGCGTATCTGGATCTGACAGTTTTCTTGAATGAGGGACTTTTTTTCAAAATATCTTCAACATAGAGTTTTAAGACTAGACAGACCTAAGTAATTATCATAAACATAGTAAAAGAAAATATTTTTCATAGTGGGCTTAGTTTGGTGTGATCTGGTCAGTTCAACGTTATATATATACATATATGCAAGACATAGTTTTTATTCTCCACAATGTATAATATAATTAAAAATACTTTCTAATTCGGAGAACGCGTGATATGTAAATTTCTCTTCGAGAAAAAAATGTGTCATACTGATAAGAGCGCACAAAATGAGTTTCAGTTTTTTGCGAGGTGCTATTGAAACATTTCGTCGTTTCTCACACCAATCTTTGCTGAAATATACAATTTTTTTTCGTGAAACTTCCATTAGCACAACAATGAAATCGTGCAAAATATTGAAAAAACGAAGCGTGGAAAATGTCAGTAAAGTAACAATTTTGAAATGTAAACACTTAAAAATTCAAATTTCAATATAGTTTACGCAATTGAAATAACAAAGAGTTCAAGAAAATGAATAACTAAGGTTGTTGCAACAAATGAGACAATCATGTCAACGAATGATTGATAAAACAAGTGAAATAAGTAGTTTGATAGTCAACAAACCTGCCCTTGAATGTGACTATGATAGCATGGCAAAAAAACTAAAACAAATATATAAAGCCTTAGTTACAAAAAGGTCACTAAAGCAACTAGTCAATTAAATTATACATATATATATATATGTGTGTATTGCTAGATTATGTTGGAGAAAGAAAAAATAAAGCCTTAATTAATAATAGCGGTCGAAAATCAGAGTGATGAAGTTGTGAGGGGTTGACGGGGTTCTGGCACGGCGTTCTATTCTGATCAATGGACCAACCAAGCTGGTGAGGTGATCTGTCATTAAATCCTGGTCAAAGCGCTTGGTGCGTACTTTCAAAGATATTGCCTTTGCCTGAAATTCGATGTTTCATATCAATGAAAAATATTTTTTTGAAATATACCCGCAACTCATCCCAAAATCGTATTTAACGATGCGCAGTGATTGATTGCAAAAAGATTTGAGACCATTGCGTATAAATTTTGCGGTATTCTATGAGTAACCGGCTATGCTCAGGTCGTCGTAAATTTTCAAGAACCTTAAAATTAAATATTTAATGTTTTGTCTGAAAGAATTTAAATCTATTTCTTGAGAAAAACTTCTTCTTACCATACAGTTTGACAGTTGTCTTATATATGCATTCACTGCTTGTATAATTCTGCTCACAGATTCTCTACGAGTTATGGTCATTCTTGTAACCGAAATTGTAAAACACGGTAAAGTAAAGACGACGAGAAGCGACTGGCACGATGAATCAAGAATGTGCTGTGTGTCAAAGAGGCATGACTATAAACCGCGGGAAAATGTTTTAAATTTGAAAAAAACCACTTCTGTCTGTCCCAACATAAATAACCAATGAGAACAAATAAAATCGCCATGTGCGAAATTTGTCATCTGCGTTCCATTTGTTTAATATTCAGTAGATTTTAGGTGTCTGGTCATGAAGTTCAGCCAGATGAAACAACTCCATCCTGAAATAGAGAAATTTGAAAAATGGGTGAAAAGGTGCGTTAGCGGTAACTATTATACTACTACTCAAAAAATTATAACCATATAATGAGAATAGCAATTATTAGAAGTGCAAGACTCACACCTTCAAATTTTTTAAATTGCATTTTTCGAACGAACTATCATTTCGATTCTATTTATGCTTTTTTTTATTTTTTAGTTTTTCCTATTTCTTTAGCCTGTGAACATTCATCGAGAAGTCGTAAACAATCTGAACCCTTTTATTTTTTATATCAGCTTATTTTGTTATAACGAGATTCTGCTTAAAGCATTAATTATTAAAAATTCCTTTTAGGAGAACAAGAAAAATTAAACATAAAACTGTAAAAATAATCCATCTTATATTTTATAAAATTTCGCTGAAGCGCAGCTGATTTTTGATCCATAACATTATAATTAAACTATGCTCCAAGTAACTGATTATTCATTGTGCACTTTATAATTAGCTTCGTCATTATAGCTTACAAAATGTGTTTTATGAGAATGAAACTCATTCATAACATTCTGCTTATTTTCAAGAAAATTAGTTTTTTTTTTTAGGTTTTCGCAATTTTTCTTCAAAAATGAGTGGCAGCGTTTCTGAAATCGACGTAAGTGCTTTTAGAAATCAATAGCAAATGCTGTGAAAATATCAGGCTCTCATGAATGAAATTGAGCAATGCATCGAGGATGTCGAATTTTTATTTGTAAGCGGTTCATTAATTTATATATCAATATATTAATATTTCAAGGGTATGGACGCTATGTTGCACTGCAGTATGCGCGATGTGCTGTCTTCGAAAGCAGGTGATATAGCCTCGGAGTTTGCATCCAACAAATTCTTCTACAGGATTGGGCGTTTGCCATGTTGGAAATTATTGGTGAAATATTAAACATAGAATTCATAATCAAATTGATTTCAGCCAAGGCTGAAAGTACTCAAAAAGGATTTGGCATTTTTAATCAATGCAATTTCAAAAGCGTCCAATGTGGTTATCAACGACGAAGACGATAATTGCACACTATGATCATAATTCTATTTTCTGTTTTTTTTTTTCAATAAATTTTAACAGAAAATGATATAAATATTTGAAATAAATAAGCTTTCATTTCTGTCGACAAGAGTTACGCAAATACATTTCGGTTAGTTATCTGCTCTGCTTAATTCTGTACTGCGTAAGAGTTTGGTAATTTCTCACCAGTGCTGGGCACAAGTCAATTAAGCAGTATTATCTGCAATTCGATCGGTATGGATTATACTTTTTTCAATTTCCTAATTAGGTGATGCCGAAAAATAATAAGAGAATTTTCTACTCTTTCCTTTTTCTCATGGCCGAATCGCTCAATCATGTGTATTCACATATTGACGAAATTATTGCGAAGCGAAAATATGAAAAGTTTTAAAGCGAATGATTTCACAAATACATATGTAAGTCCCCATGAATTTATATTTTCGACCCAAGAATCATTTTCCAATAAACCTTCAGTATGAGATACAAATGGATTAAATCACATGAAACAAGTAAAACATTTTAATTTTCTCACAACAATGATACATAGAATCAAATTAACGGCTGGAACGTAGAAAGAGACACCTGCAACCTAGAGTGACCTGAACTGGATAATCTCATAATTGCTAGTGCGGTTTTTTGACTTCCTGTTGTCATCTGTGTTACTTATATATCACAAAAGCTTAGAGCGTCTCAATCTTTTTGGTGATAGAGCGTTTGAAATGAAAAAAACACAAAGAAGTCACAAATCTTGACATCAATTTGGGGTCATTCTGTAGCTGATACTTTTTCAAAATGTTGGTGATTTTAATACATACATTGAAGTCAAAAATGTTTTTTTCGATTCTATTAAAATTTTTCTTTTTTGAAATTATTAGGTAATAATATTTAATAGCTCCAGATGTTTTTCCTGGCTGACCTAAGCAGCTAGCAGCCTTAATGTACTAGTTGTTAAACAAATGGAACGCAGATGACAAATTTCGCACATGGCGATTTTATTTGTTCTCATTGGTTATTTATGTTGGGACAGACAGAAGTGGTTTTTTTCAAATTTAAAACATTTTCCCGCGGTTTATAGTCATGCCTCTTTGACACACAGCACATTCTTGATTCATCGTGCCAGTCGCTTCTCGTCGTCTTTACTTTACCGTGTTTTACAATTTCGGTTACAAGAATGACCATAACTCGTAGAGAATCTGTGAGCAGAATTATACAAGCAGTGAATGCATATATAAGACAACTGTCAAACTGTATGGTAAGAAGAAGTTTTTCTCAAGAAATAGATTTAAATTCTTTCAGACAAAACATTAAATATTTAATTTTAAGGTTCTTGAAAATTTACGACGACCTGAGCATAGCCGGTTACTCATAGAATACCGCAAAATTTATACGCAATGGTCTCAAATCTTTTTGCAATCAATCACTGCGCATCGTTAAATACGATTTTGGGATGAGTTGCGGGTATATTTCAAAAAAATATTTTTCATTGATATGAAACATCGAATTTCAGGCAAAGGCAATATCTTTGAAAGTACGCACCAAGCGCTTTGACCAGGATTTAATGACAGATCACCTCACCAGCTTGGTTGGTCCATTGATCAGAATAGAACGCCGTGCCAGAACCCCGTCAACCCCTCACAACTTCATCACTCTGATTTTCGACCGCTATTATTAATTAAGGCTTTATTTTTTCTTTCTCCAACATAATCTAGCAATACACACATATATATATATATGTATAATTTAATTGACTAGTTGCTTTAGTGACCTTTTTGTAACTAAGGCTTTATATATTTGTTTTAGTTTTTTTGCCATGCTATCATAGTCACATTCAAGGGCAGGTTTGTTGACTATCAAACTACTTATTTCACTTGTTTTATCAATCATTCGTTGACATGATTGTCTCATTTGTTGCAACAACCTTAGTTATTCATTTTCTTGAACTCTTTGTTATTTCAATTGCGTAAACTATATTGAAATTTGAATTTTTAAGTGTTTACATTTCAAAATTGTTACTTTACTGACATTTTCCACGCTTCGTTTTTTCAATATTTTGCACGATTTCATTGTTGTGCTAATGGAAGTTTCACGAAAAAAAATTGTATATTTCAGCAAAGATTGGTGTGAGAAACGACGAAATGTTTCAATAGCACCTCGCAAAAAACTGAAACTCAGTTTGTGCGCTCTTATCAGTATGACACATTTTTTTCTCGAAGAGAAATTTACATATCACGCGTTCTCTTAGCAAGTATTTTTAATTATATTATACATTGTGGAGAATAAAAACTATGATTTGCATACATTTACTTTGCATACTTATATGTATGACAGGAAAGTCAGGAATTGCTTTTTCTAACACTAGAATGTATTTTTGATGTTGAACTACATACTAATTGCGTACATTCTCTTACATTTCTACAAATGATTGCAAATTTGTATTTAAATTGAATCGAAACAATTGTTTCAATTTTAACTTTTCTTCTCTTTATCATCTCATCAATAATTTTCCATTTTTTTTTTAGTTTGATAAACAAATTTCACACGCTCAAGATAAGCTTATAAACTGACAACTCTTAATCACGTTCGATATAAATATATTTGCGGACTTAATCCTGTTCTCATATTTGTCCAAATCCATACTACTCTACATTTATTTATTCAAAAAAATGGACATTTATTTCCATACAATTTTTTTAGATGTCTCTGAACTCGAAGGATATTATTGACATAGTTTTGAACGTTATTCAAAATTACTTCGCGCGGTTATCAAAATGCATAGTGAGTATTCGTTTTTAGTTGCCCAACATCTAAACGTTTTTAATTCCAGAATTGGGACAGTATTCATTATGTTGAACATTTTGAGCTCTTCATAGAATATCATGCATTATATGATAAGTGGGTGAAGTTAACCTTCGAGAGAAACACTTATCCAATTGAGAGTGAATTGGTGGGTTTTCAATTATAGATTTGAAAATAAATATCAAAGTTTTTTTTATTTTAGGCTACATATGAAATGATTTTAGAAGTCTATGCGCTTCAAAGTCAAGTTCGTATAATGGATGCAAACCTTATAAAGGCTCACGTTTACACGTACGACCCGCATAAGCCCCTTTTGAATCTCAGAAATATTGATCACGTTTCCCAAAAACGGGATGATAATTTCTTTACATATATTTTCCATTACGACTATTAATAAAACAATTCCTAAATTTTTGTCAACTTTTAAAATGTCTACAATAAATTAGTAATTTCAAAAATTGATAAAGATTGGATATCGAGCCCGTTATTCTTTAATCGTACTTGTTTGAAAGGAAGCTGAAATGAAATAAATAATTTGCGGGAGCTAAATATACAGGGTGGCCCATAATTATGGAAACACAAATTTGAAGCCTTCTGTCAGATGCTGGCGCATTTTTCGTGCCCCAATTTTATTTATTTATTTTTCAGCATGTTTTGATTACCCTTTTTCCAAATTTTCTAGTTCCTAGCTTCATTTTTGCTGGAATGGTAGCCAATTCAGTGCACCGAGGTACCATTATCGATATGCCGACGTGAGGAAAGAGCGACAGTTTTATCGCAAAAGCTCACGGAATCTCTCTATCAACAGTTTGTAAAACAAAAAACGAAACAAGGAGCTTAACACACTTGAAAACCGTCCGAGAAGTGGAAGACCTCGCAGTTCTATAACTCCGGAGAGGATCAAGGTCGCCAGAGAACGAACTCGAAATCCGCAGCGGAGCATGAGAAAGATGAGCTGGGAGCTTGGTATGAGCAAAAATAGGAGCGCATGCTGGATTATATCACTTTGAATGTGTTTCCATAATTATGGGCCACCCTGTACATCTGTCGAAATATACGGAAAATTCGGTATCTGACTTCTTTAATAATTACCTTGCCACACCTTCTACACTTTCGTCATACGATGTTGCTGACTTCGATTTTCCGCCATGGGATTCATTTGTCGATGCTGAGAAACTAAATCTTGTGCGTAAGTTCACCGAACTTCTGTACGGATGGCTCTTTTTAAAACAAGATAGTGAGATTAGAAAGAATTCGGTTGGAATCAATATTAAAGTAAGAGGAATATAGTCAAAAATTTCTATTTTTATAATTTCAGAATAATATGAAGGAGCTCAAGTTTTGCCTTCGTGTTTTCGATCAAAAGCTGATGAGGAAGCATATGTTGCGGAACGAAAAACGTTTGAATTTTGGAAACATGCAGTATCCATCTTCAAAAATATACTGACATTGAATCTTCTGTTTTATGTAAATTTTTACATATTGTCGGAATTCAGTTTTCAAAATGTTTTCTTCATTTTACTTGCTCTTTCATTTTTCCAGCTTCTACTCCCAAACGTTTTTTTTTCATTTCACAGTGATAAAACTGCATAATAAATTTTAATATGTTCGTTCAAGACAATATGTAGTTGTTGTCCGACAAACTGCAAAAAGCCTGTCGAGTATCTTCATGATAGGTTTTTCGATAAAGATAATAGTGGCATAGAATACCCATGCGCGCTGTTTTCATGGAACCGCCAAATGTATTTTGAATGCAGTGGACATGTTGAGGCGGTTTTGCGTTGAGTTACACCGAAAAGCTACGGGTCGCTCTTTGACAATAATAATTGAAAATATAAAATAATTGAAAAAAGGTAGTTGGAACTTGGTTTATTTATTGTTTAAAAATCTTCAGAGTCCCACAGCAAATCTCTATAATTCAAAAACAGTATTACTTGTTCATGATAATATGTATTCCTTGTTTTTACCAATTCCTTACATTCATTTGCAGTGAATTCTTGACATTTTTCAAAATTATTAAATGCTTTAAACGAATAATGTGATTGCCAGAAAATTTGAAAAAAAAAATTAAACAGATGTTGCGTGGAGATTGAATAGCGTTCTATTGTGTCAGTCGCATCTATTATGTTAGCCTCGGTTTGCCGTGAACAACAAAATTCAAATAGTTAAGAAGGTCCCGCCCATTTCAAAACTGCTCCAATCATTCTGTAGAGAATTCAACTAGCACCCAATGACTCGCTACGAAAGCAGCCGCGTACTGTTCGAAAGAAATGTGATGACTATTCACTCCTACCTGAAACGGTTAAATGAATGCATTGTAAGTTTTATTTCGATATTATTTTTGTTTTAAAATATGCCATTCAACAGATGTCTGAACGGTTCACAACTCCTGAGCAGCAGCAATTATTGAGAGAGTTCGGCAAACTTAACAGAAGATGTGAAGCAATGAGAAGAGCGCTTAATCCCGACCATCGAAGAGTGCAAAACTACGACTACCTTGTGGTTAGGCTCACCCCATTATTATTTTTACAGTATTCGTTCATTGCAGGATAAGATATATTCGCTAAAGTATCGCGTTCGTAATTTTGACGCTGCGTTTGCCAAAGAGCACTCGACCAATGGCCCGCTTATGCGCATCTCAGGATCATCGCGAGTGCCAAATCCGTACGCTTTCCTCAGCATGGTCTTTGGACTCTCTTACTAATTTTTTAAAATATTAATAAATTAATTAATGTTAAGAATCGCATTGAAAACTTTGCACATAGTTTATCACTCCGAGATTGGTTCCTTCTGAAAACATGATAATTCTGGTTTGTCCATCACGGAAAAATGTTTTAAACTCTCGAATGTTTCTGTTTTCACGGTGGACATATATAAACAGATGCTCGTAGCTAATATATTTTCAGAATGTGAAATTGGGTACACATAAACAGCTGCCCACTTTTTTTTGTAATTTTTGCAATAGTTTGCGAAATTGTTGATGCGATTATGTACTGATTTAAAAACTTTACACTAATTTCACATTTATTCAAAAATAGCAATGTGCGCAATCAAATAATCCTTTCAAACATGTTACATTTCCAACCAAAATTTCTCAATTTCATCGCGGATATCTTGAATGCTGGCGTGCCCACGCATAGCTTCCCTCTAAAATGAAAATGACATCTGTTATCCGTACGCTGAAAAAAAGCGTACAAAAGCATTAGTAAAACACATTGGCGTGCTGCTCAATGAAACCAACGAAGCTTCAAATTCGTCAACCTTTTTCGATAGGACATCAATTTGAATTTTTGTGCAGTTGAGGTGAGGCGTCTAAGGTTTTGCTAAAAATTACAAATTGCGAATTTTTTTATTGTACATACTTACAATTCTTTTGCGACATCGCGCGATAATCCGCTTAAATTGCCGTTTAATGTTGTGTTCTCTACTGCCCGGTGAGCTCATGGCTGTATTAACCGAATTTTTAGATTAATTTATCACAACTAATATGTCGCAAAATTGACTGATTACAAATTTTGTTGTAGAAATTTTCATTTTTTATCGCCTATAACAGCGAAACAATAAAATTGTAATATTTTAAAATTAGAATTTAAAAAGTGTATTTAAAGCATACATTTCAGATGGTCCAAAAGTCAAAAATTTTCAAATGTGAAGGTTCTTTGCGTTTTCAAACGATCAAGAAAGCTCGTACAGACAACAATTCCAATTTTTCAAATTCGTATGTCGTTGACAATATAAATTAATGAGGTTTCTCGCTTAATTTTCCTTCGCTTCGCTTAGCCATTTTTTTCCGCCGACACTCCCGAAAAATCGTTGTTTTCCTTTACCCTAGACGCACTTGCAAAATGATAACTAATGCTGTTTTTTTTTTTTCACTTTTTGATGTGTATTTCGACTTTCTTGTGTTTCAATCCCGCTTCAAATTTTGGAGATTTTCCAAGATAAACTTTTTTTTTTTTTATGTGAAGCTTGAGTCTGTTAATCATTTTGATGAGAGCAGATTTCGCATGTCGCCATGGAAACAAACTAAATGTTTCAAACAAATAAAATCAACGAGGTTGTACTGCGTTATCGCAATCTTGAAACTTTCAAAGACACATGAGCGAATTAATAACATTGGACACGCTTCACTCAAATTCTAAAATTCAATTTAAAATTCCGTTTGCTATACAAAATGATTATCAGATTATTAAAATAAGTGCTTTCATTTTCATGAAAATGACGCAGCCCGTTTCTCATTTTCAATTAAACTCTGTATAAATAAGAGCAGAGAGCGCTCTAATTGCATTATTTCGTCTTTTATTGTTTTTTTTTTTTCGTTTAATGGATTTGCTGCACTCAATTTTCGGATGTTTCCCATTCCAATGCATTTGGCAATATTCATTCCTCAAACAGTATTCCACCTTTCTTTTTTATCATAATAGAAAACGAACAGACTCGTATCTCCTCCTTCCTTGTGCGTCTCATCATATTCACATGATAGCAATGCTGTCGATGATGTCTCTTTTTAAATGTCTCATTTCAGTTCTTCGACATGATCCTCAATACGCAAGGCGTCGAAAAAACGTTGATTGCTTTGCAGGCATACGTCAACCGTCTAGAAATTGCTTTGGTGAGGATTAAATCAAATGAATTCATTATTTGCTAATAATTTTAACATTCTAGATAAGACCCAATTTTGAAAATCCCTACCACATCGATCATCTTAAGGACTTTGATACATATAAAGAGAGACTCCTGAACTTGAGGTTATCCTACGATAATGACCGTCGAACTCAGCAATTTATCAACAGACTTCGAGTAATGAAAAAGAGAATTATTCATTTGAAAATGTTTTTCTTTCAGATTAAATTAAATACGTTGAAACTACTCCTCAAACAATTAGATCGAGATATGGCAATAGCTTACTGGACGATTAGCGTGAAGCCGCTTCTGGCAAACATTGGAGTCCCATATCCACGAACACGGCATACATTCCCGAGCCTTCTCTTTGGAAAAGACTATTGATGCAATTGAGCATTCCAATTCGAACATAATAATATATAATTAGAGCATTTCCCTATGAGAAGACGGTTTTTCTTCTCTTTGTTACATTTATAAGTAACCGACATTTATAAAATGAAAACTCATATTTTTAAAAGCTTTGATAGTAAATAAAACATTGAATTTGAAAAAAAAGTTTGACGTTAACTTTAAATCAAACTACGTAGTCCTGGCCTCGGATATTAGCAATCAAAAAATTCTAATAAATGAAAGGAAGATTGCTGTCTATTCACGCAATGTTCGTGTGTTTCGAGTAAAGAGCATTTTCAGTTATTGGAAAATCCCATTATTTGATTCTTGGTTTCTTTGCACCCTATATTTATTTCTCATATTTTCGTAGTGAATTCATTGAAAGCATTTCAAAATTTATTCAGAAGTAAAATTTGAATAGTTAATTTTCACTGCAAATTCCACTTTCTGTCGATTTTAGAGTCAATGCAATATTAAATATCAATGGGGCATATTTTTGGCAAGAATCCTGAACATTGTAAATTAATAATTTATAAATACGAAAGGCTTACTATTAGTTTATCAAAAGTGATTTGATTGTTTTCATATCTATCTCTCAAACCGAAGGCTTCCGTAGAGTAATGCCGAAGAAAAACTCCCAGTGACTTTATTGCAATAGAGCTAGAAGGCGTCAAATGCTCAATTAGAGCTTTTTCGGTGGTTATTCCTATTCGGAATGATTCCAACACGTTCTATTGAATATTGTGTTAATAGTAAAGAAGAGTGTTGGATTTACCATAAGATTTTGGTATCGAGTATCATTATTCATTTTCGATTAGGTTAGCTGTAAAACACAAACTTGTGTACTATTCTGTTAACAACCGTTAAAAAAAGACTAGTAAATGATGGTTAGTATTGTTTGAAATGGGTGAAAAGACCATTTCCACGAATGAAAAACAGACAACAAGGAGTGATAGTCTATGATAAAGCGAGAGGGTTTTCTAATTGCCCAAAAAACTGGAAGATGGATGGGGTAATTAACATCTCTTCACACTAATCGTTAACGTGGAAACACATCAAAAGTTGTTATCAAAACGCATACGCATTCGTTGAAAAATTGAACAAGAAGAACCGAAAATCATTTGCTAATACAAAGAAAAAGTGATTATCATTGAGAATTCAATAAATAAGTTGGGTTGATACTCTCCGATATTAGAGAAAAGAATAAGTTATCGTTTTAATAAGAAGTCTCCGGCAAAGTTATCGATAAATTATTTTGATATCACATGACTATTAACTGACCTTATTGTAATATATAAAATTTGTGAAATGGTGAAATTCGTAGAGCTATTGGTATATGATATGATATAATTTAAGATTTGTTTTGGATGCAGATGTTTCCCACACACCACCTAGTATTTCACCCAATTAGATAAAATGATTAATGTGTCTTATATTTCCATGGCGAGAATGGGTTGAAGGTGAAATAATGATCAGCAATATTTTATTACATATTTCTTACAGATACAATTTATATTTTTCTTTTTACTTCGAATAATCGATTATTGGAAGAAGATGTAGATATTGAAGCGAACACTACAGGTAGGAAATGATTATTCTTCAAACAATTATAAATATTATTTTCAAGATGCAGTTGGCAAAACTAGCTGTCGACATAAGAACGTTCAAAAAGTCAATAGTAGGTCAGATCATTTTTTGATCTGTCAAATTTATCTTTAGATTCTCTCGAACTTTCAAACTTACGAAGAAAAGTTGCTTTTTAAAAAATTTGACATTTTGAGAGAAATGCTCAAAAGACTTCAATTTCGGAATGGATCCTTGTCACTGTCGATGCTATTGGAGAAAATTGCTAGTAAATTTAACATAAATTAAAAATAGAAAATTTCAGCGAAAAACGCATTTATTTGAGACGTTAAACTCTCGATTTAATTGGGAACACACGGAAGTCTGTATCAGAAGCCAGCGACCATTGATCACAATAGATGCATAGTAAATAAATAATTAAAATATTGAGCTCACTTTTTTTCACCCTGCCCTCGGAGCTTGCTCGTTTTCACTCTAAGCGACCATATTCGAGCAATTTGCATGTTTTAATTGAGAGGAGAATGAAAAGGAGGTTACACAGAATAATGTGATGTTGCCAAAGAACACAAAGCAACAGTTTGGTAATTGCTCATTATTTTTTTCTGTACTTTATTGGAACACTTTCAACAAAATTCTTGAAGAGGGTTCTCGCTCAAATTTTTTTCTAAATTTCGTGCAGCTTCCTAACATGCCACACTAATTTAGTAATTTGAATGTAATCGCAGAGAACAATACAATTTAGATGTAGTTTGATTCTCATTACATTATATAGTGTCTGCTAAGCACCTGCACCATGGCAACTGCATATGGCAAGAGGATAGAATCATTCGACATTCTGTAAAACTAGAAGTTACAATTGTATTAACTTTAAATATTAATTTAACCCATTTAATTGTTGTCACAAATAGAAATTTTCAATTTGTGCCGAAATCGCCGTGCAATATGCAAACAAACATCTGCCTCGTGCTGTCTTTTTGATTTAATAGTATTCCAGGAAAAACCACTCGAACCCACGAGTAATGCCGGAAATTATAAGCTTTCGTTAATCTAAAAAAATAAACCAGCTAGTACAGAGAAAGACTACAAACGCATAACGATTGAATTTCGATAGCCGGAAATTAATCGAATTGAAATATATATAACCATTTCAAATTTCCCCAAAATGCATACGTCAAAGACCTCAAATGCTATTGAGAAAAGGCCTTTGTCTAATAAAAAAAATTAATTTGACGATTTTCTGTCAGCTTTACAAAACTAAATAGATTTATATATGAAAAAACAAATGTACAGACATTTAGATAAAATATGTAATGGCGCGACGTGGCTGTTGAGCTGTTTCGCACATTCTCGCAAATCTTCTCATGTACCGACGATAGAAACGACATTGTTCCTGTATATTGTTAGAGTTTATTATTAATTGTTAGTATGAAGAAGACTTCTTGATTTGACCATGTTTTTATTTGTGCACAGGGTTAATGGTTGAAATATCCAATGCTTTGATCAGAAGATCATCAGTGATGTTATTTTGAGATAAATACTTGGGGATGGGGTGTTTAATTACCCAAGTTTGAAGTAATTAACATCCCTGATGATGATCTTCTGAACGAAACGTTGAATATTTAAACCAATTAACTCTATGCACAAATAAAAACTAGTCAAATCAAGAAACCTTATTCACAGTAACAATAAATAGTACCGATGCACACAACTAATGTCATCTCCTCCCATCTACTCAAATTGTTTATTATTTATTTTATCTTGTATGATTTACCAAAACATAGTCGCGAGTGACAACGCCATGAGAGTAACGCCACATAAGAAAGACGATGTTGGAGAGGTAAGCATTGTTAAGGAAATTTATATTTCTAAAAGGCTCCTCATCTGATTGACTCTGAATAATCAGCTCAATTTAAAAATATTTTTTCTTGGAGACAAACCGAAAGTTCATTGAGAAATGCACCGAGACACATAGTATCAACGACTTCTTGAAATCCGGAACGCGCGTTAAAAACCAAAGCCATTTTGCCTCGATTAAGCTGCTCGCCTGCTGCTGCTGCTGCAAAAACAAAAATGGAGACATAGAAGGCGAGGAGGTGAGCGCGGAAACAACATTGCAGTAGAGAAAAGGCGCGGATGAACGCTTTGGCAGCAAACAATTGATTTCGTAATTCGAAAAAAATATCGGGTTTCAGTTAAAATTCAAATAGATATGGGTTTCAATTAAAAAAAAAAACATTTAATATTACAACGTTATTTCGGCATCCGTTTCTCTTAAAAAGGATAATTGTACAAGGTTTTAAATTCTCGAAAAAGAAAGCATTGAAAAACAAAAAGAAGTCATGATGCCGTCGACCACATTGATAATGTTTATATTAAACTATTGAGGGGACGAGAGTGTTCTATTCGAGAATGGCTATACAATTGTACCTCGCTATGAACAATTTGTGTGTGCACTGAACAATTTTTGGAGTATTAGTCATTCGATAATCAAAAATTATTAGATTTGTCGTGTATTGATGTTGTCCGGAAATTATGGTTGTTATGCTAGCAGTAATATGATTTGCAAAGGACCAGTGATATTTGCCGCTGGGTGCAATGCGGAGTTGTTCAAAAATGAATGCAAAGAAATAGAGCAAAAACGGTGTTTAAAAAAATAAGCAAAGGAATTCTGACCATGTTATAAGAGTAACAGCTATTTTTGAAACTTTGGTTGGAATCACTAAAATTTCCGAAAAATGGCAAGATAGAAGGATGAATGACCATCGTTTTTGATGTCCTTATCAACAACTAGATTCATCATTCTCATTTACATTTTTTCAACTCTTTAATTCGTCTAGCAGGTACTAATTAGCTTGTGATGAATGAGCTCAATGTGAGCTGTGGACAAAGTCTCACAACAGTTAGCGATTGACGCGAGCTCAGAGTGACCACAAAACTGGAGCCTGTAACATTTACAACATTTTTCTAAACCGCTAAAGTTGCATGAGATAAATGAGATAAGCATAACAAAAAAGATAGGGTTTACAGCCTTATTTATAAAAATGCTCTTTTAATTATTTTTTAGAAGCCCTCTGCTTTCCATAAGATTTCATGTAAAAGTATAATCTCAAATATGTACGCAGTAATGACCATTCAATTAATAACGATACAATTATATCAAAGTTCGGTATTTTTCGGTACCATAAGTGCTATTTCGTTAAAAGCATTCTTTTAACAAAAGCTTTACAAGATTCTTCCCCAAGTAATTATTTCTGTCGTCGTTGGCGTTAATGCTATTACCGAAAAAAGACCACTGCTTCATTAGCGCTCGTACGAAGAATCACATCTCTAAAATAATCTTATTTTCATAATGTATGCGTAAATAATGGTTTTTTATTCAGAGATAAATATAACTTTTTTGTATCCAATAGCTAACAAACCTATATATTTTCCTTTACTTCATGAAAGATCGATTACAACAAAATATCACTCATTTTGGAGAAATGTGTAAAAAAAATGTTCAAAATAACTTTTTAAATTTTTTAAACGAATAAATTGTTTAAAATGATAATTTTCAAAGATTTCTAGGATTTTGGATATTTACTGAACATGTAATTTCAAAACTCCAATTTTCCCTGACATATAGATCGTAATTTATTTTTAGATATACAGTATCTTCCACTTAGATAATTAGTTTTTTGTTTCGTCTAATGGACTTGCAAATTTCAGCAGAACCTTACATATTGTGCATCAATACAGACTCAAAAATGTTATCAAATAAATTTAGATGTGATCTCAGCATTAAAGAGTATAAAGATGACTTGTAATTTATATCTAAATATAATTCCTCACTTTTTCATGATATGACCATACAATTAAAGAAGTATGCAACCCTTGCGGGGCTTCAAATTTAAATTTTAATTCGCCAAAAAACTGTTTTGGTTTCTGTGTTTTTTTTTTGTTTCCAATCATCATTTTTTTCAGAAAATACAAAAAATACGCCATTTTCGAATGCATTCCTTATTTTCCCAAACTTGTCTACCAGCGTCCGTCATAATCATAAAAAATCAATAAAAGCAAACAATTGGATTCGCGGAAGAGCGTTTTCTAAAAAACAATGTGCCGCTGCCGCATCATAAGAATCCAAAAAATTCCCTTTTCGTATTTTCCATACAATTTCTTCATCTCTACATTTTAGCAGTAACCATGAAATGGACAAATCTACTGAAATGCTTCGGAATTTTTAAGGAAAAGGAGTCGGAATATATCGAAATATCGTTTTTAGCGCGTGCTGAGGTAGAATTTGCTTTGAATCTTTAAATACATTCATTTTTAGAGCTATAATTGGAAAATTATGTCTAGAATTGGTATGCTCTATACCATTATGGCAAGTGTCTTTCAATACATATTGTCAAGTTACTCTCAATGCAGGGTTTTTTGTTCAGGATCAAACAAACAATGAGAATCTAAACCCAATGGAAGCACATGTTGCCAGATTATCTAAAGACATGAAAATTTTCATGGAGGCCAGGGCGAAAAAATGCAGATATCATGGACTTTCGCTGGTATGAACGTGTTTCAAACTAAACTATTTCCCTATTTTCAGCCAGAAATTGAGAATAGGCTGTCTGAGTTAGAGAAGGAGTTTCGAATGATAATGTGGGGAAGCAATTATATGCAAAAGCTTCACTTGGGCGCGTTCAATGGGTGTCCACCAACATAACTTTTGTTATATATATATATATTTATTTATTTATATTTATAATATTTTGATTGATTTGAGGAAACATAAAACAAAGATGGCAAAGTGGAATCATGATTCACATAGACGCCACACAAATTGCGCCAACACATACGCACCAGCCGCCAACCAGTCGCGCCAATTTTTCTCGGAGACAGCTGCTAAATATTCTTTTCGTGCAATTTGTAGATCTGCCTCTTGAGAACTTTTTCAATAATATAAATGCATCTGGCGTTGAAATTATCATATTTTTTTCAAAAACTTTGCAACCGCACAGTATTTGATACTCGATTGTGTTATCAAGTCAGAGGGGATCGTAAATATTCCAACACGATTTACGTACCTTAGTGTTTTTTGAATGATTTCAAAATTTGGTGCATTTTTTTTTCGAACACTACAAAAGATTGATGGTCTTGAATTATCTTCATCAAAAGTTGCGAAAAATGTATGCAAAATTTATGCATTTTGATGCCCAATTTTCGACGTTTATTGCATGACATTCTAATTTTTGTTACGCATTGCGAATGCTATATCGTAAACACAAAAGAAATTGTCCATTTTCGCTTATTTCTATTGTTATATCTTTTCTCAGTGCGTTCGCCGTTTTTTGCGAATGATAAGAAAAGAAACGAGGCGCGATTGATTTTTTTCAATGATATACGCCGCCGTCTTTAATTTAAACGACCTTTTCTGTTGCAGACAATAACACAAAATGAATGTCGATGACCAGACTTACGTCAAGGTAAAACCTCCTATACTTTTTGCCGTTGCGTAAATAAAACGTTTCAGACCAGCTTCAATAATTTATTTCATCTTTCACATCTCATGGCGGCTCGAATAGTAAGACCAACAGCGACTAATGACGCATTGTTTTGTTTTGCAGGAGTTAGCTCGTCGCTATGGACCTCATCCAAATTTTGACGCATTTCTTGAGTATTTCAATACTCAAATCCGATTGCTTCGCGAGTTTCATGATGAATATAAAAACACTCCCGAGGAAGAGAAGAACTATCCGGCTTTAAAAGTAACGATTGCGTCTAAAATTTGTGAGTATTGAAATTAACATGTTAAGGAAAAGCTAGTCATGTGCCGCGTCGAAATTGACCACATGGAGATTGGATTGGCTAATTGCACCGAGCATATGATCTATGAATAAAACAATTGATATTCCACTTTATAGAAAAAAGAAAACAACGACAAAATCTTTCTTACATAGTTTGACTTGATGATTCAAAAATTCGTCGATATCTCACATTTTATTAAAATAAATGGCTCCCCACCAAATTGGAGGGAGGGATATATTCGAATATATTCATCAATTTCGAGTCGCTTTTGCACCATGTCCCTTAGTTTACTGATCTAGATGGAAAAGTGACTCCAGCGATTGGCATTTTCTTGAGTTTTAATCTAGAAATTAAAAGCATTTTAGAATATTATTCACAAAATGTTCTTACGAGAAATTCCCAGTGAAATTCGATTTTAAGACAAATCTGTAGTAAACTTTCTCGCATACTACAAACAACATCGTGATCATATTTATCAAAGTAGTGGAAAACATACATTCGGTAAATGATGATAGAGAAATTCATTAAAACCATTCTGGCAGGATTGTAATTGAGATGACAAAATCTACGAACTCGAGGCGATATTCAGCAATTTGATTGATACATTTGATGTGAGGAGCCAAATCACCATCCAAAAAATTTTGAATTGATAAAGTTTTGTGGTGCAGTCTAAAAAATCTTATTTCAATCTTCTCTAAGTTTTCTTGTGAATATTACTATTTTTTCTTTATCTATATATGTTCCCCCTTTCCCACTTATGAAGTTACAAGCATAGTAATTCACCCCTTACTATTTTGATATCAGGCTGCGATGTTTAATGCGGTATCAGGATTAATAGTAAATCTTTTTCGTTTTCTATCCTGAAACGAAGCCACAGCTCTAGTGATCATTGGTTGATTCAGAAAAAAAAATAACAAAAAAATAATTCACGTGGGTGTAGTTAGAGCACAGACTACAATCTATCACGCATTATTCAATGAGGCGGAGACTACATAGAATACGTGTATCCTAAGAAAATAAAACAACCCTTTATGAGTTGGAAAAGTGTTATTCATCGAGCTTCTTTCTAAAACTCACGCTATTTTCTGTATTCATTTTTCTATAGTTTGAAGTTTGTGTTTGAAACTAACGTAACAACAAAATCAAATCAAGCCGTCAAGAAATTGAAACAACTTCAGGTGTGGCCGCTGAGTCCATTTGTTAATTCGAGCCCAACAAAACACGGTTATCACAATGAGTAAGATAGTGTTAGAAATAAATATGCATGAAAATGTTTAATTAAGGCAATCCCGATGTGACGTACGTACAAGTTATAGTAAGTTACTTCAATTTAATCGAAGAACATTTAAATTTTCAGACTTACCTGAACGCAGTTGAGAACAAAAAACATCAGTTCACACAAATTTTGGTGAAAATTTTATAATAAATCAAATCAAAAACATGTAAATAATAACGGTTATACTTCAGGAACAAACTCAACGCAGTAATTTAACTTGTATGTTGGACATTTACCAACGGTGCATCGACAGATTTCGCGTTACACTACAAAATGGCCAACCAGCACAAGAGTGTTTGCAACAACACGTAATAATTATTTTTGAAATGTTATATAAAATATGTTGATTTCAGTACAACTACATTACAATAATGGAGAGAGAGCTTGATTTCTTCGGACAAACGACGCTGCAGCATCCAAACTAGGCTTCATACCAAGGAATGCTCCGAAAATTAAAACATTTTATTACTTTTCTGAATAAACTGTACTCACAATCGTTATATTTTAACACCTTTTGAATTTTAAGCCTCAGTTAAAATTTTCATCTCAAACATTGAAATTTCATTTTATTCTATTTGATGTGATTTTAATTAATTACCACACTTCTTCAAAATTATTTGCATTAGCAGCCTGATCTAAATTTGAACACAAGAAATAAATTTTTAACAATTTTTTTCTAATGTTGTGGTTTTTTTTTAAATAATTATCTGCCAAAATGGCAAAGCAGGGCATTAATATGCTTTGACTTTTGATATTTTGAGCAGGTGAAATCGGTTGAAGTTGTTAAACATATAAATCATACTTCCATGAGTTTCCATAAATATAATTATTCGCTTAATTTAATAAAACATTTTAAAGAAACAAAAAACAGTATATTAATTAGTTTTATGAAAGAGAATATCGTGAAAAAGAAACAAATTTACGGCGGGCCCCCAAAGATTCGTATTAATATTTAAATTGTTAACTCAGAATTTTTCATTAAACATCTGTATGTATACATTTCCGTTTAACGTTTATTCCACTTTATCAACTTTTACTAGAAAATACATACTACGATTATCACGATGGCACATATTATTAATCTCGGACAAGAAAAGATTAAGTGTGCTGTGAAAGTCCTAGCGCTTGTAGTTAATTTACCAGCTAATGAAGGATAATACGGAGATTGAAAAAATTGGCAGTTCATTTGTTGGAGTGTTGGAGTACCGAAAGAAAGATTTCTATAAGCAATAGTGTCGTATCAAGAATCTCTTATTCGCTTTGGATATGTTGCGGAATCTGTGAAACTAACTTTATTTGGGGGATAATCAATATGAGAAATGATTATTTATTAAAGAGGTTTACAAATTTGTTAACAAGGAGCAACTTAGGAAATGGTGGATGAAAAGGCTCATTTGCGAAAAATCTGAGATGAATACATATGCCTTTCTGAATAAAATTGTTTTAAAATCGAAACAAGCACAAAAAATTAAGTTTTAAACTAAATACTGATATGTTCTTTTTTACATTCAATCTTTAAAATTCTAAGAAATATAATTAATTATGTACTTATTATGAATATCGTACGTTAACAAACACTAAATATGTCTCCAATAAACATTAATAATCACAGGATCATCGTGCAAGAAATGAAATTGAACTGGATGTACAATCTGGAATACTTTGAATAACATTGCCTTCGATTTCTACGATGAATTCATTGGAAATGTTGTGTATTTCATACGGATCGATTACAACTCAAGAGATAAATTCAGAACAAAAGTAAGTTTCAATTTTTTCTCTAAAATCAATTAACAATTATTGTTCTAGACAATATTTAACTTCTTTATTAACAATAAAATCAACTCGGGTATCACATTTTCAAAATCATTTATCTACACTAATATTTAGCTGGTTGTCTCATGTAATTGGATTATTTTTCATAAAAATATTATTAATAGCGTTCCTCTTAAAAAGGATATTATTCTAAATAAAAAATATAATTAATTGGGACTATTTTCTAGCAAAGTCTATCTGTTTCCTTCAATTTCCGAAAGAGCGGGAAAATTGCCCATCTAATTTCAAATAGGCTTAATCCGGCATAATTGCAACCCCTGAGTAGTGCTCCAATATAATTATTGGGTTTGCATCATGAAGCTTACGTGTTTTTTGGCTCGTTGATTTTCCAAAACTTCTCAATCCTCTCTCAACAATTATCAAAGCTGAACATGACTCAATTCATTCCATATAAAAATGCATTAATGCTTTCGCTACATGAAGCCTCCGTTCAAACAAGTGTATTTCCAAAATTGTGTGTTTCACACGGTGACCCGTAGTCCCTCACTTTCAAGGCTTTGCCATATCGATAAACAATTTTTGCTTCATATGTAGTGTGCTGACTTAGCTGCTCTAGCTTCTCTAATCTTACTGAAATATTATTCGCGCTTCTCCTTTTTGCAGAATAGATTATCACATATTAAAAACACTTTCATTTGGCCTGGCATGTGCTTTAGTATTTTAACTGATCAGTTGTTTATAGTCAAATTACGCGTTTATGTGTTGAAATAAAAACGATAAGGTGTGTGTGAGTACCACCACTCATATTTTTCTTGCCTTCATTAATTTCAGCCACATCATTCAGACGTTCTTTATTTCTTCATACTTTCATTCAGTGATTAATTGTTTCAACTTTCAAAAATATTTTAAAAATCAACTTAAATAATAAAAATAACAAAAATAGATAAAGTTCTTAATAGGTAAATGGATTCACGTATCAATGTCGTCCTGAAGGACGATAATGTCTACGAATCTGACCACGAAGATGAAATTGTCGAAAAAATGGATAATGCATGTACCCTTCCTGCAGATATTCCTGCTCCAGATGTAAATACCGTAAATGTTTCACTTCATTCTCCGGGTAGCGGCAATGGTCGTGTTCCAACTGCTGATAATGGTACTTTTTCAGCTCTAATATCTGGAATTGCAAACCCTACTGGTGCAGCGCCTGGTATTGGCCATGTTAGTTCTCCGACACAGCCTATTTGTGCCGGTAATGCTCCATCTCCGGCTCCGGCGGTTGTTAGACCACCCGTTTCGCTATTTCGTTTTGGATTTGGCCAACAACCACCATTGCCACTTCCTGTTATCGGTCAGAATGCACTTAATCTTGTTGCATGCATCAACAGATTTGAACACGAATATGTAAGAAAATATAATTGTAATAATTTATTGAACGTATAATTATAGATCACGTTACGTCGTTCAATGGGACAAGACGCAGATCCAGAAATTTTGAAACAGTTTGACTCTCACCGACAGGATGCCGTGTTTCTTGAGCATATCACTCGTACTGCTCCGCACACTGATTCAGATTTTTTGAGAGTACATTTTATTAGAAATAAATGCCGACATGAGAAATTTCAGCGCAACCTCAGAACCATCGCAATCAACGCTGACGGATTGTACGACAAGGTGGTGCGCCGTCGTTGATGAAGCATCAATTTAAGTTTTCATAAAACTATATTAACCAGTATCAATCAGTATCTAATGATAATCTTTAATTTTGTGAACTGATAATTCATGTTATAAACGAAATCACACGTATGTATTCTTGAATCCCAACTTCCCAATGTTTATTTATAATAGAACACAATGAAAATATAAATATATATATATGTGTCCATGTCGCGCAAGAAATGTTATTGCCATGGCGTGTTTCGAGTTTGACCTCATGACCTCACTTTTTTCCCGCGCGTGAATGTTTTCGCGTTGACGTGGCAGTGCGATAAGGTACGCTTGTTAAACAGTCAGTCATTCATTCATTTGCATTCATTTTTGCGTTTTTTTTTTTGTCTCATCCACAAAGCAACTTTACTGTTTTAGCATTGTTTTATAGCTGTTGTTATATTAATATTTATCGAAATCAAATTAAAGGATACCATGGATCCAAACGCCAACTTAAACAACGGAGAATACGCTATTGAATTTGAAATTGCTAACGACTCTGATGAGGATGAGACTGACTTAAGACAAAACGCAAACAACAATGTGCCTCCTAATGATTCTGGTAGTGATGACGATGATCGACATTTACGCATAGGCCCTGACGGACGACCTCAGTTAACGCACAATCAAGTTCAAAAGACAGCAAGAGATCTTGTGAAGTGTATCGATCAGTACCAACACGAATATGTAAGCTCACAACGTAAAGAAATAATAATAAAACTTTTCGATATTGTAGATTGAATCACGCCTTGCTGTGGGATCGCGTGGCAATCCTGAAATCTTACTAGAATTTGATGACCTTCGAGACCGTGCACTAAATATCGAAAACCTCAGTGTCAGAAATCCGCTTGAAGAAACATTCCAAATGACGGTAGTTTGAAGTTAACAATGTTAAAGCACATATTTCGTTTTAGAGAACTCTCAGAAATCTTTGCGAAACTCTCCATGCGTTGCACAGACGATTGCATCGCCGCAGATAAGTACGCACAATTCTTATTCAACATCATTAACGGCTTGAATTAACTGTTATATTAATAATTTTATTATATTTATATTAATAATTTTATTATATTTATTATTATTATTTATTATATTTATTGAAACTCTATTAACGTATAACGTGTTTTTATTGTTTTATTTCAACTAAAATTATCAACTGTAATAGTTGCGAACAAAATAAAAAGTGATAATATATTGAGCAGCCAAATTTACTACGATTAAGATTGTTTGTTAAAAGAATGCGTTTAAATCAAACAAAACAAAACGTTCTATGATATAATTATAAAAGTGTGGTGAGATTTTTTAAACCATCAACATATACATCAATTTTTTACTATTTATTGCACAAAAAAAATATATATATATAAACTTTACAAAAACAATTTGATTATTTTCCTTGTGACCTGATAGATGTTTGTTATGTATTTCGTTCATTAATTTTCAAGGGCAGAATCATGAGTTTGAAACACTTTGTTCCACAATTAAAAAATCGAATGGGTTCCTTTTAAATTTCTTTCGAATTTTGAGAATTTCACCTTCATCGTGTTTTATTGAAATTATTAATGAAATCATCAATACTGATGCTTCATTCTACACTGATTGCTGACAATCGAAAACAAACCGCGTTTTTTAATATTGCTAATGCATTTTTTCAATTTTTTTTTAAAGCCGAGAAGGTTTTAAATAACTAATCTTTTTTCTGTGCGGCTAGAAAGATGCTAAGTTTAGATATGCAACCATCAGAGCAATAATCCGAAATCCTCTGATCATCAGTCATTTTCTTCGCTTCGGAGGCTCATTTCGCAGTCGATATGTATAATGTGAGGTTAGCCAACGATAAATTGATCCTGCGCCATGAAAGGGCAGGTGGTTCAACCTTCTGAATGTAGAACAGTTTTTGGCTTTAATGTCGTTCAGGGCGTTGAGTTATTGAAAAAATACCAGTCACTAGGAAAATATAACTCATCCTCCAAATTTTTCTGTTTTCTCTTCTTTCAATGAAGTATTAGTCGTATTTATAATTTTCGTTTAATTAACATACATATAAAATTGAAAATAATCTTAATTAAAACATAAAATGTCTGTTACATAATTGGGGAACAAAATCGTTACTATTCATTGAAGTTATAGAATATATTTCTTGTTCGCATTATATGAGTTTTGAGTTCAACTACAACCAATCAACCAATTTATGTGTGTTTGACGAAAAACTCAATAACGATGAGAAACTCATTTAAATTCTCTATAGTCGTCACTTTGAGATATCTTAGAAACAGAATCAGGCTTGATTTTTCTTAGGCTGGCCACGCCTTTCCAGTGTTAATAATTGGGCGGGGTTGTGTTTCCAGCAGCTCAGGCTACTTACATCTCTTTTTTTAATCAACGGCGAGGAATTTAAGCAGAGCACAAATGGACAACGCGAAGCTCACCGAGCTTGACTTAGATTCCTGCCTCACGCAATTGCGTATATTGAAATCTAGCTTTGTAATAATATTTCATTTGGCTCAACTGACTAATTTTCAGTGTTTAGGAAGTCTTCTTTACAGCTACCAACACCCAGCAGGATTCTGAAATTATGAATATTTTGAATAATATTATAAATCGCTTGGAAGAAATGCAATCAAACATCGCGACTAGAAATCAGAAAGATATTGAGGTAAATAGTAATTTTTGTCAAAATTTCCAAAAAAATGAATTTCAGGATTGCGTTCAATCCGGATTCTACAATCTCACTGCTCTTCAACATGACCTTGATCGCCTTCACCTCTCTCGCATTAATGCCGACCAGTAACAAATCTTGGTTAACCTCAAACTATGAATAAAATTGCAATAAAATTTTCGCACCTTTTCTTCATACATAGTTGTTAATCAAATCAAGAATATGAAGAACTTTTTAAGAAAAAATTGAAATTAAAAGGTGTTTTCAATTTTGCATTAATATATAAACTTATTATTAAATGAAAACAACTTATTTTTTTTTTCATAATTATAAGTTTCAAGTCAATGTTCACACATCACCGTTTAATAGCTTATTTAAAAACTTAATATTTTATTGCATTTTATTGCATTTACCAAGTCACGTTAATATAATTTTGGACAATACGAGTATTTTTACCGATAAAGCACACTCTTACTAATATTATATTTTAATGGTCGAACTAATTTGAGGAATCATTTTTAAAAGGCGATCTTTACGCTTTTTCACATTCAAAACGTGAAAATATGTTAATTTAAATATTTAAAAAATACATACTTATTTATTGATTGTATTTTCATTCATCAAATGAGAAGAGGCTCACGAGACCAATTGATTGGCACCATAGATAACTTAAATTTTCCAAGAATAAGGCTTTAAAAAATAAAAGACGGGCAGAAGGAATTGTGTGCATTTGAAGTATTCAAGGTTGGAATCAGTAATAAAATCGACGTGATTAGCTTAACTTCACCATAATGAGTAATTAAAAACTGTTGAATTTTTCTGCATGAACAATAGTCATTAATCAGTTTTGACAAGATTTTCACAAATTTATGTAACAGTTGGTACAATGAACAATTCATATTTATCAGCGGTGAAATATTGGTCAGCGGGAGTGAGTGACGTGGTGACAGTTAGAGATCTCATTCGGTAATTCTGAAAACTCTCGTTTTACGGTAGTTTTCTGTAAAGATAAACGATAGTTTCTTTCCAATTAACTCATTTTTTACCAACATCACGCACTGATGTGCTCACAACCGCGCAAGTGCGCTCTGTCGTTTCATGAGTGACGCGGCGGACTTCAAGAGCAAAAAAGCAATAATTATTACATTGTTGTTCCATGAGCTTTTTCTTGTTCACATCCATTTTAGGCCGATTTTCAAAACGGAGGTTTTTAATAAACTTCTTAACGATATCCTCATCCAAAGTGAAAGCAATCTGAAAACAAAAATTTAGTCGTCAGCTTTAAAAATAATTTTCACTTACGCATTCCCCGTAATAAATGAGCATGCGTCCAATAAGCCACACAGTGATACAATGATGAATGCAAGTGTTGGAGAGCGCAATCGCATCCTCCAGCAACTTCATCAGCTTCACAGCTTCAATGTGAAAAATACCCATTTTTCCATAAACGTGTGCTTTTGTCATATTCTCATTGTAAACGTCAATTTTTGCCAACATGTCGGTAAGATTCTTTGATTCATCTTTGAACTGTTTGCTGTACATGTTATAAAAACTGGTTGCCGAATCATCGCCTCCAACCATTGGCTCACACTAAACTCTATGTAGGTGATATTATTTTTCCACTCTATAAAACCTCAAGCATCCGTTTCATAATTTTTTCGTCATTGTCTTCAAAAAGAAGCAAATGTTTCGATACGGCGTCGATATTCGAAGCGAAAAGAGTTGAAGGAAAGGAAAATATGTCAGCAAGATAGTCTGGACCCGGAAATGGCTGCAGTAAAATAAATTTCATTCTCCAATATTATCAAATTTAATAGAAAATCCAACCTCATAATGTTTGCCTTCTTTTTCTGCTTTTGCAGCTTTGGCTGCTTCAGATCTCAGTTGGTTCTTTGCGGTGTTTCCCCAAAGAGTAACATTCTAAGACGAAAATGTCATTAAAACTGATCATATAATTTGTATTAATACTTTCAACAACTCTTCCGGCTGTTTGAAGCGCGGTTTTGGCTCCGATGGCTGAAATACGATATGTTGATTAATTTAAATATTTTTTTTTTAAATAACCCCTGGTTGATCATTCCTAGCCACCGGTTTTGCATTTTTCTTCTTTCCAACTTTTTGTTTCTCCACACTGTCGTTTGCACTGCGTGGTTTGTCAGAGCCGACCTTATCTATAGCAAATGTCTGTTGGCTCGATACCGGAACATCCCTTTGGAGATCGTCAATGCTGGCTGTAGACAAATCTTTAACGACCCTATGCTCCTGAAAAATGAAAAAAAAAGTTGTCACAAAACTAAAGAACATAAATGGTAAATATAATGAAAAAGAAACGCAGAAAGTTTTAAAAAATACCTCTGGTTGATCGTTTTTCGATGATGATTCAGAATTCTTTTTTCCTCTCGTGCTCTTTTTTTTCTCGACAATGCTCACATTTGTCAGTTTGTCCGTTATATCCTTGTCTACAACTAGAGTCGGTTTATTCGGACTCGTGGTATCCTGATTAGCATCACCCATGCTAGACGATAGAGATTTTGCGTTTCTGAAAATTACATGATTTATTCACAGGGTCGAATTTAAGAAATTAAGAGATGATTTAAACAAAACAAAGAAATACAATAATGGTGAATGACTGGAACGAAGAAGAGAATATCCTCATAATTGTATAGTCACGGATGGATGAATTATAAAAAAAGTTGAATTGCTCAGTTTTCCAATTACTAAGCGTCGTGGAACGAACTGTGCTCATAGTCATTTGACAATATTGCTAAAAATCAAATTTTTAAAATTCATTGAAAATTATGTTTTCCGTATTAAATTAAACAAAATCCTAAGTGTGTTTCAATACGAGACCCAACACTGCAGTAATTATTGGTCATAAATTTGTTCTTCTTTGACAAAACTATCATAAAAAATGTTCTTAAATAATTTAGATACGTGAATAACCTAAAAATTTATTTTAAAAAAATTTTAATATAGTCCGTATCTCTATTCTTTTTTGACAGTAGATAATTTTCTTTTTCCGAACATTTTTAGTGATGTTCATTTTTGAGTTATTCAAAAAAATTGGAGTCGAGATATTTGTTTGGGAACTCTGTTAAAAACATAAAAATTCAAATAACGCAGTTTGGATACTCTAGTACAATGGAACATATTTGCTAGTGAGATTAAAAGAATGACATCAGCCAATAAAGGTGAATTATCAAAAAAGGTAAGTAGAGAGAAGGAAAGAAGAAAATGCATATGTATGCTTAATTTCAAAAAAAAAATCTGAAAATAAAAAATGATAGTAAAATATAATGCGTTGGAATCGAAATGATCCGTTTCTAACTTTCAAGAGGCACCAGAAATCGTTCATTTTCTGGAAATCGTCCTGAAAAAACAGATCATCAATCATTTCAAATCTCAAAAATTTTAAAACATTTCCATTTGAAAAACTGCCTCAAGTTCGTTCTTTCTTTTCAAATTCAGCTTCCATAACCTGACAAAGAATTTTTAAACCATTCGGGGAAGCGTCCCGTTTTCGAGAAAGCTTTTTTCGAATCTCGGGAGCCTGAAAATCATTTTCAATTTTTTAATGCCGTTGGCGAATTGTACTCACGTTCCTAGACTTTTTCTTCATCGCACTCAAACTTTTCAATAAACTCTCTCTACTATTTCCTTCGGATATTTGATTATTCTCTGAACCGGAAGTGCTAGCTTCTGTTGATTGTGTTCCTGCACTGATTGATGGAGTTTCTTTAACAGGGCTTGAAGGTGTTTTCGATGATTGTCGATCACTTTTCCGATCCGAAGCTTTAGAAAAAAGATGGGATCTATCTGCCTGTACGGATGCTGATGTAGTTGGTTTAAAATTTCCGGCGTTAACGTCGCTTCCCGACGCATTTGATGTTTTATTTGTCCAGATCGAGTATTTCTGAAACAGTAATGAATATATTGAAAGTTTATTTTTTCTTAAAATTTACACAATGCCACAAATCACTTATGTTAGTAAGGAAATCTCTCCACATGATTCATTATATATATATATATATGTGTATTCAGTTTGTCATTTTACCTTGCTAGCAGAACTATAATTCGGAATTTCGCTAGCTAGTGTTATATTGACAAGATCTTCATACTTCAATTCCGGAATTTGCTTGTATTTCATATTCTATAAATTTAAGCTATCAAAGACAAAAGGTTAAAAATTATACCCTGGTAGATTTTGGTATTCTTTCTGCCTGATTGACGTGGACATCCGTCATTAACCATGACGGTTGTTCTTTTTTGCCATTCTCAATTGGTGGAATGCGCTGAACTTGCTTTGGGGTATTCTGATTTTTCGATTTTTCAATGTTCGTGGGCTTTTTTTGCTTCGCTGTTTCTTCCATTATCATTCGTTCTCTACTTCTTGGTCGCATTATGGCAGCAAATCGATTTTTCTGCAATTTATGAACTGATTTACATTTAATCACCATTTTTCCATACTGTTGGTGATCCCAAGTCCTCATCGTAGTCACCGTTAATCACTCTTTCCAATGTTTCGATTAAATCTCGATCCTGAAGCAAACATTTCAGACCAGTATATTAAACGTACATTACAATTTGCTGAATGCGTGATACTGGTTGGTTTGGTCCATTGTCCATCTTAAAAAGGAAAAAATTGTGCAAGGCGACACTATACAGTTAAAAAAAAGTTGAAGTAATGTACGCAAGTGATTTTACAAAAAATATATGTGTAATGAAATTGCGAAAAATATAGAAAAATGTAATTTACTTTCACAAAATTACTAAATATGGGTTTATTTTGATTTAAAATATCAATTGTAAGAAATCATATGTTTTTAGTTTTCCATCAATTGATGAAACAATAAGAAACAAAAAGGTATAACGAGAAACAACGATTGACCGATTCGAATTGCTTTTTTTTCAAAATATAAACGCGTTGTCATTAGAGCGCATTTTCCTCTACATGTGTTACACTGAACGAATTATTGTATTAATAAACACTCTTGTTTTCCGATACATGATAAAAAGGTTTTATTGAAAAGTTAGATAAAACATATTTCTAATTGCTAGAGATAAATTAGTTAGGATAGCATTTTTTTTCTCTATTTTTCCGACTGTAAATTGATCGGAAGTCAATTATTCCATGAATTTTAAATTAGCTCAAAGCATTAAGCATTGTATTATGACACGGTGCTAGAGCACAAAGTAACAATTTTCCAAAATTCAAAGATTTATAGCAAAAAATAAGTAAAAATTAAGCATTTTTCTTGTCTAGAGCTGCTTCCGTAATGTCGACAAGAGTTGTGGTTTCGACGCTTTCTTCATAAAAAAATGACATGTTTGGAAATGTTTCCATCTGCGAACGACCAATTTCAAGATAGCATTTCGCATCCTATAAAATTTAGTATATAATTATTTTATATTCTTCAATTAAACATCATATGCTTGGTTTCTCAGCGGTTGTTGAAACCCATTCCATGCGAATTGATTTTCCTCGTCGAAATATAACAATTTATTGCATGCCGTATTTTCGGCTGATGTACTTTCTAGCTGAAAATGTTGATATTCATTAGCTCAAAAGAATAATTTACGTTTTGATAGTCATCAATCATATTCCAGTGAATTGCAGAAGAGCTCAGATCAATTACTCCCGTATTCTCCTGACTTATTGAATAATTGAAGCTGATTGAATCAAAAACTTCTTTACGCACAGTCTCGAGCAGCATTAACAAAGTTTGGTTTTCCATGTGAATTTGCTAAAAAAAAAACAATTTAATATCATGGAAATGAATAAATGTGGCAATCGAAGTTTTTAGAATTTCAAATAAAGCATAACACTAGACGTAAGACGTGTTGCCAAAAATTCCTATACATTAGACGACACGCAAGGAAACCACATTTGTTTTATGAGCCGAAAAATGATTACATATTTTTTCCCAAGACCGCGGCATATCGAATTTATGTGCATGCAGGAAAAAAGAATGAAAAATGAGAGCAATGTTGGAGTTCGATCGTTTGGCTTCGCAATAATTTGAACTAATAAATACTTTGAAAAGACGAATGTTCTTTTATGACTCAATGTATTATATAAATTTAGAAGAACCTTGGTTGGAAAAATAATGCCCAACTTTGCGCATCACTGCATACTCATGCATGTAATGATAATTTGCGAATGTAGAGACCATCTGGAAACTTTTTCTAAAGTTCATATTTCATGAACAGAGTGAGAGAGCAAGTTAGTCAGCATGTGGGTGTTGACTCATTCCTGTGGCACCTTTAAAATGAAGCATATCCTAGTATTTTCGAAAATTGTAGCAAACTACAATAAATTTTCAAAACTATCAAAAACATTTGCTATTACAATTTACGAATCTAACATTCCCAGCGAATCGATTGAGACGATAAGTGAACACTATTTGGTTTGAAACAACAAAAGTTTTCGGACAAACCGCAAAAGTTTGTGGAAACTCCCGTGGAACCCAAATGTTTAAACCAAGAAAAGCCACATTTTGTACTTTTCGAATCGCTCAGTTAATCTATCTCATGAGCGATATTGACATATGTTTCGTGCACAGAAATACTTGATATTTTTAATGCGATGAGATAAACGCAACCTAAAATGTGAAAAAAAAAAATATATATATATATATATATATATATATATATATATATATATATGTATACATAAGATAAAACAGTACAGAATAGTTTTTCTTTAGATCTTGTATTCTAAAAGGAAAAAGTGTTAAAGAATATAAGCTGTAATATCTATATTATATATTTTTTATATATTGTATATTTTTTAATATATATATATATTGAATAATGTCAGTATTCACAATTAAGATTGAACACTTGATTCGTCTCATATTTGTTATCATTTAAATTTCTCAAAGATAATGCCGTTTTTGAATTGTTCGCATAATTCTGAAATTCTAATTAAATTGATGACTCGAAGGCACGGTCTACTGAGAGGATTAGAGATGAAATTGCACTATATGCACTATGTACATAGATGGGTCGCATCTGTTGTGGCGGCTCGTGAAGTTCCCAAGCTCAATTGCTTACTGCTAGTTTTTTTTACCTTTACCATTCTTATTTACAAGTGTGGTAAAATTTTCAATGGAGCGCACATGCATCGTTTTTTTTAATTCTCTCGACTTATGAAGGAGCCCAAAAAAAATCAAAATATGTATTTAATTTGACAAAAATTAAAAATCTGAGTGATCCAGAGTGAATTAAACAAAAAATGAAGAATTAAAAATTATAATTAGTACGATCTATAAAAATGAGTTAATCTGAACAAAAAAAAACAGTAATCAACAATATATAGTACAATGGAAATATGTTCAAATTGCAAACATTTGATGGAAACCAAATATGGAGATGCATTGAAATAGAGAGTAACTGTGTTTTGTTGAATCAAGTTTTTGATGGGGTTGTTTACGTATTTTCCCTTCATTTTGATATTGCGGTGAAAAAAAACATGTTCTTGATCAGGAGCATCGAGATGATTCCTTAAAAGACTTGTGCTTGAATCGGTCGTTCATCTGGGGTTTGCTGGAGAGCTTCTATACGATTTGGAATCGGTCTACTAGCGGCCCTTGATCTAAGTCCGGAGAAGCATTCAGATTTTGCTCATTATTGTTTTCACGATGTGCAGGAGCGTGCTAAAAAAATCATTTAAAATTAAGCCAAATTTTAGATCAAACCAGCGGTTGCACTTGATTCAGAACTTCTTGAACATTATATGGATTATAAATAACTGGAATTGTTAATCCATACGGATGCTGTGGTAATGGTGGAACTGCATAGAGTGGTGTTGGTGCCGGAAGCGAAAAGCCATACATTGGCGCTTGTGCGGGGAAGAAATGTGGGGGCAAAGGCATGAAAACCCCGCAGGGTGGCATGTGCGCAAATGCGTGTGGAGCAGGAGCCCAATTGTGCATGTGCGGAATAAAATCCAAGTTTATTCTCTGAACATTTAGTGATTAGTGATAATAACAAGGCGTTTTTAATACTTCATTTTGGCGTGGAAATTGCTGCAGAGGAGCAGGGTAGACAGCCTGAAATATAAAAGTTAAGTGGGGTAAAATTTATGAAAGAACTTTACCACTTGTCTTACTAAGACTTGGTGATTATGAACTGGTCGCTGAATCATAACATTTGAAGGCGCGGGATCTGGTGGATGCTCGTTCGCTAAGGCAAGAGCTTCCACTTGCATATTCGCTGTAATTGGGCAATGTGAGAAATGAAAAATAAATAGAATGATGGAAGAAAATGCGGAAACAAACACGTTAGAGAACAACAAGACAACACTGTTTTTTTATCGATTGCACACTGTTGTTCGCTCATACATCTAGACATCTCTCTTCGTGCGCCGCTTGCTTCAAAACCATTTTACATACACGGCGAAGAAGCGTGCATCAACGAACACGTACGAAAAACTTGGCGACACTGGGAAGAAGAACTCGGCGTTGTTCGCACACTGTGCAATTTCTGTGTGCTCGGAGACAGAAATTGACATTAATAAATTGACACAATCTGCGGATTCCGGAAGCGCATATTGCAAAAATACAGTTTTATTAGATGCGGAATAAGACGAAAAATCGAAATTCATTATCATAAAAAAATAAAATATAAATTTAAACCGAAATAACGTTAAAAAACACTTAAATATGTCAATAGTATGGAAATTATAATTTTTGAGTTTGGAATGATGCAATTTGAACTCGATATTGATGGTTCTCTAGAATTTTTCGGCGTGGACGAAGCTTTGCTGCGAAGAATCCTTTAACATCAATCATGATTTTGTTTCATTTTAATGAACTTGCTGCTTTTGAGATATACGGGAAGCTATTGTCTGGAACGTTTTCCTAGACGCCAGGAATCTGTAAATCATTTGTTTTCAAATCATAAATAAAACAACCAGAATCGGCTGCATTGCCACAGAAGTGCATGGAATTGATGTAATAACTAGTGTTGGAAGAAGAGCCAAGGGAATCCATATCTCAGCAATGGAACCGCTTTTTCGGAATTTTTTTCTGATAGTCCCGGTTGTTCCATATTCTTAATGGAAGAATTTTTCAATGAACATAAAATTTTGAAAGATGACGAAAATAGGAAGGCGAATAATCGAACATGAAACATCGAACACTTCACAAGATATCGCAAATTCCATTGATTGAAAAGTATTTAATCATGTACGCTCATCATAGTTTGATTTCCGACGACAAGATGATGTTGGTCGTCAAAAATGGATTTACAACAAAAAAAGTATCAGAAAATAATAGTGAGTGATGAAACTACCTAGCGAAAGCCATTTTTGCTCCAAATTAATGGTTTCCAACGTTTACTGGTAGTTTTATCTTTAATTTAACTTCAATTCCTCTATTCTTTCTATTTGTTTCGTATCACACGAGACTTATTTCATAATTAATTTATTTATTGTTAAATGTTGCATAAAAATAGAGAATAAACTATTAATTGTTAGTGATAGAGTTAGTTATGTGGATACATACATAAAGAAGCCGTGCCCGTCGGCATCATAACACAGAAAAAAATGCTACGAAAAGGGTAACAGCCAAAAAATTCGTCATAGACAAGTTGCAAAATTTATAAATGTGAAATGGACATCGAGTTGCAATTGTTTGCGAAATGACGTTGAACTGACAATTAGTTTCCTTGACTCGCCGGCTACATGTTTGAAAAATTAATGATTGGACAAAAATAACACTACAATAATGACAATTTTAAGTGTGAAAAATTTAAGCGTTGAAGTTGTCACGGCGGTTCACCGATGGGGTGCAGTTTGGGCAGACCCATCGGGCGACAGGGTTCTCTTGCTCCAATTTCTGGTAAGCTGATTCTACAAGTCCAGTGCACGCCTGTAATAATAATTATTATTTCGAAACAAACGCTAAATGAATTGACCTTGTGATACACATTCTTGCACTCATTGTACATACATCCAAGAGAAGGAGTTCCTGGCTGAAATAATTTTGAATTGCAGATACCGATATGATATAATTAGTACCACAATAACTCTTTGGCACCCAGCGCACATAACATCAGGAGCGCGCATGCGAAATTCATTGTGTCCAAGAGCTGGATCACTCATGCGTCCTTGCTGCTGTGGTGGCGGCATCATCGGCATTCCATTTTGACTGTAATTTGGTGCGCGCACTAAAATTTATCATATTTAATTTAAAATTTTCAATGAAAATACTAACTCTCAGCGCTCAATTGTGGTGGAGGCATGTATCCATTTGGCATGTTAACCATTGGCTGCTGGGGTGGTGGCATTGGCTGCGAGGTTGGTGGTGGGAGTAGCTGAGGGCGTGGAGGAATGCTGAAATCCATGTTTGATGGGCCTTCGCCATATTGTCGTGGTGGCATCATTGATGTCGAAGGCATTTGGAATGAATTGTCATCGTTAGCTACAGATGCTGAACATTTGCGTTGATGGTATTCAGAATTATACTTACAACTTCTAGCTTTTTTTGCTGGAGGCTTGCCGGATGGTGATCTGTTAACGGACGTTGAAGCGATATGAGTTTGCCTATAATAAAAGTAACTTGAAAGAAAAGCGTATTAATTTCTTATTAGTATACATTGACTGAGACCGATTCAAGTATGTTGGCGGCCCACGATTCATCGGATTTGGGTAAGGAACCCTCTCGTATTCTTCATGAAAAAATGGGCAACTTGGAAGGTACCCAAATGTAGGTGGCTCATCTTTACGAGCAGATTTGGTTCCCGAAGGATAAGCAATTCGGAGTTTTTGTTTGACACGCATATAATAGCGCTCAACCAAGGGATTAATCTTCTAAAATTCAAACTTCTTTAAATAAGTTGATATGGTTTATACCTTGAATGCTTCGCGTTGATCTTGCATGGCTGGTGGCATGTCATAGTGTGTAACAACGCTGTAATGTGTATCATAGCATGGCGCATTTGAACCAATGCTGGCATATCTGAAAATTAAATTATTATAGTCTAATTGCAATCTACAATAGTTCACCTGGGCGAAGTTTGCGCTGCGGCTTCATGCTGCTGGTTTTGAATCTCTTGATACTTTAAATAAAGAAGTGCTTGATGTTCAGCCTGTTGAATTGCCAATTGATAAGCGGATTGCATTGCCATGTTATTGGCATGCTGATGCGCTTGCTGTTGAGTTTGGAAATGATGATGTGCTTGTTGCTGAGTTTGATGAAGCGCCATTTGTTGAGCATGATGTTGCTGCGCCTGATGTTGTGCATGTTGCTGAGCTTGTTGCTGAGCATGTTGCTGAGCTTGCTGCTGAGCATGGTGCTGAGCTTGTTGCTGCGCTTGCTGCTGAGTATGCTGCTGAGCTTGTTGCTGAGCTTGTTGCTGCGCCTGTTGCTGGGCTTGTTGCTGGGCTTGTTGCTGAGCCTGCTGTTGAGCTTGCTGCTGGGCCTGCTGTTGAGCTTGTTGCTGGGCCTGTTGTTGAGCCTGTTGTTGAGCCTGTTGTTGAGCCTGTTGTTGAGCCTGTTGTTGAGCCTGCTGTTGAGCCTGTTGTTGAGCCTGTTGTTGAGCCTGTTGTTGAGCCTGTTGTTGAGCCTGTTGTTGAGCTTGTTGCTGCGCCTGTTGCTGAGCTTGTTGCTGCGCTTGTTGCTGTGCTTTTTGTTGCGCCTGTTGCTGAGCTTGTTGTTGCGCTTGCTGTTGCGCCTGCTGATGAGCCTGTTGTTGAGCCTGCTGCTGCTGTCGCGCTTGTTGTTGGGCATGATGCTGGCGAGCCTGTTGAGCATGATATTGCTGTTGCATATTCATAGATGGCGATGCCATTCCTTGATGCATTCCTGGATGCTGTTGATGCATTTGTTGCTGATTTTTAGCAAAAGAAGCAGCTACATGAGAATTTGGTGGTGGCATAGTTGGTGGTGGCATGCTTCCTGGTGGCGCAGGTGCTGCATTATTCATCGGCATCTATAAAATAAATACATGGCAATTGGTTCAAATGAAGTAATTAAAAACATTGAATTCAAACTTTTACCTGATTGCTTGACGGAGGTCTCATATGAGGATGTTGCGGAGGCGCATGTTGAAGTGCTGGATGTTGACCCGGTGGATGCTGTCCTGGAGGATGTTGAACTGGCGGATGTTGACCTTGTTGAAGCTGTCCTTGTTGATGTGGATGCGGATGAGGTGCCATCGGACTAGGCATTCCACTGCCCATCATTCGCGCTTGGCTCGCATTTGCCATAGCATGATGCATGAGCGACTGATTATGTGACTGCGGATGAGGCGGTTGATGCTGTCCTTGTGGTGCGTGATGCATCATCGGGTGTTGCGGTGGCGGCATCATTCGTTGATAATTTTCAGGGACGGCAAACTGAGGTTGATTCATATGGTTTGGTTGACCAGGATAACCAACATGACCATTTGTCCCATTAATCGATGGTGGTGGCATTCCTTGTTGTGGCGGCGCCATTTGTCCTTGATGAGGCTGGTACGGCATATATCTAAAATCAAAAATAATTTTTTTCTTCCACCAACAAATACGAACCCATTAGGCGGCATCGTCTTTGCATCGTAGCTTGGAGCAGGCTTTCCCGGTTGAGCTTGCCCAGGCCCCTGTTGCATCTGCATTTGAGCACCTCGATTTGGAGGTTGCATAGTGTGGTAGCTGGTAGAGCTTGGCGGATACATTCCTCCCTGAAAGGAAAAGATTCTCTTTCAATAGTCATTGATTATTCATAAGTGAGTGCACTTCTTTCTTAGCATGGTTCACTACCGAAATTTCAATGAGAGGTTTTGCCCTTTTCTTTTCTGTTCGTAAAAAACAGCTTAAAATGTTGCGCTTTGCTAAACTTGAATCATTTCCATCTGTTTCAACATTACAAATCTTAATTCTTTTAATCACGTGCCTGTGGGTATTGATCCATTGGCGGATATCCACCATATTGCGGATGGAACGATGGTCCGGCTGACGAATATGGAGGGACATTTCCGTTCGATGGGTAGCTAGTCGACATGATGGTCCTTGATTGCTTTTATTACTACTCAATGTAGAAGAACACTGAAATAAAATGCATTGCACTTAAAAAATAGAAGGAATTCTACAAAATGAAACGAATACGCGAAACACAATCGAGAAAGAGGTCGAACGAGTGAAGGACATACATATCGCAAGTCGAACTGACCAAGAAAATCGTTGATAGATTGCAAAGCGATGTATGTACTGTTGAGAAAAGTGGTTGATGCCTTTATTTTCGAAGAGAAAATTTTTTGTGGATGCTTTAAGAAGGATTACTGAAAGCGATGATGTATCAAAATTTGGAAGCAATTGCAATTGAGCATGCTTCACACTGCCTCAGTATAACGACGTCACTAGATTAAATGTGGTGTTCGTCAATGCCCACTCACAAAGGCTGAACACAGAAAAAAGACAAAAAATATGTGGAACGCAATGATGGCGTTGGTGGTTGCAGGAGGAGAAAAAAAAAACGAGGAGGGTCTCCGAGTGCCCGAGAAGAAGAAGGACGCAAAAATTGAAAAGAGCACGGCAATAATAAGAGGAAAATGAGTGGTTGGGTTTTTGAAACTAGTAGGCGATGCAAGCAAGAAGGGCACAAAGTCGAGTCAATGTCCGCGGGAATATATGTACAGCAAGCGGTTCCGAGGAGAAATGAAAACAGAGAAGGGTGGCCCCGCTCTCTTTTTCCCTTCCCTTTACCACATAATTTTTCTGGGTCACACAGCCTTACACGGGCGAAACAAAAGAAAACAACTTTCTTTTATTTTTATGGTGAAGCACGGCTCCTCGAACGCGCCGAGTTTTATGGGTGTTCGTCGTGGCTATATGTGCTGCAACGACTAATAAAATATAAGATCAGATGACAAATGCGTTTGAAAAAGATGGAGGAGAAGCAGAAAACGCAAAGCGAACGCCAAAAAATAGAGAGCATTTTCTGATGCGCAGTTGTTGTTTTATCAATAAATCAATCATATCCTTATATGGGGCAATTAATGTAATCGAAGAAGAAATATTTCTTTTAAATATTTTTAAGACATAATTCATGTCCCTCGCCTCAAAAGGATTATTTGAATTTTCCGAACAACGGAGCAAACTTCTCTATTTTATGCAAGCGAAAAAATAATTACCCGCAATACTTTCCTATTATATGCAGTATTCTATGTAGACCAAAAAATTGAGGAATGAAGGGAATTGCAAATTTAATCAAATTAGACGGGTGTCTGGTTGGCACAAGCGGAAATTCGAACTCTCCCACTGCTCTTTTAAGATGACACATTCCTGATCTCGTTAACCTATTCTTTATCAAATTCTGCGAAAATGATTTTAAAAAATGTATCATGGATGATTATATAGATGTTGAACCTCTCATTCATCGCTTTGAAGTATTTCTCCCATAATGAATGTCACAAAACGAAAAAGGAAGAACTAAGATTGGATGGTGGATGAAAAAAAACGGGGCCCGAAATGGGGTAAAATGTTGAGATCGTCTTCACATCCAGTTTTCCATCGGCTTGTGGCATAACGCTAGTCGAATAGAACGACAAAAGCGACAACGTCGAAGGAGATGAAGAAGAAGAAGAAAAAGGAGGAGTGAGCGAAAAAATACTGAGAAGATCGGACCGGGTGAAAAACGAAGAAGAAGGCAGGCAGGCATGCAGCCCACATCCCCTTTTTTCAAATTTTGTTAAAGGAGAGAATTTCAAGGAGTTATAACCTAAATAATTATAGGATTAAAATGAACTATTATTTTTGTGTGTACCAGTCCATATTGGGATTTTTTATTAACGACACAAACCTTGAAAGCTATACCTTATAATAATCGATATTAAAGTGAAGAATAAGAAGAACGGGCCGATAGATGGGAAGGGGGATGAACTGTGAGGTAATTGCTTTCCTAGGCCGTGTGGTCTCTCGCTCTCCCTCTTGCTATCGATGCGTTTCTCACCCTCTACGAACGTCAATGCTGACTCGCCACAGTGCACTGTTTTCGTTAAGACAATTACTATTGTGGAGGGTAGTTGAGAAAGCACGGAGCGGCCCGCCGCATCGGTAGTAGGGTGACCACACCGCGCACAGTGCGCCGATCGATGAGATCGCAGACTAACCACCAACTACCCTCCGCGCGCACAACTCATTCCATCGCAATTCCTTGCTGATTTCTCTTGCCGACACTCTCAGTTTGCCTACACTTTGTTGCGGACGCACCGAGGTGCGCGGTTTTGGCCCAACGTCCCCTTTTTTCCCAAGATTGCTTTGCCTTCCAGTTTAGCCGGCCGCATTATATAAGAACGGTTTATGAAGCTTTGCTGAAAAGAAAATTTTAAAAAAGAATTCGCGAACAACCGAGAAGCAAAACAAGACAACATGAAAAGCTCAACATCTGGAGCCAATTTGCATGACGCCGCAAAACGTTACTCCAAAGGGTAATACAATAAAAAAGCCTCATGCGGATTGGGCGCATTTTTTCAAGTAGTTGTTTGTGAGAAGGAGAAAGGCTCAAATGCGAAATCTAACCGAAACTTGAGAACGAACGCTTGAAAGAATATCAAGGACAAACCTCCATAATTGAAGGTAATAAACTTAGCAATCTACAATTTGCGTACCGAAAACGACGTGCGGTCTCGGAACCAATACACCAATTAAAGGCTGAATTTTTAGAAAAATCTTATCTAGCAAGCACGCTGCAAACCGCGTAAAATTTAATGGCATCCATCTTTGCGAGCATCGTATTGAATTTATTTTCAATGATTCATCAAACACTTTAGTTCTTTTTTAGGATATGCAAAGCTTGTATGAAGCACAAACTTCCTCACAAATTTAACTAATTTAGATTTTCTTTGTAGTTTTTGTTCTCGCATGCTCAAACTCTTCTTTTTGAGAGAAGATGTCCAAAGCTTTATGTACATCGAAAATAGAAAATTTCAACTCCAACCAAAGTAAAAAAAAAGAAGACGAAGCGATGAAAAAAGAGAAGGGTGAACAACGGCAGAATTGGGCTATCAAATGTTGAGACACACACTCACACTCTCACGTTATGTGCCGAACACATGGTGTCATTGTGGAACGTTCAATCAATACACTGACTCCTCTTGCCTTAAACCAATTAGACGTGTCCCCTCACGCGTTCTCATCCAAAATTGCCGCCATAGCCAAACGACATGCATGGATTAAATATTTTGAAGGGAGAAAAATGTGAAACATCGACCTAAGAATGATGAGTGAGATGTAGAAGTTGTTGAAGAATACACACTATTATTGAACAAACATGGCATATGACAAAAGCGTTTGGCACAAAAAAATGCAGCGTTCATGTTTGTACGATTGTCGAGAAAAAGAAACGTCAACAATATGACAAATTTCAATAAATTTGCATGGCTCGAAAAGAAATGTTTTTTTTAGAAAGTTACAATATAGAAGTCTTCTCGTCACGCATTTGTACATATATCGTTTTGTGAAGAACGTTTTGCAATCAACGTTTTCTTCCCCTTAAGATTATTATTCCAAACACACACAATGCACTGAAAACTAAAAATTCAAGGAAGTTCAAAATAATATATAGAGAATGGGTTCATTAACTGTTTCATCGAAAAAATAATCAATCAGGGATCCTAATTTATCGAAGGTGTCATCAATTTTAATAAGACAATTTTAATAAGCTTTTTTAATATCAAATATTAAAATTATATAATTCAAAATTTGTTTATGAAGCACGTACAAAAAATATACGGAATCAAGCACTTCTCAAAAAAAAAAACTTTCATATAAAAATACACTAAGCATAAACTAAAAAAACTAAAATCATAATACAGACTAACCCACTTCCTTCTTTTTAGTACTTTGTAGGTAGATTCATAATTTTCACCTAGTGATCATACAATTGAAAACGTGACAACGAGAGCTTTCCGTCATCGAACCAACACATAAATTTTGCAAGCCGCCAAAAAATTGAGGGGCTCGACTTTTGGACTCACTTCTGCTGCTGACAGGTTTGAGAAACATAAATTAAATCACTGTTCGTTCAACGAGAAAAGAACACCAATTGCATCACATTACTGTGAAGCAGAGAGAAGAAGGAAGACAGTTGTACACCGATAAACTTTTTAACGATTCATTTCTGTTGGAATGAATTCTTTTCAATATGAGGGATAGAAAAATTATTTTCAGTTACGTGAAAACTTTTCTCAAAAAGATATAAAACTGGAAGCAAAATATGTCTAAATTTCTATCGAAGCTAACATCACTCGACTACTAATATTTTTGCCAAAAAGCTTATATAAAACCACTAAATTATTTATAGGCCCGGTTTTTGGCGCGACCAAATCTATTCGACATTTTTATATTCTATAATCAATAATGAAAGATGCAATAATTGTTGTTTATCAAAAACTAAAGTCCAACACAAACGATATGCCAAACTCAGCTTCATTATTACACTAAACCTAAAGAGCAACACGTTCGTTTCTTTGAGTATTTACTCATCATTTGATGATAACGCGGGAGTAAAGTTTCTCAAAAACAAAAGAATAGGGATTTCAAATAACGAATTTGAAATTTTTAAATGTATTTTCTGAATATTAGAATTCAATATATTAATTAATAAACAGCTTCAGAAAAGTAAAATCGAATATTTTTTATTTATTAAAGTCGGCCATATTTAATCATATACTACTTTCAGTACAATTCTCTCAAATGAAATCCAATTTTTCAATGCTATTCAATTCATGCAATATTTTCACGAATTTTCCGAAACGTTAACTTTAAAATGTCTGAACACGCGTTTTACCTATACGCAATTAAAAGACCTCAGAAAAATGCGAACTGACTTGAGGAAGAAAAAAATGGCGAGAAGAAATGCGAATAGCATCGGAGAAAAACAAATAATGTGAATCAATGCGGCAGCGCTCGTAGATAACTAGAAAGAAAAGCCAATTGAAATATCGTGATAGTTTTGATTTTTATTTATTACATTTTGACAATTGTTTATAATTCTTAAAAAGCTAGGTAATGTCTTTTCAAGAAAAAAGTGCAGACTTTCTTTTTCTTGAAATAAACACAATCCAATTCCAATTGTTTTGCTGATGATGAGAATGAAGCCATATTGGCGATTTTCAATAGGAGGAGAAACCCGATGACAGTGACAATGACAAATTGCCCAATGCCAATTTGCCTTGTTTCCGATTCAGTGGCGAAAATGCAGACAATTGGGGGGTCTTTGTGTTAAATAAAAAAATGCCACAGTATTACAACGTGTTCATTGAGCTAAAAATATAGTAGCTGTAGAAAATTACGAAGTGTTTATTCAAGACATTCATTCCAATTTCTTAAAACTTGAAAATTTATTTCAAAAAGAAAAGTTGACTTGAAGAACCCTCCCAAACTCGATGTGCCGTTTAAACTGTTTATTTGACATTTCTTTTGAGTCCAATAATAGTGTGAAACTGAACAAAAGATTTTTAAAAATTTCAACCCTGCTGCAATTAAACCGATTTAAAAAATTCAAATAAATTGGATGTATTTTGATTTTTTTTCTCGGAAATTTGTGTCATAGAGTTTTAGCGTTACTATTTATTTTTTGCGTATCTTTAAAATGTGAAATGTTATTGAACCAAGAACTGAAAATAGAATTTTTTTTTCAAGAAAATGCAAAAATTTCAAAAGTCCGCAAGCACCGATACTTTAATTCAAACGCCTTTCTCGTTTTTTAGAAATCTTCGAGTTTGGGTGGTATCTTTGAGCAGAGACTATCGTTTTTTTTTTCAATCTAGGAAGATTTATTATATACTAAAAAAAAATTCAAAGCCAAATGTTGGCCGTGTGTATCTGAATGATCGAGAACACCTGCTTTCGCAAAACATTTCTTTTGTTAGTGGTTTTAGGAAAACGAAATCCACGGAAATTTGATGCAGCTGGCTTTCGTAGGCTATATGGAATAGTGTTGAACGAGAGAAGTGTTTGAAAGTTTTAATATGGCCAAAGAGAAAGAAGAATAATTACCAATATAACACATTATTTTGAGAACTTTAAACGTTTAATTTATATGTAAGCTTTTTTCAAAAAATTTTTATGGAACAAAAACAAAGAACCGAGAAACATGGTCTCTGCATAAAATTGAAAATTGGAAAGATGAGTTGTGCGCAATTTTGAAAGATGTACTTGAAGCAGCAAAGATTCACAAAACAGAATATTTGAGTACCAGTTTCTTTTTCTGTGATATTCGAATGAAAAAACGGCATTAAAACAAACTGGTAGTTCGCAAATCCGAGAGCATATTAAATGAGAATATAGGAATATCCGGATTTGAAGAGATTAAAGAATTCTGCCTCTTTTTCACGAAAATTTTTTTCTTTTTTTGCGATATTACTTTTGTGCTTTTTCGAAATGAAACATAACACATGTTATGGGACCTTCCCTCTTTTCTTTTTGAACAACAAGCAATCTACACAATAAAATGAGGCAAAAAACGCGAGATGAGAGAGCGCAGAAAATTGAGAGGCACTTCAGGGGGGACCGCAAAAAGTGTCAAACTGGGTGGGCGAAATTTCGGGTTCATCTTACTAGCCACCATCACTACTCGTCCCCCTTCTTCATTCATGCACTGTGCACAGTGTAAGGTCAACCGCGTGCGCAGGCCGCTGCGCGTCTTTAGGAACTGTTTGAATATTCTTTTGTTTGTTTTCTTGGCCTTCTCTCGCGTCACCATCCCACATAATGTGTTTCGCAATTTGTTGCGCATTTGCAATTCTGAATACCATTTTTAAACAACATTCAATTTTTGAGTTTTCTATGCAAGTATTATCAAGAAAATTTTTAAATAATCTTTAATGTAATTTTAAATTAAATCGCGCAGAGTTTTTAATATTTTCTTACAGTTATTCAAAAAAAAATTCATATTTTTAGTCTCTATTATCTGTGCACACCAACAAACCGATTTTATAAACCGCCTAATATTTCGCAATATTATTTATATTTTGCAGATCTCAATAAATGCATTATGAAGCTTTTCGGGTGTTTTGAGAAGAAATTCAAAGTGACTCCTCATCAAAAGCTTAAATGCTTTCATGTTATCAATTTAATATTCTTTGTATGTTTCGAATGAGATTTTTCACCACTGTGGAATTGTTTGTTTTAGACATCTGGTGCTGGAGCGCTTGCCGTTGGAATTTGGCTCTATATCTCTAGGAATGATTTCATCGAGCTCACACCAATGTCATACTCAGGTTTCTTGAAAAATTCGAAAAAAAATTGAACCCAGCTTATGTTCAGCTTTATCATCGGCGGGATTAAGCACCTTCACCGGGACAACAATTTGCATTATATCTATTGTAGGATTCTCAGCAGTGGTTCTGAACAGGACAGCTCTTCTCTATGCGGTATCATTGAAATACAGAAATCATAAGTAAAAATTGAAAACTCTTACAGTATATTGCATTTGTAATGTTTCTGACATTCATTCATTCCGTCACTAGAGGCACTAGCTTCTTTAGCCGTGCTGAATCTCGAGAGAATTTACGAGGGGAACTTCTGAACAAAATCAATCGAACCTACGTTATAACAAAAATGGGGAGAAAGCTGAAGCTTCAAGTTACCTGGGATCACTTACAAAGAACCGTCAGTAGCAATAAAATATATTTTTAAAAACCGACGTTAGGTCTCTTTACTTCCGTTAGGTTGGAAAATTTTTATTTGAATTCATAGAAAACATTTCAAAAACAGGAATCTAGATAGGGTTGGCAAAAATAAATTTGTTACAATGATTATCATTTCGAAATAAACAAAACTTAGATATATTTTCTTTGTGTAAATTTATTTCTGAATGTAACCGAAAACAGTAAAAGTTCTAATAATTTAGATGAAATGCTGCGGCGTTGATACCTATGAAGATTGGTTTTACACTACACAATGGCCAAATAACGAATTTGTACCAGAGAGCTGCTGTAATGCGACAATGTTCGAATCACAAGCTGCTATGAAAAACTGTGGAAAACTGCCTGATCAAACTGATAATCTTTATCAAAATGTGAACAAATAGTAAAGATTTTGTTCGTAACTTAGAACTATTATAGGGATGCTTTGAACCATTTGCTGACTGGCTGTTTCATCACATTACTGTGTTCAATTGGTTAACAAGCATTCTTCTTGTTATTGAGGTCGGTATTAATAAATCATCAACGGTTTGAACACTATTCAAATGTTTTCCAGGTTATTACTGTTATCTCTGGTATTACCGTCTTGATTCTTATGCGAAAGGAGCGGAAGAACAGCGAACGGCGACGGCAACAGCGCATGCAAGCGTATGAAGCAAATGAGCAACTTCAATTAAACCCATTCGATCGGATAGGTGATGCATCAATAGATCCCGATATTGTAATGCCCGATGACGCTATTAGCATTGATTCCAGGTAGATTTCCGCTTTCTTCAGGTGCTTTTGAACCGTTGTTCTCTTGTTTTACGTGTTGGTTGTTTTACAATGCTTGCATTTTACCTCATTTTATGTTACGAATTGCTATTTGTTTTATGCATTTTATTAATCTATGAACGTAAATAAACGTAAATTTTTCTACAAGAATGTGCTATAATTATTGTACTGCCGAAGAATTGTTTGAAGACTGCAAAGCACCTTTTTTTGAATCGCCGAGACTTGTTCCATCCCCATCATCTAAAAAGGTTAAATCTTGATAAATTGTTGATTTTAAACGCCAACCTTCAATGAACAAAGCGCCATCAATCACTTGAACGACGTCTTTAAATACCGTGTCGGGATCCGAATCTCCATCAACCTAAGTATTCAGGTTTAACACTGTGAAGCGAAATGACGAAGGAATAAATAAAGCAAAGAAACGAACAGGAGCACATTTCGTTTGACTTCTCAAGCATTATATGCAGCAAAATACATAGTTTTTCTTATTGCTGCTAGAAATAAATCACATTGGTGCTAGATACAGTTAATTTTTTGATGATGCTTAAAATTTGCGTGCAAAGAGAAATGTTATCACATGCACATGCGGAATAGCGAAAAATTAGTTTTGATCCCATGACCGTCTCAGCAGTATAGCAGATATTTTGGCCAAGGAATCATTACCGTCTCATGCGGATTTCTCACCACACGCAATTTTCCCCTCTCGTCTAGCGATTTCAGCATTGGAAGAGTATTTCTTTTAAAGAAATCCATACGCGCTGCCACAGATTCATCGCTATCGTCTGAAACAACAGTTGTATTAGGAAAATTATGTATACTACCAGCACGGTGATTTTCTTTATTTCGCTTCTTAATCGTTTCTAGGCAAAATTGCTCAGTGCAATCGATAAGAATTGCAAGGTCCATTCGTTGAAGAGCATGCTCCAATTCGGCGAGTTGATCCGAAGATTTCGGATAGCCTTCAATAACATAGCCCCAATTTGTGTTTCCTCTTGATTGAAGTTCTTCATATAATATCGAACGGCAAATTTTCTAAAGAAAACATCGTATAAAGTTTCGCGTCGAGCGTTACCGTTGGTATGGACTCTCCGTGGCTCATTTTCTTTCCAACCTTCTCCCATAGCGGGTCATTCTTCTCCGAGTTCACCTTTTTACGAAGAATCTCTCCCATCGATAATAATGTAAATCCTACGATAATGTTTATAATTTTAGCATCTTTGTCGCTCATACCATCATATTTTTGTGTAATTCGCCTTCCAATTTCATTTTTCTGTGAGCCTGGGGCACCGAGCACCAGAATTACTGGAGCATTATTTGGTAATCCTATAGGCTCAATAAAATCGCCATTAGCAACTGAAGGTGTTGAATTTTTTCGTTCGCTTTCTACTTGGTCCGATGCAACCCTTTTCGCTAAAGTAAAAAGAACTTGTTGCTCAATTGTGAAACATTTGCACTCTTCGTAAAATCATAATCATGCTTCAAACCATGCCTAACGTAATCTTTAAAAATCTAATAAGATTTTCACTTCAATTTACCGTCTTCTCCTGGAAGATTTAATTGTGGAATTACTACAGGGGTAGTTGTAGGAATTGTTCTTTCTATAATGGATTTTTTACAAACTTATTAATAAGTAAGTAGTTAGTTAGTTTCAACGAAACCTGAAGTTGGTGTTTTCGTCAGACGCGAAGCCGTCGAATTTCGGGAATTTGTTGTGGTACTTGGTTTACCTTTAAAATGTATTTTGAAAAGGTTTCATAATAGTTAATTCTAAACTATCTGGCGGATTTGAAGCTGGTGTTACTGGAGTAGGTGGTTTGGTGCCTGAATTCATTTTTTTTTTTGTTATAAATATACAGTACCGTGCAGTAAGATATACAATTTCACTTTTTTTATCATAACTTTCTGAAAAGTTGACCAATCGATCTGAAATTTTTGGACAACTTTAAGCATCGATAGAGTGATTATGTAACAAAATTAGAAGGTGTAAAACACATTAGGAAAAATTTTATTGGCAAAAAATCAGAAAATCCATAATAGCGAAAAACCGACTTTAATAATTTTGATACCGGTACGACTTGAAATAAAATGGAAAACCACAATTATCTGTCAGGATGCTTAAAACAACTCAATATCTTGTTGACATGTCATTTGCATCGATCACAGTTTGATATCGGAGACCCATGGCCTCGTCAACTTCGGTAGGGTTGAAATTGGTATATCCATCCATGATCTTCTCAGCTGCTCGATCATTTCGACACATTTTGTACAGTTTGACCACCAAGACGTCTACCAAGATCATCCTGCAAATGTTCAATGGGGTTCAAGACAGGTGAGTGGCTTGGTCAGACCATGACGGCCACCCGACGCTGCTAGAACCACTCTTTGATGTAGCGAGAGAAAAGTTTAGGATCATTATTCTGCTGAAATAAGTATCCACACCGAGCAAAGACTTTGCAAACGGAAGCATATGATTCTCGAGAATGTCTTTATACGCAAATCGATCCATATTTCCTTCGATTCGACGAAGAGGGCCAGCTCCAGAAGCAGTAAAACATCCCCAAACTATCACGCTTCCTCTTCCATGTTTCACTGTTGGTAATTGATGCTTTGGATCGAATCTTTTGCCGTCCGAACACCTCACAAAGGTAATACCATCCGTTCCGAGCAAGATATACTTCGATTCATCACTCGATACGACCTTTGACCATTGTTGAAAAGTCCAATTCAAAAGCTCCTTACCCCACTTCAAACGGGCGCGGCGTTTCTTCTCCGAAAGGAGAGATTTTTTGACAGACCGACGTCCAAATAATCCAGAACCACGTAGACGACGCTTGACAGTATCAACGCTTATCTGTATGTGACTTTTGGTGAAAAAAAGTCATGGTTTTTCGGAAAAATCTACGTTGACCTCATAGAACTGACTCAGTTGCCGATTAATCTCGGAAGCGGATAGACGCGGGTTGCTCTTGCTGATTCCTACAATGGTGCGATTGATTGCCGGGGATGTTTTGGAAGGATTTCCAAGTGGTTTGGAATCCGATCGAGGTTTCAAACATACACGAATGGTCCAAGTTGATGAGTTCAACTGGTGTGATAGACATTGGATGAAAAGACCTTGTGCTCGGCCATCCTTGATTGCTTTAAAACGTCTGATAGAATGTTTTTTGATCATTTTGAGCGTTTTCTGCTAAAACAAATAAAAAAAACTGATGTTAACATTGAAAATCTAAAAAAAAAAATCGAAAAAACTTAAAAATTAAAAAAAATCGCATTTTTGAAAATACGCAAAAAAAGGTCCAAAACACAAAAATTGCGTCTATAGTACCCCAAAATGAATAAATTATGTTTGGGAACACACTATCTGTTTTGCCCAAAAATTTCAGATCGATTGGTCAACTTTTCAGAAAGTTATGATAAAAAAAGTGAAATTGTATATCTTACTGCACGGTACTGTATGTATAATCCTACCACTTCTTGACTGTTTCTGGGATCGCGGTTTTGAAACTGGCTCTCGAATGACAGCATGATTTTCATCCTGCAGTTAATGTAAATTTGGCAGTTAGTAGGTATTATCGGAACAATACATGTTTGATCTCTTCATGATTTACCACAGCTGTTTCTATAGTGGTATTTTCAACTTGAGCTTCAATTGGAGCTGATCTCGATGAATCTTGCGACTCATCTCCTTTTGGTGAAGTCAAGTGTTTTCTATGACTACTTGGGGGTTTTGTATTCAAAACTGGAACCCCAGTTTCCAACGCTTTGAGGACCAGTGACTTCATTCGTTCGTAAATGACTTGATCTTCTTTTTCACCGGGAATCTGAATAGTTATTTATAAATAAGAGGATTTTATTGTTTGGTTTACCAAATGAAGAAGTTTTTGATCGTCAAAATATTTTGCAGATGGCAATGTCTTTTGTTTGAACTCCTTAAGCTTGGTAATAAAATTTTCTCACGTAACAAGTGAAACCTTGATTTTTTGATCGATTATTTCCATTCCGAGACCTCTTCGCTCCATATGCTCTCGTAATGTTCGTTCATCATAATCAAGGATAAGGGCCATATTTACTGACTTCACCTGCCGTTCGAAATCTTCAACCTGGCGTGCTTCGCGAGGATAACCTTCAAGGAAAAAGCCATGCGCATTTGGGTGACGGCCCATTTCCGCCTGAAAATTGTTTACTGAAGAGGAAAGAATTCCTCATCACCTTTAAAAGCATGAGAGCCAACTGATTGGGAATGAGTTCTCCTGAAAAACATTACACTTTGTATGATTTTGACATATTGCAAAATGTGTTGAGAGAAATCTAGGTTCAGATCTAACCTCTCATATAATGTTCATTAGCTTCTTTCCATTCTGGGTATTTGTCTTTATATTTCGCAAGAGCAGAACGAATAATATCTGGCATACATATATGAACGAGTCCTTGGTCCATGAGTGCATCAGCCACTTTAGCAGCATGACGAGTCTTACCACCACCAGGACCACCTTAATAAAATTTCTCGTAATTTCTTGCAGCTTAACTCAAACTTGTACCCATGAAAAGAATTACAGGAACTTCGGGAATGCGGGCAACTTCAGCCGCTTTTGTTACCGAAGGAACACGATGGACAACCTAAATTAGAAATACATTGTTGGAATACATATAATTTATTTGACCATTTCTTCTTCAGATTCCAAACGAGGCTCTGGGCTTCGATGCTCAACAGTGTTGGTTCTTGAAGGCTCTTTTGAATACTCGCTTTCGTTAATTTCCGGCCTAAAAGAATGTGGATCCTTAAAGAATTGATTTTGTGTACGTGAGTTTTTTAACGGCTAAACACACACGTCACCATTGGCGATTGCAAGAGGAATCGCATGTGGTTAAGAATTTTAAGACTAAAAATTTAATTTCAATATATGAAGCTCCAAAATCTATTCCATTAGCATAAAATATTTTTTATATTCATTATCTAAATAACAGTGGCAAGATAAGAATTAGAATTTACTAAATGAATGAATAGTTCTTTTCAACAAAATTTGCTGCTTAAGTCTTATTATATGTACTTACAAAGGTTCTTCATTCGTGTTCGTAGTAATCACCGGGCGCGGTACCACCGGCTGATAAACAGTTTTCGGCGGTTGTCCGCCAGGGTAGTTCCGATTTGCCTCTCCTGTAATAAATTCTACAAATATTACCCACATAAAATCGTAAATAAGGCACCACAAAAAACTCGGTGAAAAGCGTGAGGTGGGCGACGAGGATAAGTAGTCTCTAAATGGGGCATACGCGTATCGACGTAATAATTGTTGCTCGCTGAGTTTGGCTTGCTATTTATTCAGAAAAACCTCTATTTTATTGTTCGCCTAAGTTTTCTTCACCTTTTCAACTAGTTCTTTCATTCTGATGTATTTTTTTAAAGCAAAAAAATCTGATTTTGTAGAAACCAAAAAAACTAAAAACAGGAATGCTATCAATAGAAATGAAAAAGGGACATATACGTCTATTAGTCATCGTATAAATAAATAATTCTGGCTTCTTAGTATAAAAATATTGAATTCGGAAAGCAAATTCAACGTATATTGCATTTTAACTTTAGTTCCTTACAGATATTATATTTTGATATTATAAGAATTGTTAAATGGCGCATTCTTCGCACCAATGCTTCTTACTTCAGTTTTGGCGTTTAGCAAATTTCTCGTAGCTGCTTTGACAATATTATATGTTGAAAATATGAATACATATGTTATACTGATTTTAAAGTTAATTTCTCTTAACGACTTGTATCCTGTTTCTACTTATTAATTATCTTCAACTAAATGCTTTACCTATATTTTCCGCAATGAACATGTCCCATGTAATCGCCATGTTGGGCTGGGTTCGCACTTTGATGATAGCTCTCTCAAGATACTCCAAAGGGTCAACGGGTCGATGGAAGATGAGTCCCGTCATGAGTCCCTGCAAGAATTTGTAGGCTGTCACCGGTGGTTGTATTCTTGGAAGATTTTTTGCTATCAACCCAATTGGAATTATTTTCAATATTCCACTTTTTCCGAATAGGAATCAGCTCATTTTTATGAGAATAAACATTTATTTCGTGTGCTCCAAATCTATTGAGCGAGACTAATGTGCTTTAAGGCTAAAGGAAACATGAGACATTTAATATTAACGTGCTAGAAAAGTGCTGCCATAAATTAATAATCGATGCTTGATAGATGTTTGACATTCAGGTATAACAAAAAAACTCAGCACCCTTGTTATTATTTTTTATAAATTTCGTAGAGTTTGAATTGTTGGTGGCAAGTGGTGCACTAAATTGATCGGCCAGAAACAATATTTGAATTTCCGCAAACGTCGGGGTACTCATTTTTTGCAATGATAACAGAAAACAGTTGAAAGCCGTTACAGATTCTACTCTTATTAATTTTTATATAATACGAACAAACGCCGACTAGTGTAGATGTGTTGTCTTCAAAATGTTTTTTAGAACAATTTTAAAAAATTAATCAAAACCTGATTGAGCGAGTGTATGACACAGACAAAAAATTTTTAAGAATTTGTATTCAACTTTGGTTTAGGCTCATTATTAGGTAGACAAGATATAAATAATATTACTTACTGAATTTTTCAGTTGCCAAAGACGTCCAACGTTAATTTTATTTATCAGAATAACTAAGATATTAAGTGTCGGCAATTTTTTTCTTCTAATTTAAATTTGTAAATTGAATTTTACCTCAAACAGCTGGGGAATTCGATGGTCCTGCAAATAATACTTGGCGTCGATGGCTCCGCTCATCGGTTGGTAGTCGGAAGCAAACGTGAATGGCGACACTTCGGTAGCTTTGATTAGTATTGATACGAGCAGAAACAAAAACAAGGCACGTGTATTCACTCAAGAATCGACTGAGCAACCAAAAAAATTCTTTGGATATGGCGCCTAGTTATCAACCCTCGTTGATAGGTGTATACAGCAGGCAAAGCAAGAGGGGAGGCACACGAGATAACGAGGATTTGTTGCCAATAGCAACCAGGCGCCACCAACAATCATGTATAATCCAGAAACGCTATTCAGTGCATGAAAAGATCTATAGAAAATGAACAAAAACTTATTATGAATACACTGAATAGCGGTATTAGCCGCCACAAGATTTGTTTGAGACATTAAATTCGAAGCGACGTTTTCTCTCGGCGGAGCCGGATATTCGATTAACCTGCGCGCTCCGTTGCCTTCACAAATATTCATTTTCATGTATAATATGGTGAAAAAGTACAATAGAATAGTTTAATAAATGAAAATAAGCTGGAAAAATAGTTATCGGACAGATAGGAGCATAATAAATAGAATGGATAAATGTAAGTTTTTACAAACTTCAATTACCCAGTTAGCCGAATGATAGATTAGGATGGAAGAATTGTTATATTTTTAAAAAATTTAGGAGATTGGTTTGGCTTCCTCGGCGACTGGGGTAGCGACAGTGCTCGAATTGCGTGCGGCTCCCGCCAAATGATCGATTGAAGTAGACGCAGCCATCTTAGCCTGAAAAATTCAAAATATTATATAAAATTAATGAATAAACGAAATGCTAGTTTTCAGAATTTTGTAGTCACAAATGAGTTAATATTATGAAAAACTTTCTCCACGCAAAAATATTTAATTTTCACCGGAACGGCTTTACGCCATAAAATTCTCAATCCTTTAAGGCTAATCGTAGTAAATTTGTTTAAAAACCAACACATAGTTCCTTCTGATATATTTCTCAGCTCATTTTTCGTGTAATTTTTCACAATAACATAACTATCGTAATTCATTATTGTGATTCGAGAAAAATGATCGCGTGATTTTATCAAATAATTCGTGTTATTTATTGCTTAACATTTTTTTCTGAACGTTTCAGCGACAAAACTTAATGAAACTTGAAGGACATATCAGTTTTAATTAGTTTCATCTTCTCTCAAATTGTTCCGTAGCAAGGACAAGTTTTCATCAAGTTTAAAAGGCAATAAACATTTTGATATATTGATTTCATCGGTATCAAGCAGCCGCAACAATACCAAAAAAATGATTTAGCGAGAACGACGGAGCAACAAATGTTATTTTTATGTTTCCTTCTTTCTGTCTACTTTCTATTCGTTATGTTGTACTTTCAACGGCTCAACACATCGTTATATGGTTTCATTTTCTTTGAATGTTATTCTCATACGCATTTCTCGTACCTGATTGTAAGCAGTTCCTAGCTTTGATTCAAACGATTTGAAGAGAGAAGAGTTTCTCATATCATTCCACTTCTCCTTGACAGTATCAGTAGTCGCAGCTGCAACTTCAGCGGTTTTTTGGAAGCTGAAATTTAAAAAAATGACAAATGTCAAGTATTTCGCAATTTTTTCCCAATGCAAACATTGCGAAAGAATTAAACGCAAAAAAAAATAACTTACGCTTCTGTCTCGGTGACAACTTTAATGCTTCTATTGATGTCCTGCGACAACTCAGTGAATGGAGACAATCCCAACTTTCTCTTTAATTCCCCTGCGTGCTGAAACAGGAACATCATAAATAATACATTTTATTTTCATTTTTACCTTCTGTCTAGCAGTCAAAACCTGCTTGAGAGTAGCAATTTCGTCTTCGGTCTTGAGAAGTTCCTCGCGAAGAATCTCCTTTTCAGCGTCGCTGAGCATTTCAGTAGTCTCTGAAAAAATGTGTTAAAAGATGAATTGACGGGAAAAAAGAGGGAAAAGGAAACGCAGAGCCAAATAGAAATCGTTTAGTTTACTTTTATTTTCAGGCGAACTCTCAGTTGGTTGAGTGACCACCTGCGGAGTTGCGTCGGGCTCTTTCTCAATTACCACGGCGTCATCGTCAGAATCGCTTCCTTCAAGTTCCTTGGCAAACTTATCAAGGTCCTCCTTGCTCTCCTTCTGATTTTTGTTGGCGTTTTTCTTTGCCATCGTTGAACAGTGAGAATTGATTGGTTCGAGGGCGCGATATACGTTGGAATTTTCGTCGAGATGACACACACAGACGTTGGGGCACGCAAAAAAGCGAGAGGACGCAGAGGAGAAACGTGTATGGTCAAACAACTGTCGGGACTCGATCGATATCTAACTACTCTCAATGAACGCCTAACTATTTCCATTGCGGTGTTGCTCATCGAGCGGTATGTTTAATTACTCCGTGTTATCAAAATCATATAATAATGATAGCAAAATGATTCACCTGTGTGCACGCCGTCAGCCATTGTCAAACAAGAAGCGCTGAAATAAAGAGGAAGTGAAATATACAGATATCAATGGTAGCGAAAAAAAGACTAGTCGATTGAAACGAGAGTGACACAACACAAATAGGGCGACCAATACATGCCAACACGAGACGCAAAAACACATAAAAATGAATAGTTGGTTTTTTGACGAAGCTCCGTTATTTCCGAGACGCCATTTTTAGCGGATAATTTCATTTGAATGGAAACAGGGGCTGCGCGTTAGTAAAATATAATAACAACGGAATTGATTAAAATACGCTTTCATTGTTAAATTTGATAAATAAAAAGAAGAAAAAAACTTATGCATGAAAATAACCGTTATATGTTTTGTAAATGAAACAAAATTTTGTTTTTAAACGACAATTATCAAACGTGTTTAATACAATTTTGCGCGGTGGATACAATGTCGAAAATATATGTTTTTAGTCAAAAACAATTTTACACTCTCTTCTTGATTCTTTGCAATTAGTTGATGAAAGAAATAAAGACAACGTTTCAAAAAACCTTTCAAAATACAAAGGCTATTGTTCGGACTATTGGCATTCACAGAAGTTACACGGTATGAACATTTTATGACCAGAAACTCAAGGTGAATCATGTGTAAACATACGGAAAAAATAACTATTTGTCGATTATTTTCGCGCGACAATGTATTTAAAAATTTGCTTTACATTCTTTTCAACAAAAATGAATGCGAAAATGAACTGCACTACAAACTTTTCAATTATTGGTGATTCATATTTGTTTAACACAAAAAATAACCGAAAAAAATTTCTTGGAATTATATAGTTGTTTCATGCTAAGGGAGCGCTCGCAATATGGAAACTTACACGAGAATTTTTCTTTGAAAAAAAAAATAACCAGCTCAAGAAAGAGTTTAACTCCTGAAAGCTGATGAAAAAATTTGTAGAGCATAGCTGACATCTTCTCTAATTAGATTCTTTTTGAGTTATATAACGAAGCCTATAAACCTGATTATTCACAGTTAGGCTTTACTTGTTTATACGAAGTTTCTTGTGAGTTATCCCAAAAAAAGTGAATTTGAAATTTCAGCGTATAAAAAATTATCAAATTGTGTGAAATATTAGGTAAAAATTTTGTGCACAACCTTGAAAGAAATTGAAGGCATTAGAAATTTTCTTCAAAATCAGAAATAATTACTAATTTTAAACTTCTTCTAATGAAAGCCGATATTTTATTCCACTCGAAGTTGACGTCAATGAGCTTTGCGCTTCAAGGAAATAGACACAAAAGGGAAATAGCTGAAAACTGAAGTTGACAAAAGTAAGGAAAAAGAGTTTTGGAGGTATGGGGAATTGAACCCCAGCCCTCTCCCATGCTAAGGGAGCGCTCTACCACTGAGCTATACCCCCAGGTAACCGTGACGAAGATAACTGGATATAAATATAGCTAACGCGTCTTAGCGATAACTGAGGATAAGAACGATTTATGTTTATATAGATGACATTGCAGAATTTAATAGTCCCTTCATTAGGCAATGTGGGAAATGAGATATTCAAAATACAAATGAAATAATTTCTTGTCATTAACTTTTTTCCTTTTTTGAAATGCCACGTTGTTCTGGTATACTATACTTGTTCATATAAAAATTGATCCTTTGCCCTTTGCAGGATTTGTTATTTTCAGAAGTCGAATCACTAAAAAATTCAACACTTTTGAGAATAGAATTCGTGAGAAATTCTAAGACACGGCTCCATTTGAATTTTATTTGATCGCAAGTTTTGACTATTTATAAAAAAAAATAAAGTTCAACTTTGGGATAACACAAAAAAAAGTTACAGCAGGGATTTGAAGGGCGACGTTGAATGAAACTTATCGGACGCATAAAACATGATATCTAGAGCATTGGTAGTAATAGCAAAAATGTTCTTGGAGGTATGGGGAATTGAACCCCAGCCCTCTCCCATGCTAAGGGAGCGCTCTACCACTGAGCTATACCCCCAGCTGGGAGATGAAGAGAGTGTCGCGTATACCTCAATGCGTCCAACCATCAGCCATTCTAGACTTTTGCATGTAGAATTTGTTGGTCGGCAAGTGGGTTTTTAAAATAATTAATTTTTTTACAAAAAACATATATATGAATCTGGTGGGAATTCACAAAAACATTCTGCCCGCTAGCATTGCCATGCCAAGCAAAATAAACAAAACCAGCCCAACAAACAACAAGTACTTAGAATTGGGCAAAATAGTGGAGACTCGAGCGCACAACGATGTCGATCGATAAACAACACAATGCCGTCGTATGGCCATTTGGCGTGACATTTGTGCGCCATGCAGAGCTTAGATCTTCATCGCTCTTATAATTAAGCAGCTCAACGGACCACCATGCAATGGGATGAACACGCGATTGAAAATGATGAGCCCGTTATTCAGAACCAAAGGATGTTTTATATGGTGGGGTGAGATGAGAAAATGTATAAAACAAGATGCAATGGAATATATTTTAAATGGGACGAGTTGATTTTATAGTATAAAAAGAACGAAGCATATATGAAAATAATTACAAATAATTAATCAATGTGATACATATTGTTATCGTAGAAGAATTTGTTCAGCAATTTTGTCCATATCTGATCCCTAATAAATAATATATTTATTTGTTTCTTTGTTATTAGAAATTTCGTAAAGTAATTTAGAAAAATCGTATTGTCGAAGTCGTGCGGCTGCGCCAAAATGCAAGCGATGTCCATGAAATTGCGACAGCGTATATTACACGCGGAAAATGCAACGCTAAAAAACGCGCACATAAAATTACCGAGCAAAAATCGACCAGTGATTTACGTGATCCAATTTGAAATCAGAACGCGTTTTTCGCTGTAACTCGATTTCGATAATAATTATATAAAAATAATTTTTAGTTTAGACGGATATTTGGATTTATTCAAAATACATTTTTTCACAACAATTGACTATAAATTAATTGTTAAATCATCATAAAACTGTTTTTTTAATGCATAATTCCAAAAACTTGATTTAGTTTGTTGGTGTTTCTAATTTTATTTTCATCTGCTCCAGGCTAACAGGCACACAATTAATTAATTATTCATTACAATGGACTGATCAACATTGAAGTTTTTCCAAGTGTTGTGTAAACCTTGTTTTGCGTATCCCGACGAGACCAATTACAATATTACCAACCAATTACATTGCTTGGCTAAGGTATCAGTAAATTGTCAAATTTTCCAGTTTCCCAGACCAACGCAATCGACTATTTTTCACATCCACACTACAATTATAAAAGGCGAAAACTGGAAGCCAAAATCACAATGAATCAGAATATAATACCTAGGCACGGTCAATCGTACAATTCTATAATTCTTCCTTCGCACATTTCTAAATATATAGGATTTCCGTTCGTGTAATCGTGTGCTTTTAGTTTAATTTTTCATGGTGCTCTTTTCTTCTCCTCTAATGCATTCCAGCAACCAATTTACCCACTCCGAGTTGAAATTAGGTTCAATAAATTTTCTAGATCGTCGTACTTAATGCGCCCACTATCCCACACACACACAACAACTGACACCAGGTTTACTGTTAAATGAGGTTTATGGCGATCAGATAAGAACGAGCTGAATAAAGATCATTTAGTTTGAAAGCCTTTATTTGAGGAAAGTTATGAACATTTTCAATTTACTTTCGACGTTATATTGATTAATCCGTAAGTTCAAAAAACACCTGAAGCGCAATCGCTGATTACAAATTTTTCATTTCGTTTTCATAATCTCAATCATGAAATAGTGTATTTAGCCACGCCTTCAACAACGAGGTTGGTCAATTGATCTTATCATTACAAATATGGGCATCGCCTACTCCATTAGGCACCTTTTTATAAAAGAGCACTAACGGGATTTTTCTTGTTATTACAGTGATATTTCAAGATATTTCACAAAAAGAAGGTGAGTAAATGAGAATAGATATATCATATAAGCTCTTTAACTTTAAAATAAAGAAAACCAAAAGAGCCGTATTTTCTGAAAATTTTGAAGAACCAAAGTTATCTTGAACTTATTTCCAACCACACCCTTCTCAATTAGTTGTTTACAAATATAAACGCAAACATTACGGAATTTCAGACGAATTGTGATGTTTTCTCTCGTATTTGTTGAACTCTGGTCACTATACAATTTTCTTTACGTCCACAGAGGCCATGTTTGCAGCTTAATTATGATGTGCAACATGTGATCACCGGTTTCTTAAGTTAGGTACCATTCTAGTGAAATTGATGTATAATGTTTGCATTAAGTAAAACGTTTTGTGAATGGAAACCGTTGAAACATAAAAAATATTTAGTTCGGTGAAAAGTTCAAATATGATATTTTTTCAGCAACTGTGTTAATTTTCATGGTACTATGGAGATTTCAGAAAAAATCTCAAAAAAAAAAGAATGGTTTCCACTAATTTTTTTTGTATTCTGCATAGTGTTCTTATTAGTTTTTGAGTATTTTCACCGGGTTTTTAAGTTTCATTATACATTAAATTTCCAAATATATGTCATAGTAGAAACACATTGATAGTATTACATCAAGCTGGTCAAATTTCGAGTTTTGGACTCACTGGTTCTGTTTGGGGTAGTCGGTCGAATCGGGTTTGTTCGAGATCCGAAAAATCATACTTTTTATTTTTCTTTTTTTAGACTTAAAAAATTTTGACAATTGCCTAACAGATATCGAACAGATTTTTTAAAATGTTCATGAGATCAACAACATTTTCGCATAGTCAAGTACAAATTATCAGATGTACTTTTAGTGATAGCTGTTTGTCGATTTCAATTAAGAAAATCTCCCAAAGATGGTTTTAATCTCCGATCACTATGGTATCATCAGCTGCGCACTTCGCCCATTTTATCAAGTTTTTTTCTTTCCGAAAAGTGAAAATAGCAAAAATCGCCCTTACGAACACCACCCTTGATAATACCGAGGACAAATTGGGATGTTTTATTTCGGTATTTCATTTCGGCGCGACTCGTTTTTTTCTTTTCCCGAGCATTCCGCAAATTCCACAATTGACCAGCGCTTTACTTATCATGACATCACACTTCCCCAATAAATTGGAATCAAGTTACATTCTCATTCCACGTGCTCAATTCTCCTGCAAATACGCAATAGCAAATTTCGATGACAGAGTGTAAATGGGCGTGGTCGACGTTTGTCCGGAAACCAACTGAAGTTCTGATAAGACGTTCCATAGTCGTTTCGAAAACACTGATAAACGTAGATTGGATCGAGGCGGGGGTTGTCCTCTTTGGCGGAAAACAGAAATTTTCTGTGTGTAATACGGTTTTCCCTCATTGAGTACGACATGACATGACTTGAGGCAGAAGGAACGACGATGTAGCAAAGAAAAAAGGGAATTGAGGAAGACACACAGAAATGAGGCGCAAATTTCGGAGATAGCAAGATGAAATGTGACAAGGTACCAATCAATACCGACCATCAGGCGGGTTTCCCATCATCGCCTTCAATCTTGCCTCATAGTCCTGAACGTTTCCGAATCTCTTTCACGACGTATAATACACACGTGAGTATGTTTTTGCCTCCATCGCATTGTGTACGTGTTGGCGGGAGGGATGAACGAGAAGGTAACACATTTTCCGTCTGATGTTTCGATCCGGTGTGAGAGAGTTGAGACAGCGGGAATTCGCTGACGGGAGGGGCTAGTGCCTCTCTTACCTTTGGTTGTTCTCCTCCTCAACTATCATACTAGTCTCATCACTAGAGACTCAACTCTATCACTTGGTGATTTTGTTTGGATGTATTTTCTTATTTTTCGGTGTGAGATGGTGAACCTAATAGAGAAATGACCAATGTCTTCACTCAAAGATCATGCAAAGCTTTGAATTCGACATTTATCTTGTTTATTTCTAATAAAAGCGACCAACCAAGAAAAAATATTTGATTTTAATTTTATTAGCTTTTTCTTTTTCTAATCAGTATTACCTAGTTTTAAAGATTTTAAAAGTCAAAGTTCTAACTTGCAATTTTGAAATTTCTTTACTCTGCTAGAAAAATGCTAATTAACAGTCACATGAACTAAATGTGATCGTCAAGGATTTTCGCGTGACTAAAAACCTTGAGTGGTCAGAAAGTCTGAAAACATTGTTCGATAATGTTTTTAAAACATGTTTTGATGCGTCATGAATATTTCAAACCAAATTTAAATCGATTCATTCAAACTTTCGAACTGCCTTAAACCGTACTGTTGGAAATGTAAAATAAACAATGCCATTTTATCTAGCAAATTGATAGTCACAATTTCTACTCTCCTTTCCTCGGTTTACACTATTGTCCATTTTTTGATATTTTTAAAGCTGGATGGATTAAATATACATATTATAAGACTGGTAACTCGTTGATTATGTGGTAAAATCAATGTTTTCAAAAGTATTATTTTATTCTTTCAATAGAGAACTATTTTTGTGATATATGTAGCGAGCCTTTAAGAATTTGGAAATATTTATATTAACACATTTTTAGTCACACTATTTTCGGCATGTTTGCTTGAACTGCTATAAAATTTTACGGCCATAAATTTTTATTATAACGTCCCCTAAAAAACCTCAGTTCACCCGCAACCAGTTCTTTAGACATTATCGGGTAAACCTGTAATGCTTCGGTTTTCAAATGTCATTCTGTCCATTTTTGCCTTCTTTTTCCCGAATCGAATATGATTCATTGCACCATTTTTCGATACATCAATCAAAAAACATTTCTCTTTTGAAGCCTGCAAAGAAGGAGTTGAGTTTGCTGATAAACACCTACCCACTATTTTCTAAAAATCGATAATATTGATTCGTCATCATAGCGTCTTATCAACTTTTAAGTTCTAGATGTTTCCATATGAAAAAGTGAAACTACTTCCATTGTTTTGTTTTGTACGATACGGAATTGAATAGTACTCAAATATTTGATTAGTCATTGTTGTTATTATAATCATTTTTGCCGCACAATGTTCCAATTTTAGGTGTGCGTGGGTGTGGTTCTGATGGTTTCGCTTTCAATATGAATGAAAAAACGAAAATGTTAGACAACGTTTCCGATAATACTGGACATTGCCATCGTGTAATACGTTCTCTTTGATTATGATGCTTTAATACGTTGTAATTTTATTTTATCAGCTGGATTGCAATGTTGCTCGCAGACATAGAATTAGAACTCTTTTTTTTTCTTTCCCCGAGGTTCTAATTTTGTGCGGCTAATTGCGCAACGCAAACAGAAATGACCTAAGTCACGTAGCCAATAAAATTGGATTTCTTTAGAACCTGTCATGGAATGGTTACATGATTCTAAATAAAATTGAAAAATATCGATAACTCGATTATTCTTAGAAATCTCTATTTTTGATGACATTTTGGGCCATTCTTTTGGATCAAAATTTCAAAAGTTGTTTGCACTTGACGTTTTTGACCAAAAGTCGTGTGAAGTTGAACATGAGAAATCTTTGAGCCCTTACAACAAGCGTTGCGGTTCTGAAGTGCAAACACAATAAAGGTCGATCTTTGCACTTACCATAGTGGTAAAGAACATGAGACTCCGTATCGGAGCCTCAGGTGAACTGTGCTACACACAAAAATTGCCGAGCGTAGGAATGGTGGGCGTCGCCCGCCTTGAGCTAGTGCGTTCTTCTTTTTCAACAGTCAACTGTAAATAAACCCCCTCGGCCCCTTTCCAATAGTTATTGTTAGCCATAGTCGAAATGCGCGTTTGTTTATGCGCTACTTTGGCGAAGAAACGAAAAACGGGGGAGGGTAGGAGGACTGTATTTATGTAACGTACAGTACAAACACTAATGCCTTCTTGGTTCGTTTTGATCAATCTTTTCAATACACATTGCGGCCTGGCCGTTCGTCTACATTGATCACAATTAGATACAAACAATGCGAATTTATTGTATCCGGAATTCATCTATCCGTACATTCATTGCAGCTATCATGCCTTTTTCACTCGAATGACCAATAATATTTGATGTCAGAGATAATCCAATTTTATTGAAACCCAAATAAGAGATGGATTCAAGTTTCAAGCAATTGTGTTATTTTTAAGGTTTTTCTTTTCATTAAACTAAGATGAACTAAATTATAATGTGACAACAATAAAATGAATTGTTCTATTTATTCCATCTTTGGATTTTTTCCAAATATAATTGAGAGTCATACCGAATTCAGAGTTTTTAATGTTTTCTAGTTTTTTTTTTACTTTTAGATTAACAAATACTGCCGTCACTTGTATTTGTCATTTATTTTAAATTTATTCTCGCCCTAAAGCTTAAAGTTCATTCTTATCAAATCCATTGGTTTCCTCTCTCCCATCACCTGTGGTTTGTGTTTCCTTCGATATCAATTGAATCTCTCATCAATCATGTTTTTTTGGGCATTAAAAAAGTTCGGTAACATTGCGAAATGCCAACTGTCTTCAGAATCTCTAACGGGATCAAACGCGCGATATGCGTACCATTCCGTTCCTACCTGTCGTCAACTAATTGTTCCGATTCATTCATCTTATCTCTGAGAGAGGGGCGAGTTAATTGTAATAAGTTAAGGCAAATCGCCACCGATTTCGGTCCATTCCTCCGTCTTCCATAGCCTCAATGCTTCGAGACGCAAGGCAGTCTCGATAAACGTGATTTGACCTTGCGGCGAACACTACAGTCGCGTACCTTTTTCGGCTGTCTCAACCGCATCAGAGTTCCATTTTCCTTTTATGCTGTTTTTTGTTGTCTCATCAAAACATCCAATTCGATTTGATCAATAACGTCTTGCGTTTTTTGTTGTTGCTTTGCAGCGCGCTCATTTTTTGTCTTCGTCATTACTAAAACAAGTTTATAGTCAAACATTTTTCGTTTCATAGGAGAAACATGGCTGTTCGAAGTATTGGTAAGAAAATTATGATAACACAATACCAAGATCCCGATCAAAGTATCAAAGAGCTAATACGTTCTGAGAAGAAATATGAAAAGAACCCAAACCCCAAGGTATGTCAAATTTAAAAATAGTAGGTTATCGGATATACAGCAATTTTTTTGAAGGAGTTCGTGAAAGATGTCTCATTAAAACTGATAGAAAATCTACAATTGAAGTCAGAACATGAATTAATATTTATGAAATTTTTCTACAAAAAAAATGTTGAATTATATCTTTGGGACCATGCTTCAACTTTCAGAAAATTCCTCAGCATCAACATTTGCCGTTGTCATTTTTTCAACAGAAAAGGCCTCGTGGCAGCAGTGCTGGTCATTCTCCACAGGTTGTAAGAAAAGTGTTCTCCAAATTGTTAACCAAACAACGTTTAGAGCTCCATGGATGAATGTGCTTCAAGTAGTCGAGCGGCGGTAAGCCCGGCAATGGTCGGCATGATGGGACAACCATTGCCACAACAGCCACCGCAACCTGTAAGCTTCCATAAGCGGCAAATCAGTGCTCCAGAACTTCATCCTGATTACAGCATGAAGTAAGATTTTTAGAATTTATTCTCAAATTCTAAGCTATCCTTTTTCAGTCGACATATTCCACCTATTCCCCAACCATCCGTCAATCATCAACATTCAAAAGTATCACTTTTTCTTTGCGTAACGGTATTAATAGTTAAATTTTCAGAGTGTTTCCGCACTACCGCCAATAAGCATGGATTTTCAAAATAATCCACACCACGTGAAATCTGTTTCTCATGAAGCGCATTATTCCATCAGTGGATTCTCCCAGTAACAATGTTTTGTGAAATTAAAAAATAACGGAAATTTTTCAGGTACTCTGTACCCCAAGAACCAATATTCTCTCAGAGTCGTGACAAGAGCATGTCATTAGATCCAATGAGACGGAATTACCTTTCACAGGTAGTTGTTTTATCAATTTTTTTTTCATTTCGCTATTTTTAGCAAGACATTGAGCAAATACCTTTGCCACTAGGCTGGGAAATTTGTTATGACAGTGAGGGACACAGATATTTTAAAGATCATAATACAAAAACGACAACATGGAACGATCCACGATCAATGTGTACGAATAGTCGTAACTAAATGTTTGTATGTATAAGATTTTCAGCCAGTGACCACCTTCTGGGTGATGGAATAAACCCTAGTTTCAATTACTATGATAATCAGAGTGCGTCCCGCTCAATGCCGTCTATTCATCAGCCTGGCCCAACAATGCATCCAAACCATAGCAATCAATACGTCCCACAGCAACAGGTTTCAACACCTCGTCTTTTCTCAATGCATTTTCTGTTTAAGATGGATTACATTCAACAGCTTCAGAATGAGAGAATGATGATCCAGGAAAAAAATGTGCAATTAATGCAGTCTGGATTACTTGATAGTCCACAGCAGCAACAATATCAAGCAATATCCCCAATGAGTTCGCAGATAATGCAGCCTCATCATGAACATCAGCAGCAACAACAACCACCGCAACAAACACAGCAACAAACTCAACAACAAACGCAACAACAAACGCAACACCAGCAACAGCAATATTCATACATGCATGAACCACAGCTGAGTCAACAGCAGAATCAACATCCGATGATGAATACAATGGTCAATCCTTATCAAACCGTAAGCTTTACATTTTTATTTTATGTTTAATGTCGAAAAATGAAAATTCAGTTATCTTATTGATTTTTACTCTTTATATTTGTTTTTTCAGCGATCAATGAACGAAAACGCAATGGAAATTGATTACGCGCACGGACCTGCCAATCATTATCCATTTGATGTAAAAACAAAGCTCGCTCAACAAAAATGAGCAATTTTCAATTATAGGACATCAACCCAAGCGAGTTCGATCAATATCTTCAAATTAGCGGCGACAATAATCGCAACGAAGCGTCGATGGCTCATTATCATTGACCAAACAGCAAATTGTGCGAACTGTGCACAATGACTACGTTGCCATACACTTGAATGTAGATTGGCTGGAGTTATCATATAATTATTTCATTCACGGGGTCCCTTTCGGATGCTCATTTGTAAATGCTCCGATGTAAAGTCATTTTTAAATAAACAACCGACCAAAATTTTGATAATTTATTTTATTATTATTTTGATTTTTTTCTTTATATGAAAATAATATATACAGACTGATATATTTAAAAAAATATATTAAAATATTTTCAGTTCCATGCCAGTTACCACACCTTGCATCTTTCCTTCACAATCAATCTTTGTCGCAAATTAGGTTCATTTCATTATGTAGTGGTGTCCCAAATGTAGTTTACTATTCCTTCTCTAATATCATTGATAAAGCATTTTCGTTTTTGTTTAAATTTTTGTGTTGATTCAAGATAGATATTCTTTATGTGACATAAAATACCGCAAACACTCGACGCAATTATGCACCGCGAATTGTTCGCAACCATTGCCACGACCTATTGTTGACTTATCCGAGAAATATTTTAGAGTGCATACTAATGTCGGAACGGGTTTTGAGACGAACGACGTTTAGTGGAAGGCTTTTGCGAGCCACCTCTGATGAAATCGAAGAAGGTAATCGCTATATATGGAAGGTTCGTTTTTTTAAATGAAAATTTAGTTTGTATTATATAAATTCAGGGTTTGGGAAGTATGGTGTTAGATATTGCTATTGTGTTGACGGTGACGTGCTCATTATTCCTTTGGTTTTCAGGGTTTACCTTCTTATTTTAAAATGGCATTAATAGTCGCAAATTTGTAGAAAAGGAATAACGCCATATGAGCGACCTCTACCATGTGCTGACGAGTCTATTCGCAATCCGTTTAAGGAAAACACGGTTGGAATAAAGGTAAATCCAAAATATGTAAATTGTTCAGAGTGTGTCGAATGCACAAGTATCTCGACGTTGAATATAATTAAGAATGATATCTCATAAAGCAGGAACCGCAGTCAAAAATGACTGAATAATTATTTGATTAATTTACACCGCAACTTTAGAAGGATATTGCGAAATTCGTCTTTAGTGCATACTCATTTTGGTTATCAGTATCAGTGCTTTTCCACATTTTATCACTACACAAACACCAATATAAACCGCTTGACAAATAGTGAAAGTGATTGATAAACATGCATATGATTTAGTGTCGCATGATAGCAAAAAATAGTCTTGCTGTTATATACTACCAAAAATAATTGTGATACAAAGGTCACAAACTTTAGAAATCAATTCAAGGTTATAAAGGGAAGCGATTAGGAAAAAATGTCAGTATTTCAGTAAGGTGAAAGAAACATTTAAAAAGAAAAGACTTCAAAAAAATGAATAATTCAGCAAACAACATAACAATGCATATTTTCAGCATCTCCTCGCGGTTTCACTAGCCTCCCCCTTTTTTATAATTGGTTTAGTGGAGGCTATTATTTATTACAACTCAAAGGTATTAGAAAAATTTGGTGAAAAGTTAATGAGTTAATTTAGGGTTCGAACCGTTTTCAAAAGTTCTTTGCTACAACTACTATTATTTACTTGAAGTACCTTTTGGTCTATGCAGGTTGCACATTTATGATGGAATTTTTGAAATGCTAGTAAGCTGTTCAACCTGCAAACTTGTAAGGGATTATTAATTATTGCAGTGTTGGGAGATTGCGGCCGCATTTCGTCTCGGTTTGTCGACCAGACTGGTCTAGAGTTGATTGTAGTAATCCAAACTCTTTTATCGAACGTAGGAGAAATTGAATTGAATAGGCCCACAACTTGAATTTGCAGCTAAAGATTTGATTTGCACGAATCCGGAAACGCGTCGCATTCGTACTGCTCGAACATCTTTTCCATCTGGGCACACTGCTGCTGCATTCCACGTTTTCTTTTTCCTTTACATTTATTTACAAAGGTAATTTAAAAAGAGATTTTTAAAAAATTATGAATGTGCCAAGAAGCGTCATGGAGAATTATAAAAAAAAGTGTATTCTCAATTAATAATTCAATTTCTAATGTTCACTTAAATTGAATGAAGCTTTCTAGAATTTATCCGTATAATTCGACGCACCTTCCGTTTATGGTGTGTGATATTTTTCAGAATCGCTAAAACCGTCAATCTACCACATGTAACATTGGTTCGAAATGTGTTCATTCCCATTTATGGTATTTGGGCAGTTTTTACCGCAGTTACCAGAGTGACCGACTATTGGCACTTTCCCACCGACGTGCTTGGTAGCTTTACAAATTCAAACATTTTTTAAAACTTATGATTTCAGGTGGATTCATCCTAGCAATTGTTTTTGTAGCTCCCGCTTTTTTCAAATCTTGGACAAGTCGAGAAGAAATTTACAAAACAAGAGAACTTATTCTGCCAAATGACGATAAGAAATCAAATTGATACGTGTAATCTCCATTCCTCGTTTTTAACTTAAGTTTTTTATTCATAATTCTGAAAAATAAAGTTAATTCTTTTAAACCCTTTTTTGCTAATTAATTTTAATGCAGTTATCCCCCTTTCTTCGACAAACATATCTTGGATTAACATTTACAAGAAGCAGAAAGCGAGCTATAGATTGAATGCCATGGTATTTTCATCGTGTATGAAAACATTTTCGTTTAATAAGTGTTTAAAAACTGTATGTTATTCATGTCGACGTTCCCTCGTCAATACTGTTTAATATCGAGAATTTTCTATCTGTTTAAACCAAGTCACTCACGTGCTCACGAAATGCGCCAACGTTTTCGAATTGACGCAAAAAATGCGCACGCTGACACGATGTTTGTTTCATGCTGTTTCGCCTACAAATTTTCTAATTTTTCTGGCGTCTTCACTTCAAGCTATTGATTATTTTAATTTTTTCTTTCTAACAAAATTAGATGTCATCGAAACGCCGTCAATTTAGTTTTTTTCGCCACAAAAGACTATTTGTCTCTGATTTTAGGACGATTGCATAATTTCCTCCTATTTGTGTTTGTTTTCGTTTTACATAGTGTTTTTTAGGTATGCCACTTCCAAAATTTGAGTTGCTTAACATAACTGATAATGCTGAGGGATGGGGGCCACCACCGTCAACGACTTCGGACAACGAAGTGTTCCAACAGTTCAACAAAGGGGACCGTATTGGACGAGTGGCGGATTGGCTAGGAGTTGACCGCATGTATCGTCGGGGTAACGATCGCTATAATGAGCGTGTATACGGATCAGCTGCTACTGCGGGAAGCCAATTCGATTATGTTCACGGATTGGATGAAAAGAGCTTCCAAATGGTTACTTTTTTTGTCAGTTAAATAAAACATGTTTTTTTAAAGGTGGATAGCTCAAGACCAATTCAGCGTAATGCTCCACGCAACTTCCGTACGCGTCAAATACAATTACGAAAGCTAATGCAAAAAGAACTTGAAAAACGCGAGTTCGCAAGCCAGACCCAAAACTTGCGTATGAAGAGAAGTATTGCCAAAGAGCAACAAAAGGCTTTCAAAATGTGGCAACGACGTGGAGGAAATGCTCGACAAGGTCATCGTAATGGGCGCCTTGGAGGCGATCGTCCAAAAGTTTGCAAAATCTCATTTGTGATCGACGTTATTCTATGAATATTTTAGGAACGTCTTCCATCTGTACAAGTTCGCTCCGAATGGACTGTCTTAGAGGAAATGAATCTTTCCGCATTCTCGAAACTTGCTCTTCCTAGTGTCAACCCTGGAGAGGACATTGGTGACCATCAATATGGAATACTGCAATACTTTGATAAAGCAGTTGATCGCGCCACTGTGAAGAACGCAATTCCGCTACAGCGATGCGCTGGGGTCTACTATCATGAAACCACAACTGAGGATGCGGTTATCCAGGAGCTTGCACAAACTGGTGTTGGAAACGTATTTGGAACAGATATAATCTTGGCAACATTGATGACCGCTCCAAGGTCGGTTTACTCGTGGGACATTGTTGCCTACCGAGTTGGAGACAAGCTCTTCTTCGACAAGAGAAACACCAGAGATATTTTGAATCCTGTTGAGACTTTGACTGTGTCGGAGACCAGCACCGACCCACCACCATTCGATGGGGCTGGAATCAACAATGGAAAAGTATCTTCCAACAGATGTGAAGAATATGTAAAATAAAATATGAAAATTTCCAGGATCTCGCCACTGAAGCATTCTACATTAATCAGAATTTCCGCCGTCAAATTGTCAAGCGAAACGAAGAAGGCTACAAGATGGCTCACCCAGAGCCACCTTTCGATGATGAGGAGGCCGGAGATAATGGAACTGGTTACAGGTTAATGCACTATAAGATAGAATTTTAGCAAAATATTTTAGATGTTACATTTGATAAAACCTTAAGATATTCAGAAGCAATAAATAGATTTCGAAATTTAGTATAGATTGATGCGGAATTTTGTTCTAACAAAATCTATTTGATTGAATAGTGGTTTTGTTTTTCATCGTGCTTATTGTAAACAACACCACTGAAACTTCTAGAAATCATTCAAAAACATATGTTCACAACGAAAATTATAATTTTTGAACGCCAGTAAAAAATGTCGCAATAAAACATATTTATAACAAATAATTGTAGATATCGAAAATGGAATCTTGGAACTGGTGTTGATGGAAAGCCAGTCGAACTCGTTGTAAGAACGGAGCTTGATGCTGTCATGGTAACATCAGTAGATCAATTAAATATGTTTGAAAATTATTATTTTAGATGGGACCAAAAAACAATGTTCAGTTCATGACAATCAAAGCGTTCAATGAATGGGATAGTTCGCTTTCAGGAGGAGTTGACTGGAGGTACTGTTCAAATTATTCTACAACAGTGTACATCGTTATATTTAGAACCAAGCTAGATGTTCAAAAGGGAGCTGTGTTAGCTACTGAAATCAAAAACAACAGTGCTAAGGTGGCCAAGTGGACTCTGCAGGTATGAAACAAACAGATTTATATTTCATACATATAAATCGATTTCAGGCTTTGTTAGCTGGTGCGGACATTATGAAACTTGGCTATGTTTCGCGAGCCAACTTCCGTTCGACTCAAAATCACGTAATCTTGGGTTCACAATATGTCAAGCCGATGGAATTCGCTAACAACATTTCACTCAGTATGGATAATTGCTGGGGAATTCTTCGCTGTGTTATTGATAGGTATTTAATTTTTCAGTTTTTTTAAATTTCAATTATTATTTTTAAGCTGTATGAAACAAAAACCGGGCAAGTATTTGCTGATGAAAGATCCACAGGCTCCAATTATTCGTCTTTATGCGCTCCCTGATGGTACTTTCGAGAGTGAGCATGACGAATCTGAGGAGGAATCTTCTGACGAAGACCAGTAATCATGCTTAACTGTCTTTTCTTATTTGAATAGCTATCGTTTTTTTTTTCTTTTTATAATTAAAAAAATTGTTGGTTTTGTTGAAGTAAGTAATTCTATTTGCGTACAATATCAAAATAACTAGACAATTTTTGATTTTTTTTAATGCATAAAATGTTGTTTTAATTCCCCGCAGTGTATTTTATTAAATAACAACTCAGTATACTTATTTTCAGATTTCGAAATATTATTTATAGAAATATGATTTTTCCCAATCAAAAGTATTCATGAGAACCATGAATACGATGACTCAGAGAATTTCCCAATTAGTGTGGCTCATACGTGACATTGATTTTGTAAAACATATGAAAATTGATTTCATAAAGCAAAATGTCAAATACGGACGAATTTGAGGTGCCATGGATTTAACATTTGAATTTCCACTTTGGGTCTCGAAACTAAGACGTGAATTTTGCTTAACGTAACAATCACAATCTGGAAGAGCACATTTTCTACGTATATTTTATGTATTTTGGTTATTAACAAAATTCGCACGTCACTCTGAGTGACTTTTTTGTAGCACCCATCATTTTAAGTGGTTTACCGCGCATTTCATATTGTCAAATTCATCTGTGCACGATTACATCAATATTACTTTCTATCAAACATATTCTGAGGGAGAGGAGTGAGGGGTGCAAGCAAGCCTTAATTGGAAGCTCTAATGCGTCCTTTTTGTCAAGCTTAATTATCCTCAACTATTCTCTCACAAATCTTGTTGATTTTAAACACGCAATATATTTTTAATTTGTAATCCCCTCTTTTGTAAATAATTTCTTGACTAATATAGCAGCCGTTAGCTGTTCGAAAAAGTAACAAAGCCCTATGTTAGCCTTCAAGTATCCGATTTGGCAAAGAAATGTCACAAATGTCAATTTGGGAAGCATTAGAGTTGCGCGCAGATTTTGGAGCCTGGCCGAGATGAGCGCTAAAGATACACCACGGATTCTACTATTTCTTCACTCAGTGTTCTTATCTATGACCTCTCAAATCAAATAAACAAGTAAAAAACGATCATCTCAGTTTTCGTATAACCAGGTGTTCAATTAGTTTCTTGCTGCTTTCGCCTTCATTTCTTCTTCTCTATTCCGTTTTTCTCAACGTTATTTTTTCTAGTCAATTAGTATGCTCTTCTATTCAATCTGTCAATGTGTCACTTGCACTTTGAAAATGCATCGTACTAGTTACATGTCTATATTGCGAGTGTTTTTTCTGCGTTTTCGCAAGATAAAAAAAGGGAACAAAAGTTGCTCGGCGAGCAATGGGCGGCGCCAATTTTGACGAAGCGGGGATCGTCTCGAGTCCGTGATGCATACATACATGTCGCGCAAGGAGGAAATGAGAACAAAATGCCTTGTTACCCGTTGACATGACCGCTTTTCGACTTAAGAGAAAGACTACCAATTGCTCCGTCATTTTACTTTTCGATTTTGGGTTTAATGTTGCAACCTGAAACTTTCAATTTCCGCCCATTTTGTTTGCATAAACTCAGTTTGCGTTTGCTGTGCAGCTAAATTTTCAATCTTGTATATAATCTAGCTATTCATTGCTTTATCTTGTCACATGAGGCTTAATTTTCTTGCAATGAGTCATGATAAAAAATTTGTATTGCACATTTTTACTAATTGATGCATCATTGGATCAATGGCTCATAAACGAATAATTGATACATTTTTCATTGTAGGCAAACTAAGCATTTCCGTGCCATAATTTCATTCAGTCAGTAATGTTCATAGAGTTGCAAAATCTTTTCTCAAGCTTAATGGAAATTGAAACCTTATCCGCTGTTTGGCTAAGAGGGCGTTCTACCACTAAGTTATATCCCAATATTTCCATACGAGATTTTCAATGTACTCTTCACGTAAGTCCCGTCATTGGTTTGTAATGTGAATTTCTAAAGTGCTAACAAAATAAATAAGATTATGGATGTTTTTTATATGTTTAATTTTGTAATGTAGAAGTCAAAGATATAACGATTGTTTTTTTTTCAATTCTACTGTAATTTTTTGCAAAAAAAAACCGAATAAAAGTGGTAGAATAAAAATCGCCATTTATTCAGTTTAGATAATAGCAACATTACTAAAATATTATTGGAGGTATGGGGAATTGAACCCCAGCCCTCTCCCATGCTAAGGGAGCGCTCTACCACTGAGCTATACCCCCAGTTATGAGATGGAAACATCCAAGCTTACATATTTTGCATTCAGCAACACGCGTGTGAGTGAGAATTCATTGCGCATATGATTCCAGTTTTTTTTTTCACATGAACCAACAATATTTTCTCACCTTCTTTCTAGGATTGATATTAAAAAAATAAAGTAGTGCGCTAACCCCATTTTGGGTATTGTCTATTATGCAATAAAAAAATTTGGCCTCGACAATCTCTTTTATTTTCGGTTTTTTTTTTTCTCACATTGAATCACCCGTGGGTGTCGGCAATATTGGCCCACTGGGAATTTACCCATTTGTGAGGAAAAAGACGGGCAAATACACACAAGCACGCACGGAACTCCACCCACTTGGTCGTCGTCCAAAATGCATGGGCACATTTCTTCGAATTTTCAAGATTCCTCTATTATTTATGAACCTTGAATATAATAAAATGTCGATTTATTTTCACTTCGCGTTTTCTGTTAACCGAATTAGTTATCGCCTCGTTAAACATTTCGACAGTACGCCTTCTTTTCGTTTTTAATACTAAAATCAAAATTCTTGCGCATCCATAGATTAATATTTGAAATCTTTTTTAAGGCTTTCCAGATAAATAGCTTTTTTGGATCTTTGTTTATTTGTGATTAAAATACTCAATGATAGTAATTGTATTAGCTACCAAAATTTTAGCGTATGACAATAAAGAGATATGCATAAATGTGGTTATATAGCTCGCCACCAGTGCCGATTTACTTATTTTCTTTACTAGTCTGTGTTAAAAATGGAAATATATTTGCCCATCCGTCAAATAAATGTTATATTTCAATGAGAGACTGTTTAAAGAAACATGTTTTGTTGTTAAAATCATTTGCGCAAATACTCGATTTCCTGGATGATTATCTTCAATTCGATCATTATTTTTTCGAAAACTATTTGCGCTTCATATCAAACACACACCAGTTTTTTCGTCCGCCAAATACGTGCTGTTTAATCCATTTTTGTTGCGTTTCCGTCATCTTTTTGCGCCATCTTTTTTTTTTCGCTGATTAGCTTCTTCCATTGTTAATATCCTAGCCCGAATGTGTCCAGAATGCAACAAATAGTGGAAGGAGAAAAGGCCAATTATATTTTATTATCTCCGTTTATTATTATTAATAGTATGATTACTATTGTTGCGCACGCCATTTCCCCTATTAGTTGCGGGGTTTCTTATGGCAGTTTTGCAGACGACATGCGCATTATATTGCTCACTTTACTTCTTTCAATTGTTCTCCCGACAAGGGCGATTCGATGCCATTCCTGCCTCACCTATTGTAAAATGATTAATGGACGGGTGAGTTCGCGATTTTTTCGTCTGCTTTTCCGATTGGGTAAGAGTTTACAACACGCAGCACTGAATTATTTAAAATTTGAAATTCTGTATGCAAAATATTTCGTAATATCAATTTAATATTGAGCATGATTTTGGATTCATTCAAATAAACAAGCAAAAACTACAAGAAATTAGAACATAAACAATTAAAATCTAAATTTATAATAAACCATAAAAATATAATTTTTCAGAAGAAAAAATTTGCAATTTTAAAATTTCATTTCTAATATTGGTTGGGTATAATTCTTTTTAGGTTGACCCCAATGCTTGCGATTGTAAATCACCCGAAAATGAGCAGTGTGAAGCGAACGCTTGCTTTGCAAAAGTCGAGCTTTTCCCCGAAGAGACGACCGCAATTGTGCAGGTTTGTGCACCCGCCGCATCTCGCGGTGCATACTTTTTTTCTGAATGTTTGACTTAAGAAAGGTTGTGTATCGGATATCCCAGCTGGACAAAGAGGATGTCAATATGCGAGCAATACTGACACCATTCACTGTTTTTGCGATCAAGATCAATGCAACACTAGACACAAGGTTTTAGAGAGCCAATCTTTTGTTTTCGAAAACGGGGGTCTCCGTTTTAGATGAGCCATTTTATACCGTCAAGATTACCATCCGTCGACTGTTGTTTGTGCTCGGCGAGTCATGGGGACACCTGCGAAAAAACATGCACTAGCAAATGTCGGGGAAATTACTGTGTAGTTGATTTCGATGGTGGAGAGCAAGGTTGCGGCGTTGGAATTCCTCGACTTCCATCCTTCCTCAGAACAGACGACTACCTAGCATACCATGGGGAATATATATGTGCTAAGTATTATTGAACATATTGTCCTTGAAAACACCCTTGATATAGATATGAATCGAGCCCATCTCATGTTATGAACGGTTGCGTTTGCACAGATCCTTCCGGAATTTGCAATGAGATGAATAAAACAAGAGAATTTCAAGTAATTTTTTTTTGCAATTGTGAACTAAAAAATAATCTCTTCCTACTGAGCTCATATGTTCGAGAAAACGCCATTAAAATGGAAGTTTTGTTTAGAAAAAGCAAGTGGTCCAGCGACGCCCGGAAAACCAGCACTATTGCTATGCACTCATGCACAAAGCCTACAAACCATTCGGGCAAGAGGTGTTTAAAAAGTAAGCGTATTGAGAAAAAAAAATGCAAAATGAGTCAAAAGGATCATTTTTTGTGAAAAAAAAATTAAATATTTGTTGATGTTTTTTTTAAAGATCGTCTACATGCGAGGGCCATTTTTGTTTTATCTCTTTGACAACTTCTGAGATTGTATTAGAAAGCGCTGACTTCAAACACAACTATGAAGATCACGATGAGTTTATTGGAATAGCCCGGCCAAGATATGAAATGCAGGCTGGGTGCATTAAAGTTGATGACGACCAAGTAACTTTTTCAATAAAATTATGAAAATTTTAAGGTCATATTTAGAAAGTTACCGTTGGATGTACTGTGGAAACGCAAGGTAATACCTCGGAGATTCTAGCAAAGCATTGTATCTGCGATAGCCATCTGTGCAATTTTTATCATCTAACCAGCGGTACTGCTGACCCAAGACCAAAAGCTAAAGGAGCCGAAACTGTATCTAGCCAGTCTAACAAACCATCAACTATACGTCTATTCACCGGTAGCAAAGATGAGAGCAAAATCAATGAAGCTGTTCAACAATTTATTCTTCCGATTTTTACTGTTGCCATATTTATCACGTTTTAACATGTTTTCGGTATTATATCAAATATCAAGCCGGTTACTTATCCCATAGATTTCCAAAGAAAACATTACGTGTTCCACGCTGTAAATCCCCCTATAATAAATATATTTTGCATTTTTTCATGGTTTCATTAAATATTCTTTATTAAATTTTAATAAATATCTATAACAAATTTCAGAAGGAATGTAACACAAACGTTAATAATAATTGTTGATTCTTAATTCACAAGACTATAAATTACGTTACCTGTGAGTTTTAGGCTATTTGATAAAAAAAAATAAATAATTCAACTGATATCGATTGAGCAATTCGTAAATTGAACAAAAATGAATAGACTAGAGAAGTTTCAATTTCACTTATTTTAGATTTCATCAGATGGGAAAGACAAAAATTGCTTATATGCCAATAATCAAGTAAACGCGTAAGTTCGAGCAACTGCTTCAATTTTACGAGCACTTTGTCTCTGTAACAATTAAACAATATTGAAGCGTACAAGTTGAATAATGAGATCAACGGGTTAAATTACACATCAGCAAACATGAGTCAAAGAATATGAACACTGCGAACATATTAGATTCAACCGGCAACGGTTAGGAGCATCTTCACATATTGATTACATTACCGCGTGTGGATTGCTGGATCTGGCAGCTTTTCGGTATTCGGCAACTAGAGCGTTGAATTTTTTCTCTAGCATCTAAAATAATGGAGCTTATTCATTTTCGATTTCTCGTTAACTAGATTTATAAAAGTTGAAAATTAAAATTTTTGGATTTAATACATATTCAAAAAATATACCTGTCTACTTTGCACATCCTGCGATCCGATTTGCAACGAGTAGGCGAAGGCTTGGGCATCAAATGTGTCATCCAGAGCAATCAATGCTCCATGTATTCCACTATCAATCAGATTTCTAGCAAATGATCCAAGACCAATTTCTTCAACCCATCGTTGTACTCTTTCATTTGACCAGACAAGAACATCTAAAAAATTTACTGAAATTGAGGATAAAATATTCGAAAACCTTTGTTTATATTCTCGCAAGCTTTCCTTCGATCTGCTAAAACCTTCTTATCATAATTAACTTTCTTGAGGCACATTATTCCATATTGAAGACTAGCTCTATGGAATGTGTCGACCATTCTCAGATGATTTCTCAGATCACGCTTTGAAAGATGTTCCAGCATCCGAGCGTCTAATAGACATTCCATAAAAGCAGATCTAAACGGAAACTGAATATCATAAAACGTTGATTCCTAACCTATACTGAGCCAAACCAAGGCTTGGAAGCCATTCATTTCCAATATATTCATGATTCATATCCCCAAATGCTAAAGTTAACCGAGCAGTTCTAGGTGCAGATGGAGAAGTGAGTGCTACCATTTCCTTAAATTTGCTTAAATTATAATACAGAAATGTTTTAATAGCCTTACTTGTATGGCAAGTCTCAATTTCAATCTATGCAATGGATTAGAAATGCCAATCTCCTTTTGAATTTCTTGATCACTCAAAGCCGACATAATTGCTCCTGATTTGACATTTGCCCTGCATGCTGCGACGTACCATGCCGGCATTCCAACCCAAAGTTCAAGCCAAGCAACTACCGTCGGACCATTCCAAAGAGCAAACGGAGTGCGAGCTTTCATCGCCTCTTCAAGTAGTTCGTGTTTCTTTCTCTTTCTTCTATCATAATCCCCTTTCTGCCCTTCGTTTCCAGAAAGTTCTCCATCTGAATACACGCCATCTCCATTTCTTCTGCAAGACAATGTTTAAAATTTTAGCATTTCAGAATTCATACTTGTACAAGTCACTAGCCGAATTTTTCTTCTTGTTGAAAAACCGTCCAAGTGTTTTCAATCCACTCGAACTATTAGATCTCTTTTTCTTCCCGGTGATTCCGTCAGTTGATGAAGCAATAGATGACGCTGGGGACATACGATCCCCTTCATAAACTGCTTCATCGTATCTATGATTCATTCTTCTTGGAGTATATTCCAAATCGCGGACCATAGAGTCATCGGCGTACTAAAAATTAAATTGAGATATTGGAAATGTAAGAAAACTACTTGATGGTTGCCATAAATGTCATATCTTCTATCACCCGACGATGGATTTGCTGGGAGCTAAAATAATGAAATGGAAATTTTAAAAAGTAAGAAATGCGTATTATTATAATTTTATATGGTATAGTAATTGTAATAAAATATTTGCAAACACTAATAATAAAAAGACATACCGTATTATATTTGTGATTCATCATATTCAACTGCGGACTTCCGCGCGGTGAGCTTCTCGTAGAGTTTCCTTGGTCATCATAATACTCACGACCACTTCTCTCTAATCGCTCAGCAACACGTTCTGCGTGATGTTTCTCCTGCTGAATAAGTCGAATTTCCGTATTAATAGCATCTAAACGATCTTGAAGCATTGATGCAAGCATATGAGGATCTTGAGCTCCAGGTTGTAATACACCCATATGCCCTTGCATGTCTTCAGGTGCGCCTTGTGGTGTTGACACATTTCCTCGAGACATGGTGTTTCCAACTTCAGCCATCGACGGAGATGAGGAAAATGCTTGCTGCACATTTGCTAGAACATGAGCTTGTTGCAATCGATCCCATTCTTGTTCATTCAAAGTCTGCACTTTATTAGGATCCTCCTGAATATCATAACTGTTTTTTGATTAAGCGAATAGTTTTAAATCACCTGAAGTGCAGATATTCGCCCCTTATTTGGTCTTCGCATTCCAATTGTGGCATATGCCGGCGCCGATTGCTCGTAAACCTGGTGATTTGTAGCAGGTGGCTGAGACAAGGGGGGATTTTGAACGCCGTTCATTATTGGCTGAGTGTAAGGAATAGCGTGCATTCTAAAAAAAAGCAAAAAAATAATTGTCAGCTGCAAACAACAAGCCTTGATTGGAATTGGGCGGTTCGTGTGTTGTACAGCTGCTGGCGAAGCGATTCAATTTCTTGACGAAGAGTGTCATTATCTCGTTGAAGACGATCTTTGATGCGTTCAGCCTGAATTTAAATACTTGGAAGTGTTAATCATGTTATGTATATCTTACTTGGTCATAAATTTTTTTTGTGCTTTCCAATTGTTGAGTCAACCGATTTTTGTCATCCAAAGCTTGCATGCGCTCTTTCAAATGTAATTGCAGACGATCGTTCGATTCAGATAAGAGCTAAAATTTATTTGTGAGACCTTCTTAGGTTATCCAAAGTATCCAAAATCCCACTGTTTAAAGTCGAATTTGAATTACCGCCACAGCAAAAGTGCGATGGGTCACAATTATGCGAGGCACTCATTTTTTTGCAATGGAAATAATAAAAATCACGTTTTACAAAAGGAATAATTTTTCATATGTTTTCAAATGTTTTAAAGATATTGTCCAGTTTGAATGTGTAAAGTTGGATACCTTATCAACTGTACTGCTTAATCGCTGGCTATGCTCTTCATTCATTTTTTCCCGTTGAACAGCCCGCTCTAATTCAGCTGACATTTCCTGCAGTTGTCTTTCCAGACGCTGTACCCGTTCTTCCGCGGATATTTGCTTTTGCTCAGCAGCTGTTAATGCTTCCATGCGTTGCTGTAATTCAGCTTCAACCGAAGGTAGGGATTCGGCCTTTTTCAAGCTTTGAGCTAACTGCTTTTCAGCTAATTCAAGTCGTTCTTGTAATGAATGGACTTTCTCTTCGTTTAGACGAACAGCAGCATCCTTATTGGCTAGCTGAACAATTCATTGAAGCAAAGTATAATACCAAACTTATTGCAAACCTGGTGTTCTAATTTATCATTGAGGTCGCGTATACACGTCGTTTCGCGTTGAGCAGATAGATACCTGCTTTCTAATGTATTAATTCTGGCATCCTGTTCGTTTCTTTGAGCATCCAATTCACAAATTTGATTTTTGAGCCTTGTAATGGTTTCCTGGGCAGCGTGCATTTCTCTTTGGCATTCTGTGACCTGACCTTCTAATTCAGAATTTCTAAAAGGTGAAAAAAGATTTTTCATTTAGTTAGTGTTAGAATAAAGAGTACCTGGCTGATAATTCTGCAGACTGTTTCATAGTATTTGAGAGTTCAGTTTTGAGTCGCTCCAATGCTTCTTGCATTTCAATCAATCTTGCTGCACTTTCGCTACTAACCGAACCATTCGTCCTAGCATTTGTTGCCTAAAATCTGTGATTCAATAATTTATTTATGCCATGTCCATACCATTGCTTCTTCAGCTTCCGCTGTGAAGGATGCTATTCTGGCCTTAAGCGTCGAATTCTCTTCACCCTTTGAGTTTAACTCTTCTTCCAATGTGGCTACCCGCTCCATTGCTACGCGTAATCGTTCACGAACCTGAATATGAATTGTTTCATCAATTTTAAAGAAGCAAAACTATGTTACCTTTTCATCGAGCGCTTTATGATGCTCGAATAAACTTTTAAGAGCTTTCAAAACTTCAACTTCAGAAGAGACACCAGCGGGACTTTGAGCTTGCCGTTTCATCACTGTTACCCGTAGCGACCTTTCGTGTCGCGAGACCAAACATTCCAGATGTTCTAGTAGCAACCGTGTATTGTTTCTTTCTGCTTTCAGCTCTACAATTTCTTCATCCTTTTCGAGTAGCTGCTCTTTCACTTGACACAACTCCCGCGTCATTGTTTGAAGTTCCTGGGAAGTTAAAAGTTTATTATTAATTATATTTACATATGCACTTTATTATTAATTATATTTTCATATACCTTTTATTATTAATCACATTTACATATACTATTATTTTTTTTAATTACATAAATTATAAATGGTTCTTAACTGACTTGCCAGCTTTTAGAACATTTGATTATTAATTTATATGTATTGGAAAAAAAATCAAATTATCAGTTTATTTAAACCAATTTTAAGAACAGCACATGCGAATATGATTAACGAAATAAAAAATGTACCAGAAACCTACTTCACTTGTCATATCTACTAGAGAATAATTTCTGAACAAATCATTCTCTCAACGTTGAATTAGGATAACATCAAAAACTTCAGAAGAAACTGTGGAAAATAATTTGTGGGTGTGCCGATGTGTGTGTGTGTTTGGCAATTACCTACTCACTAAAGCCCACCAGAAAAAAAAGTGAAGAAGGCGAGGAAGAGGGAAGAAATTTCAAGGGAAACAAGCGAGGAGAAGAAGAAAAGAAGAAGATGGCTAAAAACGGCGGCTCGTTTCGTTTTTTTTTCTTCTGAAGATTCTTCGGTTTTGTTTCAAATCTAGAGTCAAGATAAGTTTTTGAAATATCTTCCCACTTCCTCCTCCTTTAAATTCCATTCTTCTTCGCTTAAGAAATGCCATAGAATAGATGATGGAGGTTCACATAGAATGCATTATGGTATTGGATTACATGATGAGACATTATGTAGGTTGCTATGTATATATACAAATAAATTAATGATGAAACGTTGTTATATGTATATTTTTGACAACATAAGCGTTTGATATGTAAACGAATTTTCATGTTCAGGGAGTCGTTTGATAGTTCGATTTGTAGGTAAAAAACTAAATATTTTGCTTTCAACAAAACGGCTTCCAAATCAAAACAGATGTCAATCAAAATATGTTCAACGATATGACCACAACAACACTCGTCAATCTGTTTTAGTATTATAGGATTTGTCGAAAATCGGTCACGATATCTATTCAAATGATAATCTATAGACTCTGCGGGTATTTCAACCAATCGTTCCACACAATTTTTATTGATGCCATAATTCTAACCCATATTAGTAAAATAAGTGACACTGATTGAGTATGACAGTTTTCAAAACTTTATTATAGAGTTAGAATTTATAACAAATAATTCATATTCTAGTGCCTACATACGCAAAAGTCAGCAATTCTTATTCTTCTCACCGGTTGTTTTAATCTAGGATAATTTATGATATCTGCTAATTTTTCTTTCTTTTCTTTTTTTCTTTATTAACTTACCGCATAATTCATTATTAAAATTTCACCGTTCATAATATTACAGCGCATATGAGAAGAACTTTTCAATTTTTAAAAAACATATTCTATTTTGTATACTATTATAATAGTGTGCTAAAAAAAATAGAAAAAAAATTAATGGAACGAACCGATGGAAGGTGTTGAGTTTGCATGTCAAATTGCCTTTTTAGCATGTCGCGCTCCTTTTCAACCTCCTTTGTGCGCATTGCCGCCTCTTCAATTTGTTGTTTGTACTGTTCGAGCTGCTCTTGGAGCTTATCGCGGTCTTCCAGCATATTCATCATAAGCTGAAAACGACAAAACAAAATCAATGATCGTTGTTTTGAGCGTTGCGCGCACCGGAACACAATTTCCGAGTCAAACGTTTTTTTTTTCTTTTTTCTGGTTGTGGTGAAGAATAAAAGATATTCGCTCTCTCAGTTTTTTTGCGCTATAGTCATGATTCGTGATGGGGTTTTGGCAGAATAATGAGGTCCGTTTTCTATGCAAAAGATAATAACCGGTTACATATGGTTCCCCAAAGAGAAACGTCGTGCAGCATATATTTCGACGTTTAAAAAATATTGTTCAAACACGTTTAGATAAAAATCGCACGTAGAAAATCTGCTTAAGTTTCCATTTGTACATTTTTTACTTTTCTCACTCCTAAAAGCTTCGGCATGAGTCGAATCATATTGGAATATATATTTCAGAATGAAAAATGCCCGAAAGGGCACACCATTTTTCATCAAAAATTCCACGAGAAATTCAAAAAATGAGTCCTCTTCTCACAGTCATTTTTTAACAAGAATAATTGCCAAACCTGCTCTATGTTGGCATCATGCGTCGCTTGTTCATCCATAGGACCGTTATGATCAACACCATCCTCGGTGATTGTCGGCATTACGTCGCACATCATGGTGCCGTCACTCCAACTCATTGTGACAATTTATCTACAAATGCAAATGTTGAAACCATTGGAATTTTCACCGCCCGGAATTGGTTTTTTTCCGAAACTTGAGACCAAAACGAAAAGCAAGGCAAAAGAGTGTGAATCGACAATAAAATTTGTCATCATCAACGTACGTGATTCACATGTTTTTCCTATTTTGGGGCCTTGCAAAAATGGAAGCGCCGCTGTACAATTACGTAAAGCACTATGCATGCATACAAACCTTGAATATGGGCCAGAATAATAAATTGAATGCTTACGAATTGTTGTGGTTTTTCTTCTTCCTTTCCAGTTGACTCAATTCACGTCGGTCATTACACCAATCAATTCTGACGTGGAATCCTATAAATTTTATGATGAGAACAAGAGAATCGAAACGAAGCCGGCAACAGAGATAATTTGTCAATCAGTGAGAACAAGAATATTCAATATAGCAAGTAAAAACACAAAAGAAAAGAAGTCATTCATTTTTCGTAGTGTTTTTTTCGTCACGTTGAAAGAAATGTTGTATAAGAAAAACTGATATCTCAAATTTAATGGGATTTCGACTTGTACATTAATCATTTAATTCTATGTAGTAATTAATCTTATTTAAAACATGTGGTAAAAATTAGATCACCGAGTAGATTTGTTGCGAAAACAAGTATGCAGAAATTTGCGGAGGTTTAAGTCAATGAAAATAGAATTATGGCGAGACATTAGGAAATTGTGATTTATCATTTTAGGTTGACTAGAATTATGGTTCATGTTTAAAATAAATGAAAAACTAAAACCTGAAAAGATCCATATATTTCGAACATTTTACTTATTTATTTTTAAAAGTTATTTCAAGTGACAACACGTTCCGACTAACCAACAACTGTGTAATACAACCTAACATCTCTGAGGTCAACTCAAAAATTGAGTTACAACAAAATTGCAGACAGCAAAAAACTGGAATCTTGGCGATATTAAAATTGAGGAAGTCCTTTTCTTAAACTTTGAATGACTTTTCAAGCTCTTTTTCAGATTTTCATTCCTCGTTTGTTTAGCATTGTAACGAGTAACGATAAGAATAGGAAAAAAAACAATTGAAATGCGGAGATAACCGCTGTTCAACGAAATTCTTTCACATTTTCGGCACCAAAAAAAGAGATTTAACCAGAGACAAAACGCAGACAACGTTTTTCGTCAGTCGTGGTCAGTTGGAAGATATGTGGACACGTTGGGGGAAGAGTTTTGCTCCTCGAAACGAAAGAAGCGAGGGGAAAAGGATCTGAAGCGGAATCGATGGAAGCGAGGGGTATTAGATGGAAGGCAACAGCAGAACGAAAACGGTGGGGGGGGGCTCTCTTTAGTGGGGTGCAAAACGGACGGACGGGAGGAAAAACGAGAGCAAGAAGGCGAGGGACGATGATGATGCTTCCTCTGCTGCTCAGAGAGCGCGTTAGCAGCGTGGGGGTCATTGTAGGGGTAAGTGTGAGGGTGCGCAGAGCACAACACTCTAGTACACAATTGCACTCTCGCACAGCAAGTCAGGGATCCCGAGGTAACCGACAACTGATTTCAACAACGCTGACATATTACATTTTGAAATAAATGAATGCGTTCGGTGTGCGCGCGATGTCCTCCCTGCCTGCCACATTATCATTTTAGATGACCTTGGTAATCGTGCGATGAATATTAATGATTTTTGGAATTGAATTAATATGCTAATTTTTATCGCCCTGTTCGCAATTTTTGTGCAAAAAACACGAATTTTCGAGAAACGGTGCTTCGTTGCACCGTTTCTCTACTTAGGAAAACCAAATAGAAAAAAAGGAATAAAGGAGAAAAGATACACAATGTAGGTAAACTGATCAGATTGTATGTATTTAAACGTTGAAACTTTGATTTTAGTTGTGTCATGGTGAGATTTATTAAGTAAAATGGACAATTTTCTAAAAACTTTATTATGAAACTGCTACTTTTTTGAAAATAAATAACACTTAATTATTGTTTAATTATATCACGGTTTTTTTAAGGTAACAGAATGTCAAACATTTTAATTCTATTTTTATTGAACACATAAACAAAACTATTGATTACTGAAGTGATTCAAAATTACTCGTAATTTGAGAAAGAACTATTGATGTTTATCTAACGAATCAACAAGTAGATTTCATACCGAGTTTATGAAAAAACTTTTAAAAAAAAATCTCGAATACTTCAGTGTTGGAAATTTAAATTTTTCGGAATTAAAATGTAACAGAAGGCAGACAGAAAACGCAAGACGTAAGAATAATAATCTAATTACCTTGTAGATTAAACGGGGTTTTGACGCGGAAACCGTTAAAACGAGGGCGTGCAAGCGGAACAACGTACTGCGATATTTGAATGTACAACGCCATTTGAGGCGACCTTGTGCTAAAAAAAATTAGCAGAAAAGGATGGATTGAGAGTGAAAATTGATGGAAACACTTATGTGAGACCCGCAAAATTTAGAGTTGGAAAGGATAAAACCAAGGATTTTCCATTCAAAAACCACAGAAGACCGAAATAGTTTGACCAAAAGTTTCGAGGGCTAAAGATTTAAGTCATCGAAAAAGCGCAAGACAAATTGTGAAATATTTGTTTGCTTTGTCTTTGGAAATGCGGAGAAAAAGAGAAACAAAGTGATTTGTAAATGCATTTGATGGACGCGCAACATTTTTTTTTCGGCGTTTCTTTGGTTAATATTTTGGTATTCTCACAGAGAAAATTGTTATTTAGCGTATTCTACGACAGCAGTCAATCGGAAGGAGAAATAATTCAGGAGAAAAAAATAAAAGCAGGAACAAGATGACGACGAAGATTGGTTTTCTTTTGAAAAGCCGTCCAAATATTAGAAGGGTGAAAATAATATATTTTATTGCAAGATTTAAATTATATATTTTAGCATAAACATGATATTGTTGAATAATCTGAAGTAGAAATATGGTTTGTACTATCAATTATAAAAGATAATGTACAGCATAATTCCAGACGCCAGAGATTTCTCACTACTTATAATAGTTAATACTTTTATTTTTATCGAATCAAACTCTGAAACCAAAAAAGAATATTGAACCGATGAATTATTTAATCCAGTACTTATTCGGAGATTATTAAAATAAATCAAAAACTGCTGCAATATAGTTGAATCCTTATTAGACAACTATTGACAATGGTCATAAAGATTCAATTACTATGCTTTGAGATAGGTATTTACCTTTGATACTAATGAACTTTGCCGCAGATAGAAAGTTCAAGGATTTGTTTGACCTTCTAAACTTCGCAAGATTTACAATTTAATTTCAAATTGAGAAGAATAACAATTTGTTTGAGATTACGATTTTTGATATATATATATATATATATATATATATATATATATATATATATATATATGTCTCATTTTTGGTATCGTTATAGTTTTAAGTATTAAAAAGTCTGGAATGTGTGCAATATTGCAAACTTTTCTCTTTGCTTTGGCATATATCAATTTATTAAATTTAGATTCGTGGTTATAATTGAAAAATACTTGCTAAAAAAAGTAGAATGAAGATTTGAATAAACTTGTTTCGAAAATTGAGGACCTGAAATATTTCAACAATTATTTTATTTTCTGTCTCTTTCATTGAACATCTATTAAAAGTATCTGTGAAGGTTCCCCCATAATTTCCGGTCGGCTGCCAATTGACCATTGCGCGAAGAAAGACTAGAACAAAAAAGCGGCGGCAGACTTTGTCAAAACTTTGAAGCGATTGACTCGTCCGTTCGTTCCGCATGGTTTGTTACATGATCCCGTGTTGGAAAACGAGAAGCAGTGCCCCCAGCCAACGCGCCGGACATATGCGTCACCGTCCAGATCTACCGCAACTCTCCGCCCTACTAGATGGCCTAGACCTCGCCTCACACCCCATTCAGTTTCTCATTTTAGCCGCCGGCGGATTGCTGTTGTTCATCTGGTTGTTGTGCGGTGTTTGCTAATTTTCAAGCTGTTTCTATTTTTAACACTACGCTGACCGCATTTTTTGAAGACTATTATTCAGGATAGTTTCATGAAGATCCAACACTTTATTGCATCAGGTAAATTTTTCAAAGAACAGTTTTCAAATTTTAGTTAAAAGGTTGAACATGTCACATTAGAAAACGAGAACCAAGCTCTTTCCAATTTTCAACAGCATTAAAATTATTACATCCCAAATGTCTCTGAAAAATACTAAAGCGCTTCACGTAATTGGGAAAGCATTTAATTTATAGAATCTTAAAGAAAAAACTATGAAAACACGTTATTTGAAGTCGAGTTTAAATTTCTATCGTAAGTAACCTCCCTCTTTTTTTTTTTTTAAATTTTTCTAACTTATCAGTCCGATAATCATACTTTTCGTGTTTCATTTAAGTTACAAATGTTGAAAGTGAATGAAGCATAATCCTAATCCGTGCTAGATGGAAGTCGCTAATCCGAAAGGTCTCATAGAATATTGGGGCCAAATGTTGGTGAAACGCTACAATTAGGTTGCGAACCACTACAATCGCAACTGACACTGGATATTTGTCAATGTCCTTGATCCGAATTCATAATGCGCAGCACAATGAATAAATTAATTCTTGTCGTGTTTACAGTTTTTCTGGTAATTGAAGTTTCAAATGCTAACGAGCAGCAGCAGCAACTTAGGCCAGCTGCTATTATACCATGGTCCCAGTACCAACAAAGACTTAGCAAAGCTAAGCAACAGATGGCGAAGTACAATGAACAAGAGGTGGCTTTGGATCAACGAGTAAATTTGACATACGCATCGTTTCCAGGGTGACACGCCGAGCTTTCCCAACCCTTCTCTAATGAGCATCGACAACAATTTTCACGAAAACTCTTATTTTGGCAGTTATGAAAAACCCAATTTGTTGCCGGAACATCTGGCTCCTGCTCCATCAAACGAGGCCAGGTTTTTGAGCATTATCCCATAAATCATATTCGTTTTCTATTTTTTCTTCAGCAGCAGAACGACAAAGTTGCGCAACGTCATTCGGCCTCAAGTCAGGGGTCGGCTTCCAGCTGAGCCTTCAGACTTCGCAAAATACATGAAAAAGCCAGAGAAAGAGTATTTGGGATCGAAATTGAGGGCAAGGACTATGGAACAAACACTTATTCCAGCAGAACCGAATTCATTATCAAAAACAAAAGCAACGGATTACAGATTGCAAAATAAGATTTCCGTAACGTTTTTAATAGTTTAAAACAATCGACATATGTTGCAGACTATTGCTATTCCAAACGGTGTTCCTATGAATGCGGCACATTGGGAAAATGGGCAGCCAAATTATCGGAGACCTGCAGCGCATGCTGCAAACACGTTTACCAACACTCAAAATTTTCAAAATGTACATAAAGAAAAAAAATATGAACTGTAAAGAAATTTACAGCTTGTTGGAAGTGAAGCCACGGCTCCAATATATGAGAAAGCTAATTCAAACATAGTGTCCTCAATATTTTCACAAAGTCAAGCTGGAAGTAGATTAATACCGACAATGACTCAAGTAAGAATAAGTTAATATAATAGTAATATTGAAAAAAAGCGAAATATAGAAAGAGTTGATATGTTTCTCACGGAAAAATAAAATTTCAAGATTCCCGCATGATGAATATTCGATATGGGAATAAAAATATTTAATTTATTCTTCAAATATGCACTTTTTTATTTTCACAACTATTATGCGTACTTGTCTTTTTGCTATCCAATAGTTCATAAACGATTGCCCGATGGGCGTAGAAAAGTGACCGTTTCAATTTCTACGACTTTCGCTGGCATAACTAGTTTCCACATCATCCAAGTTCGTTTATTATTTCAGCCATCGCAAGGGCAGGCCTATTTTGAAAAAATGTTGGCCGATGGCGCTTCTTTTGAGCAAATATCGAAATTGGCAAAAAATCTACTTGGCGTCGGCGGAAATGGAGAAGTATACCGCGTTTGAAAAAAATACAAGCATATAATTTCTGTGTTCAGGGAGGGCAGAGTGGAAGTGGTGGGCTAATTGAGGCAATGACGTCGGCACTTCGCGGTGCCGCTAGAAATCCACCAACGAGCTCTGCGGTCCATGACGGAAACGCTGAGTATACCTCCGCAGCCGCTTCAAGACCACAGCCTTCAGTTTTGGAGAAGTTATTGAGTCATGGTAAACATAGATTATCCAATTTGAAAAACATAAAAATAATTTAGCCGCTGTTGCTCTTAATGATTCCTTGAAGCAAAAACAAAAGGAGGAGGCTGATAAAGCGTTAATGATGAAAAAAGTGGAAGAAGCTAAAGCTGCTGAAACGCAACCTCCTCAGCGGCCAACAAAACTTTCAAAGGATAAAGAAAATTCATTAAAAGTTTAAAAACACCAGTTATCTGTTTATCAAAAATTTTAGCTTCTCGAAGGAATGCCAGAAGAGCAGAGAAAAATTTTGGAAAAAGCAATTATATCTGGAGAGATTGATCCAGAATCATCCGCTATTAAGTATTACTTTCTATTGTAGACTGTTTTCAAAAATTAAAGTTTAGAAACCTAGTGAAAGATGACATGACGGAAGAATCGAAAAGAGAAAAGCAAAGCCGATTGCTCGAATGGATTACTTCTAATCGACCGTCCAAGCCAAACGAATCGTCTCAAGTTTCCGACAAGCTCCCATACTATGGAAAGTATTTGGGAACATTTTCTGAAACGGTAATATTTATCTCAATGAGTTTATCATATATTATTTCAGCCGAATGTTAAAAAGCAATTGCATCCTTCTGGTGGCTTGTGGGCTGTAGATGAAAAACGATTTATTGTTTCTAAATTTATGTTTCAACCAGGTTCTCTATTAAATGGTTTGTAAAAACGTGTATTAACTTCCCGAAATGCCATTTTTTTCAGAAAACGTTACCTTCTGGCTAGGACCTGAGACACCTTCTGGAAATATTTTGCAAGATATTATGCCTTCTGAAAACGGATTCTATGTGCAGCCTAGGCCACTCGATGTTTCTTTGTTTGCTATTGATGAGCTTCCTGTACGAAATTTTTTGTTTCTGTTTAATGTGTGACAATTATGTGTAATTTAAGGCTATTGAGGCAAAACAGCGACAGAAGGTCTCTTCAGTGACTTTAATTGAAGGTGTCCCTCCAATTGTTGCAAATGTTTCTACAATTCGTCTTCGCAGAAGCGGTATTTTTTTCAATTTGTAAGAGAAAATTTTTTCAAATAAAATTTCAGTTGAGGGAATTTCCGAAAAAGTTCGGAAACCAATCGAACTTCAAGTTGAAGGAGGTGTTATTCAATTAATGCCAGGCAAAGGAGATGTTGTTGACGGAAAGAATTTTACTGAGAAAGAAGAAACAAAGCTTTCTTCCTCTTCAGTTGTTATTCCTGCAGGATTCAGATTGAAACAACCTGAATTTGACAATGTTGATCAAAATGTAGTTTCAAAAAAAAAATTTTTAACAGAATTTTACCAACAGGTTCCACAGCCACTCGATTGGTATGCTGGTTTTCAACCATTATTGCTGACAATTCCTGGCAAAAAAACTATTAAAGATTTGAATTGGGTTGCACTGAGAGATCACAAGAGACAGGTTCTATCACAAGTATCTTATTTTGAAAAATTTTTTTACTCAGGAGACAATTGCTTCCATTCTTTTACCCAACGGTCCACTTTTCCAACTTCCAAAAGTTGTACAACTTCGTCCATTGTCTCCTAATAACCCCACTTATAACATCAGCTCGGGATCTATTCAAATAATCGATATCAAAACAATGCGCATAAACAATTTCTCATTCAAATCAGATGATGACCTGATTTGGTTCATGGTAGGAAAAGACATTATTCCAAATGTAAATGGACATATTGTACCAATATTTGATGAGTAAGTTATCACTAGCAATACAAATGCTATATTTATTTTTAGGCGAAGAAAAACATTTGATTGTCAGAGTCTGAAGGACTACCATAATGAAACAATCACATTAAGATTGCCCGGTCAAATGGATATGAGAGATGTATTTTGGTTTTCTAGTAGGTTTTTTCATGATAAGGCGTATAGATTTATAATAAGTTAATAATGAAATGCAAGAAATGTTTGAATGATATTTACATAATTGAGTGCAAAGAGCAAGGCAGCACAGAAAAAGTTAAATTATGCTAGTTTGTCTATTGGTGAATAATTAGCAGAATTCACAATTCAAAATAATAAATATTAAATGGATATTGCAGTATTTTCAATGAAGCACAGCATCTCCTACTCTCACGTTTACCTGCCATATCACGATATGACACTCATTCCCGACTTCTCGGCAGTGGCGGTAAGTTGTTTATACCATACACATGAGTTGAAAAAGTTTGTTATTTAGACTCCCCCTTGCAAGTACATTTCTTCATAAGCCCTAGGGTATTGCTGGATTTCATCATAAACTCATCGCGAGCCGATTAAATTTTTTTTGTGTTGTATATAAAGATTTAAATAAACAAATAGAATTTATTTTCGTGGACGGACGAATTTAGGTAATTTGAATTGCACTTGCTGTCATTTAATTGTTCTCTTAAAATTAAATGCGCTCATACACATTAATATTAATATGGCCATTTTGTTAATACCCGAAATACTTTAATGAAATATGGTTCAATAACTGTAGAAAATTTACTAGTATTCAATACTTGTTATAATGTGAACTCAAAAATTTTATAACTGTTTTTAGACACCAATTTTTAAAGTTGAATTAGGACGATCAAATGCTTTGCATTATATTAATATTCACACTTTTTTTCAATTCTATCCTTTAAAAGATAATCAAAGTATTTTGAAAATAAAAGCAACGTTTCTTATTTTTTTTGTCGTCGTCCTATTGATATTTTTTGTTTGGTTTTTCCAGACATATTTAATATAGTCGAATTTTTAGATTCTAGTGTTGATGTATTTTATTTTATAATTGATTCAATAAACTATTTGCGAATTTTCAAGTTGATTCGATAATTGTTACAAAAATTACATCACTTTGAATGTGTTTCCATAATTATGGGCCACCCTGTATATTAAAATTCAAAATCATCAGTTGAACTTAATTGTTGTTTTAGATTTTTCTCAATTAATTGTTTTAATAATTTTCTTTTTTTTTTATAATGAAATCACCACGTTACAAATGTCAAATGAAAAAAAAAACCTCGGAACATGGATTTTAGCCAGGATGTGTCACTAATGACTACCGGAAAGTAGTCTAAAGGCCATCACAAATCATTCCTCGCCATCACAATTTAATATCTGAAGCACATTATTGAAAGTTTAAAATTGATAAACTATCATTAAATTGTACCGCCAAAGCCACACGCCACCAAAGCCACCTACGCACACAGTGTAACCTTTATATTGCATTCGTGTGCCCCTATAAAAGGGAGCCTCAACGCCCATTTTTTCACTTTCTTTCCCTTCGTTGGTTGTTGTTCAACTTATATTCAATTTATGTCCAATTCATGTTTAACTTATTTTTAATTTATTTCTTTTACAATAAAGTTTAATTACCCAAGTTTGAGGTTGTCCATCTCCTACTGGTCAATTAATTTGGTGCATCGACGACTTACGAATTCAAGCCGCCGAAAGATCAAGCCAACAAGTTCAAGTCAACAACCAAAAGCCATCCTGAAAGAAAACGACTCAACCACAACTACGGCCATCCAGCTTCATCTTCGAATTACAACAAATCGAAGGTCCGTTTTCTCAACATTGCAAGACCCGCGTGGCACAACTCATACTTCAACGCTTTGCACGATACTAACAACACAAAGAACATCGATTTGATCGAAATCGAGTCCTAAACCATCAAGCCATCCATCCATTGTTAGTCCTTCCAAAAAACTACACAGTCATTCATTAAAAATGAGTGAACTTCGCTATTACCTGACGGCAGCCACACGCTCAATGAACTCCCTGGCACAACAACTTATCGACGCAGAAAAAATGCGATCAGTCCTGAAGAAACAAGAAGAAAGTCATCAACCTATCACGGAAATAGAAGCCAGAAAAGTCTCAAATCGATTGAGACACATCATCCAAAATAGGAGCGACCTCGAAGAGCGAACTAAAGAGCTTATGACAGCAACCCGCCAAGTAGCTTGTGATGAACAAGGCCAGAAAACTCTCGACGAATTCATCGATAAAGCCACTGACGTAATCCAAAGAGCAAAGGACCAGGAGTTCCAACTGGAAGACGACGAAAAGACAATCGAGACAATAATCAGATTGGAACAACCCAGCATAGAGCCATCGGAAAGTAGTCTAAAGGCCATCACAAATCATTCCTCGCCATCACAATTTAATATCTGAAGCACATTATTGAAAGTTTAAAATTGATAAACTATCATTAAATTGTACCGTCAAAGCCACACGCCACCAAAGCCACCTACGCACACAGTGTAACCTTTATATTGCATTCATGTGCCCCTATAAAAGGGAGCCTCAACGCCCATTTTTTCACTTTCTTTCCCTTCGTTGGTTGTTGTTCAACTTATATTCAATTTATGTCCAATTCATGTTTAACTTATTTTTAATTTATTTCTTTTACAATAAAGTTTAATTACCCAAGTTTGAGGTTGTCCATCTCCTACTGGTCAATAAAGGATGAGTGTTCCTTTTTAACCACAGGTTTAATTTTTAATCCAAATTACCCGACGTGTAAGTGGGTGTTGAAAAGTGACCTTGAAGAAAATGAATGGGTAATTAATTTAAACGTTCTAGAACTTGCCAGAGGCAGATATGCATCATGATGTTGAGCAAGAAAGAAGCACGCACGTCTGCAATATTTTTCGTTTTCAATTGCCACGGATGAGCAAATATTGCTTATCGGAGCAAAGAAGTTTTGAATTCTTGAGCTTCCTTCAATATTTCCGTTTTAGCTATGTTGAAAAAAGGAAATCAAACCATTTCGCTTATTTTTCTTTTTGAAAGGATTTGCCATAGCAACTATTTGGATCGCTAAATTTTGGCGAGAATATAATCAAAGAGAAACATAACTTTCTTGTTTGTTATGAATACTGAGCTTTCATTATTTCAAACAACATTTTGTATGTGTTTAAAAATTTCCGAATTACTTAAAAGGAGGAGCAAGTCTGCCCCATTGACAGTTTTACCTTACCCGAGACACGCTGCCTCTAAACTTCACGTGCTATTTCGCCGTCACTCTCGATGTACCCGCGTTAGACGCCATAAAGTACAAAACAATGTCTGTGTGCGTACCCTCGCATATACATTCTTGCAAGTTGGAGCATCTTTTTTATTGAACACCGCTTCTAATAAGCTTCATCTTTTAACTAACTTCATGGAAAAACAAGGTTAAAAAACGCATGTTTTTTATTATAGGAAAACTCAATAAGATTTATAGCAAAATGTAATTCTCACGAAGATTATTTCGACGTTTTGCAAACTTTCTTATCGCGATATGTCCATTGAGGCGACCTTTTAAAGGATAGGGGTGGCCTCATAGACGCGCGCGAACCTATTCTTTTCAAATGTTGCCTTGATTCGCGTTGGTAAACGACGGATAGACAGTCATCATTTAAATGAATCACGCTTCGCGCGCAGGTTACGCCTCTTTCACGCCGAAGGTTTCGTTTATATAAGGCGTTGTTAGGTGTGATTATTGTTGTTGCCCTTTGTTTATTTGATAGGTTGTCGGTGTCACAACTTGAGACATGTGAAGCGCTGTGACCCCGCCCTCCCGAAATTTCCTCGCTCCGCCTCTCTTGCTCGTACCTCGGCCATTTGCTCACGCGGTGCCCAGTGCCAGATGGTGTGTTGCTCGCTATCTGTTCATGTTAGATTGCATTTCCCGCAGCGTGTTGCGCTTTTTTGTGCCATGGGTTTCCCGCTTCTTGTGGTCATTAGAGTGAGCGTGTGTATATGTATATCCATAAACATGGTGTATATGTGGGCCCTTCTTTCTCTAATGCCATACTCTGCTGTGCCGACCCCCAGCGCAGCGGCGTGTGTCAAAACGACGCCGCTTTTTGTGCGTTAGAGACGTAGAGGATGAGTATGTCTTCATTGCGCGCTCTTTCACGCGCATACTATTTTGCGTCTCCGCTGCCCTTCTTCTCTCATTCGGCGTGCGATTGATTGTATCCCCCCCCCCACCAAATGTTCTTTCGGGTTTTTGTCTTTGTTTTTCTTACTCTCGCTCTGCCTGTCTTTTCACTATCACATTATTATGAATTTAATCACTTGTGTTAAATTTCGGAACAGTTGCAGATGTCAGACGAAATGTCAAATTTGGAAGCAGAAACGTCAGTAGCCGGAGAACAGCAAGAAGAATCGGCGACGAATACTAGTGAAAACACAGAAAATGGTGACAATACTGAAAATACCGACAGTATTGAGGAGAATGAAACAACAGTTGAGAACCCTTGGAAGTCGCCACGACAAGTATGTTAAGAAATAATCATTGATATTATGAAATCACTTGTTGCAGGCACCGGTTAATGGTGTTGTTCACCCGAGAGTTCATCCTCCAGCCGAAAAGCCGGTTCGACACACCAATCAACTCGATTTCCTACTCAATGTAGTTCTGAAAGATGCAATGAAGCATCAGCACTCGTGGCCGTTTCTTGCACCAGTGGACGCTCAAAAGCTTGGAATTCCGGTGAGTCATTTTTTTCAATTAACATTTTTAAAAGTTATTGTAAATATAATATAGAGTCTTTCAAAATTTAGCCCTTTCTGTAGTTTTCAAAATTAATTCTAGTCTGCCCAGGCTACAATTGTACGCTAGTAGTTTTTTTATTGCAACGGGCTTACATTAGGTTTTTATTTTGAATTTTCTCAATATTTTTATATGCAAAAATAATCATAGATTTGCTTGCTTGTTAATCAAAAAACCCAGGAAAACGCACTTCGAAAAATAATTGAAGGTATTTTGAGGACATATGAATTTTAAATGATCTGAAAAATAATTAGATTAATCAATCCAACTTGAGATAATTAGAAAAAAAAATTCATTTTCAGGACTACCACACCGTAATTGAAAAACCTATGGATTTACGCACCATTGAAAAACGTCTAAAAAATGTCTACTACTGCAGTTGCAAGGAAGCAATGGAGGTTAGAATTTTTTTGCTTTCTGTCGAGCATGGTTGAAACAAGAAATTGTTTCTTGATGGGCTTCGAGCGTGATGTTTCGAATGTATGGACTTTGTCAATCAGGTGCACGCTTCCTGGATATAAAACTTTCAATCGTGGTTTCGCATCGGAGAGCTCTACCGCTTTACCTCATTTTTAAATTTTACTTTGATTACACTATCATTAATTTTGCTTTTTTCTTTTTATGTTGCATGACCATGTTGGAAACAGGAATCGCAATTAACCGTGGTTTGATAATGTTTGAAATGTAGTTAGTTAGACTTACTAATTTTCACATTATGTGTTGTATCCCCCGCACTTAAAATACCTATTTTCTTCTTTTTGAACTACTAATTGTGTGATGAACGTTTGCGTCACACTTGGTAGCTCTCCGATTGCCCGCAACCCTTTTGGATTTTTTATTCTAGGATGTGATGACAATGTTCAACAATTGCTATACATTCAATCCCGAACACTACGGAGTCTACAAAATGGCCAAAGGTCTTGAGGAATACATCCTGGGCCGGCTCGCAGAAATGCCTGAAGTTGTAAGTAATTTTTTTCATTTATTGCAGAACATCAACCTTGTCTTCAATAACTGCTACAAATTCAATGGGCCTAACGATGATATTACCATTATGGCTCAAAATGTCGAAGAGAAGATTAGAAAGTCGTTGGAAGGAATGCCGTCTAAGGTTGAACTCAATGTTCAGACAGCAGACAATTTCAAAATATATTGAAATTTGAAGATTATTCAATTAATTTGTTGCAGGAAATTGAAGTACCCCGTCCGGTATCAAAACGAGGTGGAAAAGGTGGCCGCGGTGGCGCTCGTAATATGGGAACTCGTGCGCCAAGCGTGAAGCGTGGCAAAGGTTTGGATAGTATCACCCCTGAGGCTAGACACGTGATTAACAGTTTTCATCGTTACACACGGGCAGGTGTGTTACTTGAATAGTTTCATCCTCTCTCAATTTTCTCGCATTTTTGTTTATTTGAAAATTAAAGATTTTTGTATTTTTTTGCTGCGACAAAAACGTTTTTGCAAAACCATTTTTTACAGTCTCATGTTTAACCGACGACGGCGAAGACAGTCCTCGCGCTACTCCGGCGCCCTCTCGCCACAGTGGTAGGCTTTTGTGATGATGTGTGCGAACATCAAGGGTACCGGTTTCACAAATAAAATTAACAAATTACTACCGAGCTTTGGGAATGAGAGAACGGGGGAAACTATTGTAACACATCTGATTGTAGTGTTGTGGTGTTATTATTTATTTATTTTTAACCACAATGTGAGTTTACACCGCAGTCGGTACCTTTGTTGTAGTAGTTGTCTTATTGATTCGTACAAATTAAAATAATTTCAGACTCTGTAAGTCGCGAGTCTTCCGTGTCCATTATTCCGAAAGATCCCGAAGTCGACCGTTCTTCAGTTACACCAATTCGCGTGGTAGCAAATAAAAACTTATTAATAGAAAATTGGATTCATTTAGAGCGAATTGGGAGAAAAACAAGGAAAAGGAGTTAAAAGAAAGGCTGATATTGTAACAACTGAGGAGGAGCCAGAAAAACTTGTTGTTCGTAGAGAATCGGGACGCCCAATCAAACGACCAGTGTTGGACTATTCTGCTCTAGAACCCAAATTAAAGGGCAAGATGACCGAGTCGTTGAAATTCTGCCAAAAGCTTATTAATGAGCTGCTCAGCAAGAAATATAAATCCTTTGCTTGGCCATTCTATGAGCCAGTCGACGTCGAAGGCTTGAACCTTACCGACTACTATGATATTGTTACAAACCCAATGGACTTGGGGACCGTAAAGAAGAAGCTCGAATTTCGCCAATACTCAAGTGCTCAGGAATTTGCAGAAGATATTCGACTGGTCATTATATATGCGTTGGAATGCAAAATAAAAGTAGTTTTTCAGATTTGCAATAACTGCATGCTTTACAATCCCGAAGGCACTCCCTTCCATAACCATGGAAGAGACCTGCTCCGTACTTTCGAGGCCAAGTTCAAGGATTGTCCTGTTGATGAAGAACTTCCCGAAGTTTTCGGCGCATCTTCTGATTTGGCAATCAAGACTGATGGCATCAATGAAGACGACAAGATAAATAAGTATTTGAAAATCGTTACTTCGGAACAGAAGAAGCTTCGCGAGCGACTTGAAATTCTACGCGATCTTGGAGATAGTCTGTATGATACGGCTCTCAAGCGCAAAGAAGCAAAATTGAGCGGATCGGACGGACCTGGTTTAACGGCTGCACAACTCTCTCAAATTCGCCAACTCGGAATCTCTGCGGTAATTTCAATTCTAAATCCAAACAAAATCAAAGTATTTAGGAGCTCAAGCAAGAATTAATTTCACCTGCTCTTTCGGGTCGCAGTGCAACGCGAGCTCCGCCGAAAATATTCGAGGATTACAAAGTCGAAATGCCGTTTAAAGCAGCTGGAAAGAAGTCTAAAAAGATGCCCGAACCTTCGACGCCATCTGCTCAATTGGAGCCAAAACCATACTCTGGTCGCGGTCGTCGACCGGGAAGCAAGAATAAACCAAAGAATCTTGCCCCAGTCAAAGAATACGAGTTTGATTCTGAGGACGAAATAAATATGACGCCACTCAACAGCGATGAACAGAGAAAAATGCAGAATATGGTGTCTTGTTTGCCTCCAGAGCATCTTAACGACGTCATGAAGATTGTTGAAAGTCGCGAGGAAAGACAATTCAATGAGTCTATGGAGGGAGAGGTCACTCTGGACCTCCTCAACCTTAAGACTATAACCATCAGAGAGCTTATGGCATTTTTGACTCACGTATATGCCAAGAAAGATAAGGGAAAGAAGCTTATGCGTAAGAAATTCTTTTTATATATTTAATCTTGAGTTTGATATTTCAGCAATTAAAAATCCAGAAGATGCTGCTAAGAAAAAAGAGGAGATTCAAAAACAACTCAACACTTTGAATGCCAACTTATCTAAGGCCAACAAAGGTTATCAACTGAAATTTGAATTGTTCAAATAGGTAGTTTTTCTAGGTCCGAGTAATTCTCCTCCCGTCCTTGTTTCGCAACTAGACGGTCCATCGACTTCGTCCGCTATTCAAAACAGAAAGAATGATGTGAGCTCCTCGGACAGCTCTGACAGCTCCTCATCGTCGGATTCTTCCTCATCGGATACTTCGGACACCGAATCAGGTTAGAATTCGGGTCAGATATGCGTAATAATAAATAGAAAATTGTGCATGCAATTTATATAGTTCTGTATTTTTTCTAAATTGTATGTTTAATTTCAAACCAATCATTTTAATTTCATTTACTCCGATTTAAAAAAAGTGTCATAAGCCCTCTAAACTGCATCTCATTTTAGAAAGCAAAACTTCATAATTATAAAACAAATTGATTACCTTTGATAAAAATTAAAAAATTTTGTTTTGTACATTTTATTTAAATTGTTGCTTTACTCATAAAATATTATTAGATGCCGCTGGACCACGACTCGACGAAATCTCGTCGCGTAAGCGCGTTGGGGTCGCCGTCAAACCAATCCCGCTTCGCAACGGATTTGGCGTAAAAGATCGCAGTGGAGAGAAAGGAGCTGCATTCCCAACTAAGTCTTCATCGACAAGCGCCGATGAGAGTCGATCGCCAACACCACCTGAGCCAAGAAGCAGCCAGCCACCATTAAAGAAGAGAGCTCGTACGTTGAAAATTTTTATTTATGAATATTAAAACAGTTTATTTTTAGCATCAGAGGACGCCAAGCAAGCGTTAAAAAAACCGGTACAGAAGAAGAAACCGTCGCCAAACTACAGTACTAAAATAATAAAATAATGGCGTTTAATTTCTATACTCTGTTACAGCTACTACCATTTTGGACACCTTACTTCCGGAAACACCAAAGAGAAGTGGAAGCTCGTCCCCTAAAGCTCCAGGAATTGGCTCAACAGATTTTGAAGCGTTTCGCGCCAAACAAAAGCAAAAAGAAGAAAAAGTAGGAATTTAGTGCATTTCAAAATATTTGCATATGTATCTTTCAGAGACGTCAGCTTCACGAAGAAGAGGACGCTCGTCGTAAGGCGAAAGAAGTTGACCGCGTTGCAGAAGCTGCTCGTAAAGCTGAAGAAGAGCGCCTTGAAGCTGAACGCATTCAAGCTAGGATTGCTGAAGCTCGCCGCATCCGAGAGCTTGAAGATCCAGCATGCTGCATTTTTGATCAGATGGAGGTCATGGCTAACTTTGAGTCCATGATGTAAAACTTTGTTGAACCGTTTATTAGCCACCGTCATAAAACGAGAGTGCATTTAGTTCTGCTTGCACGTTCTCCATTTCTTTTTAAATCGTTTGTTTATTGATTTTCATTTTTTTCTCAATCTGTCACCACAAATGTTATCTCATGTTTTTGAATCTACCATGCAAACCATTAAAACTGAAAATATTGTACGCTGTAATTTTTTTTCCTGCAAAATGAAGAATTCCTTTCTCTTTACCTAGACGTACTTAAAATCTCGATTTCCTATTGTTGCAAATGTCTTATTTATTCATGATTGTTCTCGTTATATCTCAGTTATCCCAACATTTTCCAATTACAATTTTTCTTTAAACAAGTTGCCAAGAAAGCCGATATTTTAATACCCTAAGAATTTGACTACTTATATCTACTCCATTACAATGACTGTTTATGTCTACTGATATATTTAATGGAAATAAAATATGTAGCCAACATTTTCCGAGATGATGGAACGAACTGTTTATTGAGTACGAAAAACTGAATGGAAAACTTGCGAACTGAAGTTTCTGACTTATTTACTTAGACGGTTCGTCCTTGCCTGGACCACGGTGTGATTACACCTTCATCAGCTGTTCTTGTGGTGATCTCCTTCCGAATCGAGTCCATCTCATGGGAGGCCTTCCATGGCCGTGTCAAATTCCACGGCCACTCCCTTCAAAGAGTAGTCCATCTTTCATTTGTTCTTCTAGCAACGTGTCCAGCCCAGGTCATCTTCTTCGTGATGTGATGTAGGGCTTCCGAACATTAGACGTGATGCTGATATATTCTCGATAAAGATTTTGTTCACATTTTTATGATAACATGAACATGAGACCAACCAATCTTCGCTCAAGCGCAGCGTGACTAATTCGGACTCTTTCGGCAAGAGCTTTGGTGAAGGTCCAAGTCTCTGATCTGTAAGTCAGCAATAGGAGAACGATGGAATCGTATTCTTCCAAGGACCCCGTATTTGTCAACATCGTCAATGATACTAGCCGAATTCTGGTCCGTTAGGGTAACCTTGGCGGAAAAAGTTACGTAGGACTTTGGCCTTTCCATCGTTAATCTGAAGTCCTACTTGTTCGCATCTCGCAACCATCTCACCTAGCATCTCTGATGTCGCTTGCGGACTATGCGCTATAAACAAAATGTCGTTTGCAAACCGCAGGTGTGTGAGGTTGCGGCCCTTCATTCGTAGTCCTGTAGTGTTCGTATTTTCTTCTGAGCTCCAGGCACGCGGAGAAGGTTTAGCGAGGTCGGGTCACCTTACCTTACTTTTCTTCGAAGAGGTATTTCTACCTGCTCATGGAATGGCGTGGAACAGTCAGAGTAACGACTTTGGAGAAGCTGGATATGCGCTTCTTCAACCCCTTGGTCTCTCAGGCTCTGCCACACTGCTGAATGCTCAACACTCGAATGTTGACTAATTTAATATTAATATCATTCCAAGTTATGATAAATGGTAATAGATTAATTCTTTCTACAAAAACAAATGTGTGACTTATTTCCTGTTTACAACACTACGATTAATTGACTACATTGGATTTTTACCGTTTTCACTATGAATATTGTTTTTTTTTTAACATTTATATACATAAAACGTGGTAAAAGAAGGTATTGAATCCCTTCCAGACAGTTGCTTCGTCGCTAGCTCTATATATATTTTTTTATTTATATATCGTTAAGTTTAGCTATTATTAGAGACTCACAACTCTGAAACTTCCGTTGTCTCCAGACGTAACATATTTGATACTTACTTACTTAGTCACTTAGTCGGTTCGTCCTTCGCCTGTTGAGGCGCGAACCACAGCTTTCCAAGCTTTTCGGTCTTTTGCTTGGGTGTACCAGGGGGTGATAACGGCTCCTTCAGCTGTTCTTGTAGTGATCTCCTTCCGAAGCGAGTCCGACCATCTCATGGGAGACCTTCCTCTTGGCCGGGTCCAATTCCACGGCCGCCACTCCGTTAGAAGAGTAGTCCATCTTCCATCTGTTCTTCTAGCAACGTGTCCAGCCCAGGTCATCTTCCTCTTCGTGATGTGGTGTAGGGGGTCCCGAACTTTAGACATGATGCGGATGTCCTCTCGATGAAGATCTTGTTCACGTTGTTGTGATAACGTGAGGCCAACCAATCTTCGCTCAAGCGCAGCGTGACTAATTCGGACTCTCTCGGCAAGAGCTTTGGTGAAGGTCCAAGTCTCTGATCCGTAAGTCAGCGCTGGGAGAACGATGGAATCGAAGAGCTGTGCGCGGGTTTTGTTACAGGAAATCAAATCGGTGGTGTTCTTGATTCCATTAAACGCTGCCCAAGCTGCTCTTCTCCTTCGGAAGATCTCCTTGACTAGCTCGTTTTTGGGGGTGAGTAGTCTTCCAAGATAAACGTATTCGTCAACATCGTCAATGATACTCACCGAATTCTGGTGCGTTAGGGTAACCTTGGCGGAGTCTGCGAAGGGGTTACGTAGGACTTTGGTCTTTCCAGCGTTAATCTGAAGTCCTACTTGTTCGCATCTCGCAACCATCTCACCTAGCATCTCTAATGTCGCTTGCGGACTATGCGCTATAAACAAAATGTCGTTTGCAAACCGCAGGTGTGTGAGGTTGCGGCCATTCACTCGTAATCCTGGAGTGTTCGTATTGTCTTCTGAGTCGTTTTTGAATTGACTCCAAGGCAATTCACGGAAAACTTGCTCCAGGCACTGCAAATATTTAAATACTTTGTAGGCATGATACAGTATATAGTCGGCGTCCGGCGACAACTCTACGCAGGTAGATTTACGCGTATGCGCCTTGAAAAGGTCTCGCCACGCGTGAATGCTTATTTCGCTGTTTTCAGGTGAACTGCTTCATTTTTCTTGATGAGTTTTGCATTTCTTGGAATTTCTAATGTCGTTCGATTTAAAAATCATCGAACCGACCCATAAAATGCATAATAACCAGTTAGTCATCCCGGGACCATTTCAAAAGACGCATTCCTGTAAATCTACCCGCGTACGGCAGTCGCCGGACGCCAATTATATATGTAGATTATTATTATCTTTTTTTTTAATTTTTGATATTACTATTATTTCCTTTCTGTAACTTCACTGTTTACCTTTCTCAATTTTCCCTTTCATTCTGAACTTACTGAAAAGCCAGACTCTCTTTCCAGTGTCTTGATGCTACTCTTGATCACATTTAATTTAATTTTGAAATTGCCCTTTCCCTCTTTTTTTCTGAACTCTTTGGTGAATCAATAAAAAATGTAAAACATAATCCAAAACAGCTTACTTTAAGCATAAGCGCCTTTTTACTTGACCACATGTAGATGTTAGTTGTGTGTCACCCTACTATCATCTTAAGCTTCCATGTTCGCAGGATAAATAATTAACCTTATTACCAGTAAGGTTCAAACTCTTCATTTCATGGGTCGGTTATCTTTTTTTATCATTTGTAAACATATTTTTTGTTTTTGACAAATATATGCTCCAAGTACTTGTGACATACAAGTTTGTTTTTTTAATAACGAAAAGGTTGAAATAATTCTACATCATTTAGTTCCTGATGACAGCATCGTGGGTTCACGCTAAACAAATTAAGGGAATTAGTTTATAATACAATTTTCGTAGTTCTAATGCACTTTGCTTCAATTTTAATTACACATTGAATCGACCTGAATTATTCGTTTCATAATTTTCTTATTGAAACTATTTTTATGCTGTATTATTTTTGTAATTCGTATATTGTTCAACTCTAAAACAAAGAGTTTTTTTTTTCAAAAATGTCGATATTTCGAAATTTTGCGACAAACTGGTGACCCTAGTCCGCTTTTTTGTCTGCATCTCTGCCTATGGCGTGCGTCGTGTTATTGTCAACAACACTGCAAAGCGTTTTTGGCTGCTATTCTTTATGAATTTTGTTCAGTGAATATCGACAAATCTAATCAATGCGTTATATTCATTTTTTCGCAATAATATTGATTGCATTTATTGTGGATTATGTAGCTTCAGCGAATGGAAATAATCGTCTTGATATGGCTGCCCAAAGAGTAAGTAAAAAATTCGCTTAATCTTATTGATCGGCGGTTTTAGCGGGCAGCGAACATACATCGTCTCGATACCATCATTCTGCTTACATATGTTTCCGTAATGGTACTCATTGTTCTTACTGCGTGGGCATTCAAACATTATCGGGCTCGGTTTATTCATGAAAGCGGTGTCACTCTTTTTTATGGTTAGATTTTTTTGGTACTATGCAGATTTTACGAAAAATGCTTAAAAACAATTTTTTTTCAAAATTTTCCATAGAGTTTTTGATAGCTTTAAAAGGTTTTTTTTTCGAAATCTGCTCTACTAAATAATTCTCAGATATTAAATATATTTCTAGGACTTCTCGTTGGGTTTGTTATCAGATACTTTGGATTAGGGCTCCTTCAATCTCAGACGTTTGATGTTGTCACAAAAAACCGTACAATTGTCAAAGAACCTCCAGATTATCTCATGTACGTATCTTCCGAGCATTTTCCAACATGAAATTGAAAATTATAGGCTTGAAGTGAAACCAGAAGGCGGATCGAAAGTTTCCTTTCATTATGAGCTGATCGAAGGGTTCTTCGCAGACAGAAGAAAGAAAAAAGAAGAGCAAATTGAGCAAAAGGTGACAATTATTTAAAAATTTATCAAACACTTGTTCTTTTAGAGTATTTTTTCTCCAGAGGTATTTTTTAACATGCTAATTCCTCCAATTATATTTAATGCTGGATATTCTTTGAAAGTAAGATAATTTCACATAATTCGACAATTGTCGTTTCAATTTTAGAAAAGGCATTTTTTTCGCAATATCGGGAGTATTCTAGCAATTGTCTTTATTGGAACAACAATTTCTTGCTTTGGCACAGGGTATCAATTATTGCTTGCGTAATTGAAAATTGAATGTAATTACAGATGCCTCATGTTTATTTTCACATCCATTTTTCGAATGGGCTTTTCTTTTAAGGAGCTTTTATTTTTTGGAGCGCTGATTTCTGCCACTGATCCAGGTTTGTTTTCTTCACTGCATATAAAAATTTATCTACCAAGGCTTTTCTAAGGCTTTTGAAACTTATGTGATAATTTTTTGTTTAAGAGGGTTTATTAAGAAATCCTATTGTTTCAGTAACGATCATATCCGTATTCAATGAGATGAATGTTGAAGCTGATTTGTTTGCTCTCATTTTTGGGGAAAGTGCGTTAAATGATGCCGTTGCCATTGTTTTATCAGAGTATTTTGTGAAATGAAATCGGGCAGTCACGTTTTTTTTTTCAATTTTCAGAGTCATTGAAAATTTCTCAACAGCAAATGAGGCAATAACATTGGAAGACTTTGGAGGCGCAATTGCTGGATTCGGATGGGTTTTCTTTGGTTAGCGGAGATTATACATTTTTTTCTGATATACTTCATATCTTCAGGCTCGATGCTTCTGGGATTTGGTATCGGTTGCATGAACGCGTTCCTTACGAAAATGACGTTGATTTCGGATCATCCATTACTCGAAAGCTCTTTATTTGTGCTGATTTCTTACATTTCTTTCCTTGTTGCAGAAGTTAATGGGCTAACAGGTACTTATTTCGTCTATCCCATTTCTCCTTAGTTTGTTTTTTTTTTCAGGAATTGTTGCTGTATTATTTTGCGGAATTGCACAAGCTCATTACACTTACAATAATTTGTCTCCTTATTCACAAAGCAGCACTAAGCATTTCTTCCACGTAAAAACTATTTGACGTAGTTCTAAAACTCATTTAGAATATTTTAAGATGGTTTCGTTCATAATGGAAAGCTTCATATTTTGTTACATTGGTGTTAGTGTGTTCGTGACAAACAATCAAAAATGGAATTTTGGATTCTTCTTTTTTGCCATGGTATGTATGGAGAATGTTTTATTACATCTATAAAATTGCAATGTTTATAGTGCTTCCGAGTTTTTTGATCATAAGAGGGTGAAAAATTATTATAAAGACTAAATTATTTTTTCTATCACAAAACGATTGAAAACTGAGAAGAGGAGACTCTACATACTGATGATTTTTTGTTCAGGTTTCAATCACTGCATCACGCGCTCTTTTTGTCTATCCGCTATGCACTATTCTAAACATTCAACGACGTCCGAAAATTCCTAGAAGGTTTCAAATTCTTCATCTTTCATGAGAGTTTAAATAAAAACCTTCTCGTTGAAGGCACCAACACATGATATTGTTCGCCGGCCTGCGTGGTGCTATGGCATTTGCTCTTGCTGCTAGGAATACTGCAACCGAAAATAGACAGGTAGTGAAATGATATGCAATTTTCGACTTGATTTGTTGATGCATTCTTTGTAATACTATTTGTTTTAGATTATTTTCGCCACTACTGTGGCCATTGTGATTGTCACAGTCATTGTCAATGGAGGTCTCACCGCGTGGATGATTGATTATCTTCAAATCAAGTACTATTTCTCTATTTTCACATTTGTATGAACTCTTCTCAGACATGGAAAAGATGCTATAGAAGATGGTCACCGAATTGAGTGTAACCAAAGCGGAGCAAACGTAGGCGATGAGCCTGTAACTATGGCTCCGCCAGGATCGAATCCATGGGACAAAGCATTTCTTCCAAGGAAATGGTATCATTTTGACGCAAAGTAAGTTCGTTCAACATGATAAAAAGTTGCTTTCGAATGCTTATATTTATATATTCGTTCACATTTGGTCGTTCTTCTCAATAGTATTGAAAAAGTGAGAGTAGTGATGCAGATGTCTTTCACATCGACGACTTTCGTTTTTGAAAAACAAATGCACCACCATGTGTTCCATCCATTAATTTAAAGAGATGTGTTCCGGCAGAGAAAGAAATTATCAAAGTGCAAACTGCAGTGCCATATTTTTTCAATATTAGTGAAGGAAGTCATTATTAATTTGAATGTCGAAAAAAAATGTAAACATGATAGAAAAAACATTTTCAGCTTTATGAAGCCGCTTTTAACGCATGCTACACCTTCATTGGAACAAACCTTACCGCCATTTTGTTTGCCGCTTGCATCGTTGGTGACTTCTAATCGCCAAAAAGCGGTAAGTAATAATCTAATTACATATCAGAGCATGTCAGTAGTGCACAGCGTGTTATTTGACCACCTTTTGTTCAGGAAGATACGCCCAATTATGATGAATCCGAATGACCATACCTGTGTTTCGCTTGTGTTTTTACAGTATGTAAACTTATTTTCCCTCAGTTCGATTTCAGCTTCTTTTTAATGTTCTATATTGTATTGAATTTGCCATTTTTCAGGGCTCCATATCCGACTCATATGAAACCGTTGTTCAAACTGGTAGGATAATTTTTTTTTAGTTTCGTTTAAAAAAAATTCAAGTTATTCAACTTGTTGATGGTTCGTCGACTGAGGAAAATGTATAATCCAGCTTTACTAAATATGTAGTATATGTATGCTTCTTCTATCTAACGTGTTACCTATTCAAAATCATACCCTTATATTTTATTTTGGAAAATTGATTCTGTGATTCGTCAGTGTATTCCAGAAAGAATTGTTTTCCGGTTTTCCGGTTCTCCTGTGCCAGCTTTAAGATATATTTTTTCGGTTTGACTTTATTTGTTTGAATTCTTTATAAAATTCATTCATTGGGCTTGAAAAATTCAGTTGATATTGTTGGTAAAAACAAACTTTTAAAAATGACTTCAGCATGCAAAACTCTGTGAAATTCCATTTCGGTGGGCTTCGGCAGCGTTTTATCTTTTCTACTAATTGAACAGCTAGTCCAGCTTTCGAGGAGATAGCTCAAAATCCTATGAGGTCCAGAGTGCACAGATGACCTCCTACGCCACTCGTGTGCGTTCATAAGACGTTTTCTTTCTTTTGAACATTTTTATTCATAACATTTCTACAAGTTTGAAATGTAAATAAAATGATGTACGTCATTTTGAAAAATATGACAATTACACCTTAAAACTTAAAAGTTAGTATGGTTTCAGATGTTCGAACGTTCAATTTTTTTTCGCTTTCACAGCGCTTTCCTTTGTTTCCACATGGTCAGTATGAATTGACTTTTGCTGCTCAAAATTTTCAACTGCATATTTTTTTTACTTCTTTTTCTAATATCCCATAATTGTCAAAGTATTGCCTAGAAATTTTACTATTTTCATTTTTGTTCGAAACATAAGAAGAAACTTTAAGGTGAATGAATCGACTTTCAGTCTGCTTATTATTTCTATTCGCATTATATTGTTTCTTCCTGTTGACTCTCAATCCGAAAGAAGAACCGAAAAGAGATGGAAAAAGAGAATTGCAGTATTTCGCGTTGGTAAAACAGTTTATGTTATCAAATCAATTTTATATGTTCAGTTGGGTTGCTTAGCAACAGCTCGGTTGATCACAGGACAAGTTGAACTTAATTCCTGCGCTGACACGAACCAATTGGCCGGACTTGGAATTGCTTGGCCGTACCTTAAGTTCTATAAAACTTTCTTATTTGTCCCTTTAAATACCTTACAAACGTGCGAGCTTTTGCTTCTTTATGTAAGTAAAAAACACTTTTTATCGTTTTTGAAAAAAAATGTTTAGCCGGAGGAAACCTATCGCGAATATTTTGAAAAAAAACCACACTACAAGAAAATGGCTGATCAGCTTTATGACGATGGAAGAGACTTTTTCGAAAATCGCATAAAATATGTAAACGAATTGGCTATGTCCGCAAAGCAATCAAAAGAATGCAACCTAAAAAAATTATTTGATGGAAATGGAAGCAGCCCGCTGCGTACTACAATCGATTACACAGTGTTGTTGGAAGCAAATTTCAAGGGAACTTTTGGCATGAATGGATCTACCGACAAAAACTACACCCACAAAATATACAGTCATTCGAAATCGAAAATACGTCCATCATTTATCGCTTACAAAAATATTCACAATATGCTAAAGGTAAGTAATCTAAGTTAATGGGAAATATTTTTGTAAAAAAATTGCTATTTTTAAAACATGTAAGCTGCAGAAAGATATACTATTTATAATTTTTGGCCACTTTTTGAAAAGTATTTCACATTGAAATTTTGCGACAATAAAAAAAGAAGTGATATATTTTATTAATCCGAAGTCGTTTGAGCGTGTGTGTGTGTGTGTGTATGCAACGTGATTTGTACCGTAACCGCAGGATTTAAATAACTGAGATTGCGTGGCTATCTCTTTCTGCTCCTTGCAACAGTTCATATTTAATTCAGTTACCCTAAAAACCACAAAGCATGAAAACAATGTAATATAACGATTCATATATTATGTGACGTTTATTGAAAAACAAAAGTTTGCGTGTAAAAATTGTTAAAAAACTTAGAACCTTGAAAAAAAAACACTTTAAAATGTGATATTGTATTTTAATGTAATGTTTTAAAGGTCGGGTGCGCTAATTATATTCGAAAACTGCATGGAGCTATTCAGCTTGATACCTGCCTTAATACATTTGATGATGCAGATATGGAGATAATTTACAAAGAAACTGATCTTAATCAATATAAAGACGGAAAGTTCATAGCAAAAGTTTGCGACGTAGCTTTTCTAAAGGTAGGCTAGGTTAGCCATTTCAACAAGTTTAGTATTGTTTAGGGACCACAAGAGATACAAAATATTGACGATGCCACTGATGAACAGCACTATGCGTTATATAGTTTATATAACGATGGTAGAATTATAACGTTGAGAGTGCCGTCAATGGATGAATATGTGAGAAGGACAGAAAAACTAGCAATTAAATGTCGAAAAAATAAAACAAACCAAATTCTAAGCATGGGAATTGTGCGAAGATATAACGCAGCGTTTAACACTGAAGAATTGGAGCTGATCAGCGTTCTTAAACATATATACTTGGAATACGGTCCTTATCCAATATCAAAAGGACTTTGCTACATTAAAGAAATGGTTGGTTATTATACAGGGTGTCATTTAAGTTCCCGCACAAAAGTTTGACGTCATGAAGAGCTTGGCTCTTGCACTTTTCGTGCACCAATACAACTTATTTTTGTTAAATAAGGTATATTTTACTTACTTTCCAAGTTTGCCCTCATTCGGATGTGTTTCCGAGAAATGGCGAAGGCTAACATCCATCGCGCTCATTATCGAACTTCATAAGCAAAATGTGAGAGAGACATCATTGAACGTCATTGAACGCCTCGCTGTGGCTCGTAGAACGGTTTGCGACACCATCAAACGTTTCAAGGAGCTAAATACAACCAGTGACCGTCCCAGACAAGGAAGACTCGTCTCAGTAACCACTCCTCAGAAGATCAACGCCGTTAAATCAAGGATCAGGCAAAACCCACACAGGAGCATGAGAAAGATGGCGTCAGACATGGGAATGAGCATCTACGCTATGGAACAAATTGTCAAAACGAAGTTTGTACTGACCCCATATCGTGTCTAAAAAGCGGAAATTCTATCGGCCGTCAACAAGCAGAGACGCTTCGAAAAAGCAAAAAGACTTCTTGCTCGCAAGTCTTTTTCTGGAGAACACCTCGTCACTGTCTTTTCCGACGAGAAGCTGTTCACTGTGGAGGCGGCATTCAACTCACAAAACCATTGAGTACTTGCCCAGACATCCCAGCAAGCTTCTGGGAAAGGCAGAACAATTCATCGAGCCTCACATCCTGCCAGTGTGATGGTTTTCGGTGCCATCTGCTCAACCGGGAAGTGCCCCCTGGTTTTCGTGGATCAGGGGGTGAAAATGAACAGAGAAGTCTACGTTCGGGACATTTTGGAGAAGCATGTGATGCCCTGGACCCAAGCGCATTTCGGTGGGCAGAAATGGGTCTTTCAACAGGACGGAGCACCCGCCACCACTGCCAAAACTACTCAGGAGTGGTGCCAGACCCATTTTCCCGACTTCATCAAGTCATCCGAATGGCCTGATTGCTCCCCAGATCTGAACCCGCTTAACTTTTCCGTGATGGGGTCTTGCAGGAGAAGGTCAACGCAAAACCCCACTCAAGTATAGAGGCTCTGAAGAAGACATTACTGGCGGAATGGAACAATCTTTCCATCGAATACCTGCGTACCACAGTCGAATCCTACCCAAAGCGTCTTCGTGAAGTCATAGCTGCGAAAGGAGGCCGAATCGAAAAGAGTTAATAGATAAATATGTGTTATACTATAGATAAAAAATATTTCGAGTCTCGTTTGATTTGGACTTTTAGTTTCAGAAATATACGTCTTCAAAGTTGTGCGGGAATTTAAATGACACCCTGTATATGTGGTTGTGCTTATTAAAAAGATAAATAGTAGATTGATAAATACCGTGATATACAATATTCAAAACAACTCATTCTAGTCGTATTATTCATCCTCTTATGTAAAAAAACATCTCAAAAAATCGAATTGCCATTATAAAGTGTTTCTGATATTAACTGAGAATTAATTCTAGTTAGAACTTCAACTTTGCCTATCACAAGGAATCAACTGCCAGGCAGGAGAATACGCAGACCCAGTTGGATGGAGCTTTAGAAAATTTTTCGAGGACCGCGCTGTATGATACCGTATATCTTATTGATGGTGCAATTAGATCGTTTCAGATTGAACACCCCGAATTTTTCGAACATTTCTTATATCTTTGGAACATTATCGTTTGGTGGTACGAGTTAACGGTGAATTTCTTAATTTTTGAGCTACATATAATTATGTCTTCAGATCGAAATCATAATTGGTCTGTCTATAGTCAATGCTTTGTGTGAATACGTACTACCAAGGTTGATGGTTCACACGGCAAAAGACCATGTCAAAAGAAGAAAAATTGATTATGAACAAAGCGAGGATGAGGCTGAATATGAAATTGATAACAAAAATCAACATATTGCTCCTATTGAAGAACTGGATGACGACGAAAAAAAAGAAGTTTAGATATATATTGTGTGTACATTTTTGTCATAATTCTAGAATGGGTTTCTATTTAAAAAAAAAAAACACGGTAATTTTCAGGTAATAATTGTTTTTTGTTAATAAACATTTTCTTTCGCAATTTATTCAAACCGCAACAACCTCTGATTACACACGCAATCGTGTATCCGCCACTGAGAAATGATTTGTTTCAAAAAAGAAAAGATAACTTTTTCTTCCCTTCAGAAATTTGGCAAGTTGTACGAATTGACAAGTACTGCAAAGATTAGTGTTTTTGACATTCCATATCAGCTTATTCCTAACTGTGTTAGTTATACATTAAGAATAAAACTCATACTCATTTTGATTTCTGTCTTAATATTTGCCTGGGGCTATATTTCTCACAATGAAAAAATGACAATGAACAGAAAGGATACAGTATTTTTTCTCACTATGATTAAAATAGCATCAATTCAGTACTGAGATTAAGAAATTAAACTATTTTAATTCAATTTATTGAAAATTCCGAATGAATAATTTGCTGAGGTCAGAAAATATTGGCGAGAACATGGTTCCGTTTATCAAAGCTATTGAGATATCTAAACAATACACTTTCTTTGATCCAAAAATCCAATGTCTGTATAAAAAATCGACAAAATTTTGAAGTTCCCAATAATTATATCTTTTTCATTCTTCACCCATGTGCAAATTAAAACACAGAAGATTTTGTAACTGTTGTTTCAAACTTGACCGTTTTTCCTTTATGTATGATTCGAATAAATGCTGTTAAAAAACCAAGAAGCAGAGACGGAGAGATGCTCGATTTTACTGCCGATGAGTGACTCATTTTTCATGTCGCTGACAGTGCGCTTTCGATCACTTTTTTTTTCGATCCTCGTTATTTTCCAATTAATATTTGGTTTACATATTGAACCATAAAAATTTCGCATTATAATTGGTTTTTACGGAAACAGCATCATTTTTTTCGACGCATTTCAACATAGATTTACAATTATTTTGCCTTCTTCAACGCCTATTTATAACAGTGTCGACCAACAAAAATATGTTTTAATCTTGCAAGCACTATTTTCATTTTTCTACAGGTTTATCAATAATTCAGAAATGCTGCCCGATGGTAGTCACCAGCATCAGGCAAATTCAGCCAATGCTCTTTATCAGAAATTTTTGGATTCTCATTCTCCTAAAACTCTGAAGCAAAGACCACTATGCATTAAATGTCACAATCAAGAAAATGTATTCGTTTTAGCAATTTATTGACAAACATCCTGCACGCCATTCAGTGCCGCCTACGGCAAGCTTGCCAGGCTTAATTCCATCAGGAATACCACATACCATGCCATCAGTCTCAAGTCAACATTTAACGCAGCAGCAAACAACTGGCTCTGAATTGAAGGTCGCAAGAATTTCTGCACCAGCCGCGCCACTATTTCCAAATTATGAAAAAAATTCATATAATCCAATTGAGGTGACGTGCAGTATTGACGCTTCTCAAAAACCACACATCAATGATTTTTATCGGCTTAGACATAATTGTCAAGACCCAGATCTCACAGAGCAAGAATCCTGTCGTACAGTAAGAGTTTTTGTGAACCATATTTGCAATTTAAATCGAAATAATTTAGGTCAGGAACCATGTAGCTGTTCAATCAAGTAACAAAGAGCATACTGATGCATTTGAATATTGTGTTTCATACGCGGATGTTGTGAAGGACTATCATTCCGGGAACAATGTGAAAGAACGAAAGCGGGAGGTAAGCTAGTATTTGTTGCTTTTATCTCTACAATTATCATTAAAATAAAAAATTCTAGTACGTCAATCCAAATTATGAGCACACTTATTTCGGCGAGAAGGGATCAACTCAGGACCCATTTTCGGTGTTTTCAGTGATTAATGACTTCAAGAAATTAAATGTCAGTTTGATTTTTTGTAAAAACATAATACTAGTACTTCAGACTGTCACGGCAACACTTATGAATCGAAAAGATTACTCAATTTCAATAAACCCATATTGTGTAAGCTCGTTTGAGTTACATAAGAAATTTGCACACGTATTTTTTTTTAAGAAACCTACCATTGATGAACGAGTTAAATGGGATTATTTGTTGGACCCAAAAAACGCCATCAATCCGGCGCATATTGGACTGTCTTATGACTCTATAAACGAATATGTTGGGCTAAAAATAACAGTATAAACGGACATATTTTTTTCAGGTATTGACCAAATTAATTGATGACTATCTGGAACAAAGAGAGTTTCACAAAAATGTGAAGAATATGCAAATAAGATTCGCGAAAAGCGTTCATCAAATGATTGAGAATATAACTAAAAAACCATGCTTTGTACAGGATAGTTATTTTGTCCAGGTATATTGGAAGAAAAGAGATAAGCATTCAGGCTTCTTTATTGTAGAACATTGGGTATTTCGTAGCTAGTGAGCTTCAGAGAAATACCAAATTAAACAAACAAATGAGAATGACACATTTTGTAAGTTATCATATTCGAATTAAAGCAACTAAGTCTTATTATGTATTGCAGGACAACGCTGTTTACGAACTTGCAATGGTAATAATCTCAATTGACCTACATTATGAACATGGTTTAAAAAAAATTGTGAGTTTAGAAGTGTACTCCTATTGTGAAATTTGTGTTCCAGAGGGAGTATATCCAGAAATATTTGCCACCGGGAACTTTGTTAGAGGTAGCAACCCTCTATAGCAAAAATGAATTTGAAACGGTTGCTGCGGATGAGGATGAATACATCGACACCCGTTCAGAGGGCGAAAAAAGAAGATGTGATGAGAGGGTACGTAATGTCATAGTGTTATAAAAATTCAATTCACAAACACATTTTAGAATAAAAAATGTCACACTTGCGAGGTTTCTAAGGATACTTCAAATGTCGAAGTTGAGATATATGAGAATAAACCCAATAGAACGGTCAACAAGTTATGCATGGATGAAAAGGCAAGATTAAGAAAGTAAAGTAGACGATAACAAAAAAATCATGTTTAGCTGATTGCACTTTCTGCATGCTGGATCTCATCATTGACTACACAAATATATCACATTAACACGTTTCTGACTCATATCGAGAAAAATCGTGAAAAATTGGTAACGTCTATGCGTCGCATCGCGGGAGCATTGAATTTGGCTAATTCTACATGGGATCCAGAACTGTCTCATAGAATTATGTGCCAAATGTATCGTGAGTACCAAAATGCTGTGAACCGCAGTAGCAAAATGCTCTATTTGACTAACATTGTCTGGCGCTTTTCTGAGAGTACAATGCCACACGAGGTAGGTGCGTCTTTACTAATCGTTCTCAAAATTTACATTTTCAAGGTGGCTAATTTTCCATATTCTGCGGAATTCTTCGTTATGAAGGAGGATTTGTCCATTCCGAATCCATCTCAAATGTTGGCTTTTGATGTCATCGACGCCTTGGGAAAATACGCTAGCTTTGCAACGCATTTCATTCGTCTCTGTCGCGAAAAAATTGACGGATCGGACTACATCGTTTACAATATCATTCTTGCGCAGTCGTCAAAACGCTTTGTTCATAAGACTTCTGAGTTTGCTTCATAATGTAATTTTATGCAAATGTTTTTATACATATACATGTCTGAATACATATATATATTTACACAGGCAAAACGCGACGGATGAAGTCCGGGCGAAGTCCGGATATTTGAACGTCACGGCTAAAAAACGGGCCAAGTACGGACCAAAAATTTCTTTGAAAAACGCCGCGGTAAAAAAACGGACAAAGTCCGGAGATTTATAGGCCACGTTTTTAAAACGTGTTAATTACGGATCTTGATTTTCAGGATAAAACGCCACGGCTAAAAAACGGGCCAAGTACGGACCAAAAATTTCTTTGAAAGGCATCACGGACAAAAAACGGACAAAGTCCGGAGATTTATTGGCCACGTTTTTAAAACGTGTTAATTACGGATCTTGATTTTCAGTATGAAACGCCACGGCTAAAAAACGGATTAAGTACGGACGAAATATTTCTTTGAAAGGCATCACAGACAAAAAACGGACCAATTACGTGACATTTTTTTCGAGTGAAAATGTCACCGACAAACAAAGGACTATTTACTGATCGACACTTCCTGGCTGAAACGTTACGACACAAAAGTTAATTAATATTTAATATAACGGCTTCACTGGAAGCTGTGGCGACCGATGGCTGATAATTAAATTTTCTTGTTGCAGGTTGCCCGATACCGATGCGGTAACCATAGCACGGCTCGAGACTTCCTTTCCTAAGATCGATGTGTCTAAGTTCGCTGCTGTCGATTCACCGTTATGCGTTCTAACTGTTCCGCTCCATATTTATATTCGTTGTTTTGTAATGTAGAGATAATGTGGAAATGGGAGAGTGGGCGAGACGATGAGGCGGTGGGGCGAGAGAGAGTGCGAAATGAAGAGACGCACGACATCATGCCATCGGGCAATGTCCAGCAAAAAGAGGGCCGCGGCCGAAGTTCACCTTTATTTAAATGCAAGTCCCCAATCGTAAACACCGATTTAGTCAATTACTTATGCTTTTAGTCGTATTATTTCAGTTTATTAAGTTGTTTCCCCAAGCCCACCATCCACCATATTTAGTATCATCAAGTTTGTTATTAGTTTGTATCGCTTTGTTAACATTTTGTTCGTTTTCGTTCAATAATGAAGGTTTAATTACCCAAGTTTGAGGTTTACTCGACTTGTTTAACGGTTCCAATACCGTATCATTATTTGGAAAAGTTACTGTTTTATTCCATTGTAGTTGAAAAATGAATAGTGTTCCTTTGAAATTGTTTTTTCAGATTGTAAATGGGTCATTAGGTCATTTAAATAAATACAAAAATTTCCCAATTTTCGTTCAAGTTTTGATAAAGACTACGATTTCAGTCATGGGACGGTCATATCGAAGATTTCTACCATCTTTACCAACAAAAAGTATGTTAAAATTGCATAACTATTTGCTATACTCTCTTTTACTACAATAGGATCAAGAGAAGTATCTTCTTCAAGTGAAGAAAACTTATCTGAACCGATTGATGTTCAACTTTCTGAGTCGCTCAATATAGACATCGATGAAGAGGAAGAAATGTTTCAATGGGATGTGAATTGTGACGAAGTTGAGGAAAACGATGTTGAGGAAAACGATGTTGAGGAAAACGATGAGAAATCTTCAGAAGATTGTCCCCACAGCGGTAGGTAATTTGTCTTAATACTAATCGCCATTTTCGAATAGACTTGGCGCAGTATTTAGCGAATGTGTCGGACGAAGTTTTGACATTCGTAACTTCAGCGTGCATAGCTCGAAGTACCGATGCGGGTAAATAGGAAAAAATTACGAAGAAGTAAAGAGGCAATTACAGATTTCAAGAGATTCCTTTCTTCTCATAAAGATTTAACATTCCGTCGGCAAAGCTTCCAGCTATGGAAGAACAATATGACTATTTATAACGCGCACTATGTGTGCAATAGTTGTGGGAAAGAAACAAATAATATGTTCGCAAAATGGTATAGACGTTGGGCACTTTTTATCTATTGTTTGGGTTTTCAGTTGTGGAACTATAATTAAATATGTTAGAATTGGAGGAATTCAGCAACTCTCGGAGATAGTGGAGGAGTACTGGACAGATATTCATCGGATAAGAAGCGAAATAAAAAATGGGACAAACAAGCATCACAATCTGAATGGAGAGACATACCAACAGGCGAGATGCAAAAGGCTCAAAAGGCTTTGTAATTTATTCGGCCGCTTCGTCAACGAAACGAACGAAATATCCCAAAATACCGGACAAGTTCTTCGAAATTCTTGGAAGTAAGTAGATTTGAAGTAACATTGACCGGCTAAAAACTTGCGCCTAGTCCATATTGGCCAATGAGAAATTGAATGGTAAAAACTATGCTTTTTTTCAGAAATATTACACCGAGGCTTCGATATAAAAAGTGAAGGGTGGGAAGAAACCGTCGTCGTTTCTCATATACGAGAAATGACAAGAAACTTCATGTAAGTGAGCAACGCGAATGTTATATATATGCTATATACTGTGTTTCAGCGATGATAAACGACGCGGAAAAACCGCCAAAATCGAAGAGTTAATGGAAATGTTCCAATCCAGGTAGAACACGCGTGTGCAAATGGAATGTGCAAATATTTTTTTTTTGTTTTTAGAATTATTTTTGTTCTAGTAATTCGATTCGAATCGAATACAACAAATTTCGGATACAAACTTGATCGAAAATTAAGTTTGAAATTTGTGGTACTCGATTACTCTTTGGAAAAACCCGAATGTACTCGTATTTGGTGCGAAACTCGGTGTATTCATTTCGAATTTTAATGTATTTGATTGTGAAACAAAAAATTGACTCTTTCGTATCGAATACGAATTAATCATTTTACAATCGAATACGATTAAATTCAAAACGAATATAGCGATTGCGATTCGTAAATAATTTTTTTTTCGATTTTTCTTAAATAAAACTTTTATAATAATGCTGTCTATATGATTTCAATTTTAATTTTGATTATTATACGAACGGAAGAAAAAAAAGCATGTGAAAAACGCCACCGGGCGAATCACGGTCCGTTCCCGGATACGCTAAGACGTCCGTGTCCGGTACGTCAGCGACACGCTGGAACGGTCAATAACGGACCGTGATTCGCCCGGATTTCATCCGTCGCGTTTTGCCTGTGTAGAAATAAAAAACATTGGGGGCTGTGCTTGGCAGCGTGTTGGAACCTTTTCAGTATGATAAAATCAATATCGAAATAACTGTGTTAGTGGGTCGGATTCAAATTCAAATTCGTATTGGGCATAGAAACGAAGAACTGGTCTCAATAATTTTTTCATTTCTCATGGTTTTTTATCACGGGACCGTTTTTGTGCAATTATAAGTTTTTGTTGCAATAATAGAACGCTTAAATAAAAATGTGCATCGTTCATATACGGTGCTATGAGAAAAGGAGAAAATTGGCTGCGTGGTGCAGTTGGTCATCGCGATGTCGGTTGCGCTGAAGGTCGCCGGCTTGAGTTTCTGCAATGTTTTTCTTTTTTTTTACTTTTATTCACTTAAGTATTTTGATTTTTCCTTTTTCTTAAGCTACTATTAGGTCCAGAAATTAATCTCCGCGTTATTTTTCGCATATTAGACTATAAAAACTGGACAAAATTAAACAAAACTATTATTCAAAATAATTTCCGTCGTTAGTAACAACATTTTCCCAAGGTTTGGGCAACTTATGGATCCTATCATAATAGAATTTTTCTGGTTTGACCGCCCATCCTGTCTTTTTACTGCGATTTCATGTCTAAACTGCACTAGTTTATGTTAATAGCGATTCGCAGTGATTGTTTCGCTAGGTTGGAGCAGTTCAGGGTACAGAATTCCTTGTTGGTCCCACCATATGCACAGTAAGACCTTCTTCCCGTGGATGTTGGGTTTTGCGGTCGAAGTCGTCGGTTCACCGGGACTAACCCACGATTTTCTTCGCTTCTGATTGTCGTAGTACACTCGTAGTGTGAAAAAGACTTTCATTGAAATCTGTCCAGCAAGATTTGTGAAGTTGTTTTTCTCTGACTTTTGTTGCGTTCTGAGAGATCATAGGGTACCAATTTTCCTTTTTTTTGAATCTTCCCCATTGCTTTCAATCGATAGGAAATCGCTTTTTGGGTGACGCCGAGAGATGCCGCGAGTTGTTCCTGTGTTCGAGCTTCATCCAACAAAGCCTGAAGTTCATCGTCTTCAAATTTTTTTGGCTGTCCTGATCGGTCTTTGTCGTTGACGTCAAAATTTCCCGATTTGAAACGCTGAAACCATTCTTAGCAGGTTCTTATGGATGGTGCAGCATCGCCGAACGCTTGGGCAAGCATTTGGTAGCTTTCTTCTTGAGTTGGAATAGGAAAAGAAGAGCTTCCCGCAAATTAAGTTTTTCTGGCACAAAGGTGGACATATTCTGAACCCAAAATAATGATTTTTTAAATAGTACGTGAAGAATGTTATATATAAGTAGAACACAAAATATCAACAACAACAAAAAAAAAACGCGGAAATTAATTTCCAGACCTAATAAATTAAAGTTAATAGAAGTCTCATAGGAGATTGAGCTTAACAGCTCCTTCTCCCAACTTTTCGACGATTTTTGTACAATGCGAATTTTCTAAAGAAGCGAGTGTATTGCTCTTTGTGCATTGCGATGGACGCGGTCATCATCGGATTATCCTGCCCAGCCCCCTGAAACTCAAACACCACGGCGTTTTTTGAATCAGAATACAATGTTAATCATTTTCAGATAAATCGAAATCAAGTCATGTGAGATCTTATGCTTTCAAATCCTCAACATTTTTATCGATAATCAAGAAATGTACTATCTCTTTAACATATGTATACAATATATGTATACAATTAAACAGCGTTTCTTGATTAAAACTTTTGAAATTACTTCTATGGGTTTCAACTACGCAGATCAATTTTCTTGATTTTCGTAAGTTATTGAATTGATTGATAATCATAAAAGTAACAATTTCAACTAATATCTTTTTAATTGAAGAAAAATATTCCTGTGTAATTCAATATAAAAACAAATGTTGAAAACTCTTTAGCCGACCAAGGCAAAAATAGAAAAAATTATCTTGACGTCATAATTTTTTTTGATCGATGAGTGGTGGAGCGTCCATTTCTTTCATTTTTCCAAAAACCGTCATTGTGAAATGAACGAAAATTTGCTGTCGCTCGTGAAAATTACGGAAAAGTTGGTACGTTGAAATTAATTTGCTAACATTTTCTATATAAAAGTGCAAAAATTTACTAATAAATGATATTCAGGATCGTCTGCAGTATACAGCAGTTCGCTGCAGGTATATTTATAATGCGTGGTATATAGTCAATTTGCTCGATAAAAGTGATCAAAAGCGTAGAGCACTATTGGTTATGATTAACAAAATTCGCGAAGATGATGCCGACAAACTAAAATGGCATACTGAAATAACTGAAAATTTAAAGATTATGAACGATTTCTGTACCGAAATAGTCAATTTATTAAATCAATTTGTTGATTATCAGGCCGAAGTAAGTTTTAAAAAATCTTTGATTCCTTCTTAGAATCAAAGATTTTCAGCTTATTGAAAAGCATAACACTTCATTTTATCACGATAAGAATTTGTCAAGTTTTCTCTCAACTTTTCATAAACTTTGCTGCTTGTGCATTGAATCATTTCACGAAACAACTAAGGAAGCTGTAAGAACCTGCAGAATCGCAAAGCGTTGGCATATGAAAGAAGTAAGTTTTGTTTTCCTTTCAAGATTTTCTTATTAGCATAATCCTTCTGAAGCTGAATTATAATCAGTACATCGTAATCGGTGTTCATAAAATATCAGTTTTTATTGAAACGGTATTGTTGTAGTGGTGTGAATTCTATGTTTGTCTGCGACTCTTACCGGTTTACTGTTATTTTACTTCTTCCAAACCGTATTCCATTTGTTTGTTTAGTGTGCTTGAAATGCGGTACGCACATTAATACAATAAAATATGGGATCCATTGGCAAAATATCAAAATGATTATGGTCCCTTGTTTCAGTTGTTAAGCGACGGCACGTGCACATTTTCAAACCCAACAAACACAACTTCGTTATCTAATAGCCAAATCTTCAGCAACAATACCGCAGACCAACCGACCGATAATATTCCAGTAGTTACCATTTCCGATTAATACCCATTTTCTTTTTTTTACACCTTATATATCATATAAAAGCCGAATTTATTTATTTTTTGGTTATTACAATTGAATTAAAAAATGCAAAAAAAAAATGAGATGAACGCTAAAACAGTAGGATGGTCAATTTGTTTGAGACGCAAGCATTAAGCTGGTTAGAAGCAAATGATAGCTGATAATGCCCGTTTCTCTAGTTTGCAGAAGAAAATTCCCCGTTCGAGTGTGATTCGGCTGCATTCGTTGAGGTAGAGGTCTGCTCCGTCTTTGTGAAATTTATCTGAAATGTACAAGTTATTTGGAGTCTAACGTATTTATACATAATTACCCCCACGCGATTGTTTCCATTTTTACACTGTGCACCGCGGCGACAACCGTTGCTGCCTCTACCACCATTTCTCAGTTGGTTGTCAGATTGCTCCGCAGTGGTCTAGAAATCTATGTTTTTTTAAAGCGTAAAACGGTATTCACTTGTTTTGTCTCGCCGTTTTTCTCTTGATTTTTTTCCCTTCGTTCTCCATTGTTCTTCTTTCGATTGCGAGTTCTACGCCGGTTCTGTCGTGGCTTCTTGTGATCTTGTGAGACATTATCACGTGAGCGTTTCTCTGAGGCCGTACCGGAGAACTTCACCTGAAGTGCATCCCCTTGCTCTTGGTGTACAAATTTCCGTTCAGAAAGATGATGCTCTACAGGCATAGCCTCTGCCGGTTCTGAAACTTGTGTCTTCATCTCTTCTGCAGTATGGAACTTCATTCTAAGCTGGTCTTGTTCCAAATTCTTCCCCAGCGAATCGTCCATTTTTTGTCTCGCCAACGAAAGAGCGTCGAATTGAATTCGTAGCTCATCTTCAATTGACGGAACGGCGATGGAATCTCTTTGCTCGTTTGTCCTGGGTGTCAATCCACGCAATTCCGCCAAATTTCCTTTTGTTGACGAATCTTGTGGGATGCCACTACGTGGCGCCAGCAATTGGGAAAACATACCAGCCGGGTTCTTAAATTTTCAAATAGAAAAGTATGGACAATTATTTAAAAAAAAACCTCGATTGTTGTATTTGTGAACAATGACTCGCACGCTTTATTGTAGTAATAATCCCTCAGACTTTGAGGACCATTACTAGAATGATTGCGACCGTTCATCTAAATAAGGAAGAATAACAAAAAGCTTCGAAATGTGGCAAGAAACCGAGAAATTTGAACGCGTTAGAATGTTGCGCAAGAATGCAGCAAAATGGATGAAATGGCGCAACAAACAATGTGATGGTGGCAGATGTTCAAAAGTAGAAATAATTTTGTCAATAGTTTTCCGAAATCTTTTTTAAACTCAACAAATTTATAGCACAAAACCACAAATTGCTTGCTAGTGGAATAGACGGAATTCTATAAAAAGTAGCAAAATGTTTGAAGTATATGAGCAAATGAAAAAAAGGAGATCAGGATGAAAAATGTTGAAACGCCGAAAATCGAAAATACTGTGTGGCGTTCGCAGAAAAAATGCGATGACAACGATATGGTGAGTCAGTAATAATGTTCCTCGCCCCCGTTGTCGCTCCTGCGATGCTTCGATTAATGTCTAAACGCTCCTTTGTTTTTACAATCACTACCATCTTATGCGGAAATTTCTTGATGACGATTTTTTGGTTTTCTGTCGACATTTTTCCTACCATCCCCCACATTTGATATTCGATTATGGTCGGCGACGAAAATATCGATTACTAAGCATAGAACAAAAAAGAGAATCCCACGTTTCGTCGCAAAAATTCGATAAAGGATAATTGATCATCGAATCAAATTTCTGAAGCATCGATCCTAAAATTGGAAATAATTCGAAAACGTCATCGGTACTAGCAAAATTATATCGAATGCGGAAATTTATCATTTTTCCTGAAAAATTAAAATAAAAAAAAAATTTGTCACCCTCAATATTGTAATCCTATTTTTGAGATCTGCAGTTCAAATGGAACAACCAGCCTGGCCAAATAACAAATTAACCCATATGAGACGAAGCAAAGACTTAGAAAAAGTTGTTTCAAATTCTAAAATTTGAAAATTTATAGGTGATTTAGCAAAACGTAGTATACTAGAAACTAACACACTCACATTTTTTACGTTGCGTTAAATGGTTTAAAGAGAGCTGCTATAGTGAATTGGATCTTCATGGAACAAACCAATAAAGCAGAACAATGCGTAAGACGTGTTTTACAACCTATTGTGGAATTTTGCCGGAGACAACCCCACAATTTATTAAAAAAAATCCCACTCACAAATATTTATTTTTCAACATTTTTATTTGATTGTTTTCAATTAAATGGTTCTTAATAATGTAAAAACATTTTTTAAAAATGCAACATTAGATTTGAATTCTTGATCGAGCATATCGTTTGGAGTCAATCTCGTCGATATAATCAGCAATTTTGTTCATCTTTGTTAATAATATGTCAATGCTCATGCTGACAACATAAATATATTTCCAGAATTCCTGAAATACCTTCTCAATTAAAAAAACGTTAATTATTAAGTTATACTCCTTCTCTGTAGTGACGAAGATGCTCCAGCTCATTACGAGCATAAGTCTCAATTATTCTCAATTCGATGTTGTATTTTTCGCAAAGCGGACATTGCTGTATATAATACTCGTCAATGTCCTAAATTACTCCACTGAATACAAATACTAATTGAATGTTTTATACTTCTCTGTATGACACGGAATCGTTGATTTGGTGGAGAAGGTAATCAACTCTTTCCTCGTAAGTAGTGTTAACTGCCGGATAGGTGCGTTCAAAATTCCAGAAATCATCAGGAATTGTTACAGTCAAATGGCTCTAAAATATAATTCTAAAGGAGTATTCTTAGCTTTGAGAAACCGTGCGCATCATTCTTCGGTAGACTCGATTGCTCCAAGACATTTTTACCTAAATCATTTTGAGAAGGAATGAAAAACGAAGTGCAATCAAAAATTAAATTAACCGGAAAGGATCCGAAATCTGAGAAAACAATCCTAGCTCAACTATAGTTTTGAAATACTTGCTGCCTTAATGCGAAGGGAAAAACAGGGCACTCTAGTCAGCCTCACATGGCACCGAATAGAGAAACATATGAAAAAATGAGTCTCTCATTCTTGCCAAACGAATAGGCTTTGCTTCAAAAGGGTTTCGTTGGTTCTGAAATAAAAATCCCTTAATACAAAAATTTAAAAATACATAATTTATAATAGGGATAAAAAACATTATACATATGTGAACATTCATCGATCATTTACGTGTGAAATGAATATGTAAACAATTATCAGTTACTGAACACCAAAGTAAGTACTTGGAAAACGAATAATTTTTCATAATAATTAATTAGAAAATTTTTCGAAAAACAATTACTAAGCAGATTCAAAGAAAATTGTGTTAATGAATCATCTAAAAAATATTGAAGGTTAATTTGGACGAGGCAGCGCTCACTTTTCCCTACAAAAATTTGTTCTCACACGGCAAACGACATATTGAGAAAGAAATAAATAAATTTGAGTTTGGAACGTTTAGATATGTATAATGAATTGAAGACTAATTCGTAATAAAGGAGATGCGGAAGAATTTTTCATGAAATCATTCTTCTACCAAATTGTTGAAAAGTCATACATTTTTGCGCGGAGACGAAACGTTGCACTTTTATAACAGTACGAAAAACTACAACGTTTCAAAGAAATTTAAGATAAACTTTTCACCGTATTTGATGTGTTTTTTACAACATTGATACCCGTAGTTTATTTAAATTTTCATCTTTTGTTTATGTGAGGAATTTCAGCATATTTTAACTTTCAATGAAAAAAGACATACACAGCTTTGTTAACAAATTCTTTATGCAAAAAAAGCATTCAATGTTGGATCTCATTTGGCTTTATTTCCTTTTGCCGTTTGTCGAACTCCTTGAACAAGTCCATCATTCCGGCTATCTTCGCCATAATCTTGTCTGCCTTGCGACAAAAGACGTACATGTAAACCCAAAAGAGCTAAATCTATTTATTATAAAATTATGATTGCTTCGGTTTACATATTCCTGGAATTCTCCGAGACGTGGCAATCTTGCTCTTCCTTTGTCTTGCAAGATCGTCACCTTTTCGTCGTACTCGCGAAGTTTGCGTGAACGAGCAAAAAAGCTTTCAGGAATGGCCTGAAGCCAAATAATTTTTTAATTATTTTCAAAAAAATCCACACTTTTCTTGCGTTTTCCATTTTGTCGATGACCGTTTGAAGAATGAATTTCCTGAATTCGGCATTCGAATGGAAACGCGGATAGAGCTTCTCGATGTTCCGATATTGATATGGAACCTTCTTTTCCATCTGTAACGTGTATGCTTTATGCAATATGTTCAAATTTCTTACCCAGGCCATAATGAAAGTCTCAGATTGCTTCTGAAACAATAAGAAAATGATTAACGGAGGGTAGGCGGGTATTTTTTAATGAATCTGTTTTGTGCTAACCACGCCCTTAAAATGAAATGAAAAAAATTATTCCAGAGGGATTGGATTTATCACCGTAATTAAGAGCTCACTTCGTTTTTTTCTGAGAAGCTCAAATTGAAATTTTGTCTACATCGTGACATAAAAAATCGTGAACCATTCAAACATCATAGCCAAATTATGGGTTCTACATGTGTAACCATGGCTACATTTTGTGGGATCATTTGTTTTATGAGAATATCAAGCAGAGATAAATATTTAAAAAAATACTGATTATATACGCGGGATTTGTCCAGGATATTGTCTAAATTATCAAATAAAAAAGTAAAAAAAAAGCAAAAGTGCACGCTACATAGAATTGTTCATGGCGATATATCCACCTTCTTTTATATAGCTCATACATATGCACAACTTAGAAAAGTTTGGTGTCGGCATAATTCGTTGAAACTTAATGGAAGAAAATTCAACAAGGGTCAATACAAAATCACAGCGAAATTCTCAAAACTCCCCTTCCCCTATTTTTTCAAATATCTATTTCAAATTTTGATATTTATTTCAGATTCCCAGTTTTAATAATACTTTTGTAGCATTCTTTCATCTCCCGGTTTTTGATTTCTTATTCGTTAATTGCACAAAATTCAAAACATGTTTTCAATTATGATTATTTGAATTCAATTATTAGAATTTTTAATTAACTTAATTAAATTTTAATTAATATTAGTCATATGCCGAGTTCGTTAAGATCATCAAAATTATAGAAAAAGCAAAAAAATCATCTGGATTTTTTTCGAATGTTTAAGAACAGTAAACTTGTTTTTTCTAAATCTCTCATAGTTCTTAAGTTATTATTTGTCTCTTTCAAAAAGAAAAATAATATGCGCACAACAATTCGAACATTTTCAAGAACCAATTGCGCCTATTTTACTACTACTTTCATTAAAATACCCGTATGAATAAGAATTGTTAGCAAAAAAAAACGTCAATATATACAATCAAAGTGAAGAAAAATGTTGGATTATAGGCAGAATATTGAATTAAAATGAAAGATGTTAATTTCAATAAATAAAGAAACTATGAAAAAACTGTGCAATCCTTATTACCAGTTGATGAGCTATTACAAACCCATATTTTACAATATTGTGATTGAGGATTTCGTACACTATTTCTTAGCCCCATAGTTCAAATCAAATAGGGCTGCCAGGTATTGTGCACCGTCGTAGATGATATATGTGCTCTTCACCTTTCTTGGGTTATAACGCACGCAACAAACAATGGAATAAAACATAAAAGTGTCAAATATTAATGTATTCTCATTCTTCGAGATCCAATTTTTTGAATAAAATATTTCAAACCGAGAATGAAACTAATTTCCACAAAGTAGTTCTAGTTATATTCATTTTAAGATTATTGAGAGATTTCATAGCAATTCTAATAATTTCCTTAACAATAGAGAACATTATTACGCTTTGACAAATGACAGCGAATCGGCAGAATATGTGCTTTGTTGCATCCAGTAACAATAGAAGCTAATTTGAATATTGCACGTGTTACTTCGGTTCAAAAACAACGGAACATTTATAGCTTTATAAATTTCATATGTCAAATGAGTATTCAATTAAACAATGCTGGATGAATATGTAAATAATTTTTTAAATTTTAATTAGAATATTGCAAATTTGAATTGAATTAAATACATACATAATTTCTTATGCATAATTGCAGTTTGGTTTTTCTTTGTCGGGCCGATTAGGACAATCAGCATGGTGATGGTCTTGCTCGAATTTTTGTAGACGGTCGACGACATGCTGAATTTTATCGAATATTTTATCCATATTGGCAGAGCATGTGTTTAGATATGTCCAGAATTCCTAAAGAAATTTGTTATCTTTAAATATCAGTTTCAAGTTATACCGCCTCAGACATTTCGCTCATTTTTGGCATGTTTTTTTTAATGTCTACAAGAATTTTATTTATTTGGCGACAATAAATCGTTATGAAGCGGCTTTTCCGTTGAGTGTTGTTTAAATGAAACTGAAATATCTGAATTCATTATAAATGAATATTGATATGTTATACCTCTTTCAATTTTTGCGACATTCTAATAATAACTTTACTACATTCGTGACGATTATTTGTAGTTGTGTGAAGATCGCTGAAGTCTTCGCACTGGCTCATCTTTTCTATCTGAAAATTAAAAAAAATCACTATAGAAAAAGGTGGAGTTGTAAAACAAATAAGTTCAGATGAGTAACAGAGCAAATGCGTACATAAAAGAGAGTAATATATAGTTGAAGAGACAAAATAGGGCCCCCGGTATTAACGAGTTAAAATATGCATCCTGGCACGCATGTGCAAAATTTCCGAAGAATTCCGTATTTTCTTATTCTAATGGAATTCGAAATTGGCTCAAATTTTGAAATTATTCTAGAGAAACTATAGACGAAAAATAGATTTGTTTTATAATCAATGTAGAAAAACATTTTAGTATCTGTTAATGAGCAGCTGAAATGAGAATATGATGACTAATTCAATAACGTAGTTGAGTGTAAGACTTTCAGGTAGTTACTGCCGGCGGCCATCGACTGCACGTAGGAAAGCCAATTTTTCATATGCCAAGTTTTTACGAGGCAAAAAGAAATGCGCGAGACAGCGTGCATTTTAGCGGATGTTAACCATTCAGATAATTATTAATTTACACATACTGAAAAATGCACTGATTTTGCAAAATTGAATACCCCTGGATGAAGCTAAATTATGTTGATCGACAAGTTCGTTAGCTTGCAAGGAACAAGAGACTCTGTCTCTTTCTCAACCGGTTTCCCTTTTCGATTTCTCGTGACTAGATTGACACTGCTGATATGCCCTATAAAGAATGCCTGCACTTTTTAAACCCGCGTTTCCAATGAAATTGTTCGGTTCATGAGATCTTTGGATGAATTTTTTCACATTATTCACAATTGACTCGCTCAAAAAATGTATTTTGAAGGACTTACAATGAATATAAACATTTTGTGGTACAGTTATATCAATTTTCCAAGTACTAAACGATAAAATTTAAAGAATGATAATGGTTTGACACCAGTATATTTCAAATTAATAAAACAAACCGTAATAATAAGTACAAATGGAAAATGAAAACAGTTTGAAAAACACTTCCCTCCCACATTTATGTACAATAAATTGACTTGAATGAAATGAGTAATCTACGGACCTCGATATTTGGGACAATGAGGTTTTCTTTGATTAAATTATTGGGTGATCAAAATGCAAAAAAATGTAGTGCTCAGTTGGCTATGTAATTTGCTTTGCCTACAAAAAAGAGAAAAATAGTTATTTATCTCTTTATAGGAGAGAATATATTGAAACAAAACGAGATATTGAGATATTGGAAATCTCTCAAAATTTAGAAGATATATGGGAATATATTCTCAACGTTGAGAATTTCATGAAACTTTAATGACAATGGATATATATTAACTCAATTCGAAAAGTACGCACCTGTAAAATGTCAATATATTAACTATTAAATTTCGAACAAAAAATAGATGCATTTAAAAATCAGACGTCATAAGAATGAAAATTTTATTTGAACATAAATTTCGAATGTCAAAGTATGAATGAACTAGAATGACGTCACGAATTTTTGGAAAATTCACTGCTTTGTTTGTTTGAGCAATTTCTATCGGAAATAGTGATTTCAATTATATCAAAAAACTGGCATTACTCAAAGAAATTTTTATGAAAAATGATAAGATTCTTTGATTTTTTTAGTTCAAAAATTTGGTGATATATATATATCAACGGCAAATATCAAATAACAACTAAAATGTAATGCACATCGAGGGCGTCATAGTGAGTGCCTCTTCATGGAATGAGCCAAATTCTATTTCAACGATGCCCAAAACCTATTCATGATTCCAGCAATAAATTAAAATGTTGATGCGCAACCCAATATTATGATCTTATCTCGCGTTGCCTGGGAAACGAACAGATGCTCGAATATGTATGAAAATTTTTAAATGAATAAAATAAAGCTTAGCTATCTCATTTTCTTTAATTCCCGATTTACTTTAATTGAGCCATATATTAGGAAGTCATCGGCCAACAAACTAAGAAGGTATGAATGAGAGTAAAATCATTTTCACACACATTCAAACATGTTCGAACAGGATATGATGTGAAAATGTATGGTTTTTGTATGTTAGAGATAGCCACATGTGTTGCCAAATTGGGTTAATTTTTTAAAACATCTTGGCTTTATATAACTTTGTCGAAAATTTCGGGATGTACATACTTAGACCTATGTAAAAATTTCATTTCGATTGGACCGCTCGTTCAAAAGTTATTATGAAACATAATTATTTCGTATCTTTTTCTGCGGTGCTGTATTTCCTTAACTAGGGAGATGATTTTATTATTCGCGTGATAATTTATAACAGGTTATATACATTTTGATTATTAAAATCAAGAAAAGCTGAAATGATTCAATGGTGCAGGTGCATATTTGGAAAAATGCAGGTGAGGGCTCTCTTCTGCTTAGTATAATTATTAATTTTATATGATCATACGAAAACAATTTCGAGCTGTTAATTGTTTTATTACAAAAGTTTTTCTTCACTTTTATTTAATTGATGTAGTTTTAAAGTATTATTCGAGACGCACGTTCAAAATTCATCAACATATTATAAGCGAAAATTTTTACAATGATAGTAAAATAGGAAAATATATCAATGATAATTATTTATTACTTGGGTAATTTATATTATTATTGCCGCAGTGAGATTCAAAAAAATATTTATACTAATTTTTCGCTTTAATAGTTATTATTTTTATAACTTTTTTTAATAGTTTTTATTTTTAATAGATATTATTTTTATAACTATTATTGAAAAAAAAACTTGTAAATCTCCCCGCCTAAAGCAGTCGCCGAACGCCAACTATGATATACTAAGAAAACAGTTATTGCTAGGAAAAACAAAGAATTAGAAAAAATTTCCAGGCGGCCAATAAAACCACCTTGTAAGATCGAAAAGTATACGAGTTTGTTCGAAACTACTAGATTTAATACTTGTGCAGAAACCAGGTTTTTCCTTGAGTAACTGAAAAATTGTCTCTGATTAAGACAATGATTAAACTTTCACGTTTCCTTCTCAGGATTTCTACTCGATTTGCATTTTAATACATGAATTCATATTTAACACGGAATAATTTAAAAAAAAAAACACACAAAATTGCAACGGTGACGTTGACAGTTTTGGTGGCCGCATCAAGAACTGACTAAGTAAACAAAAGACGTGGCTCAGCGAAGATGAATGGAGTTTCAAAAAGAACGTATTATATTGAACCAAACATGAGTAAAATGTTAGAAGAGGCATTTTCCTAAATGCTTCATTAAACCTGGGTGTTTCACTTTCAATAATTTTTATTAGTAGCAAAAATCAAGAAGGCTACGGCTAAAAATAATTATTTTTTTAAACTTGAAACCAATACGAGATGATACATCTAACAATAACCACAAGATTTACAATCCATTGCTCTATTATTTGACATACCAGATGTTGCACCAGCTCGCAACTATTCCATCTTTATTTTTTTTTTCAATTTACATTTAATTACTTTGTAGCAGATATGACATTCCTCTTGTTCCTACATAAATTTTGAAAATCTTTTGTTTTCGACACGTCAATTCTTTTCCAAACAAAAGTCTGAAGCTCTCAATCTTGCAACCTATCTCCTACATTAGGTAGTTCCCGCCCATCGGACAGAGTTCGAGCGTAATCTTTCTGCGCCTCTTCTATTTCGTTTTTTGGCGCGCGTTCCTCATTTGTGTGCCATTTAAAAAATCTAATTGTTTGATTTTGATTTGATCAGTAATTACCTTATAGTATTTTTATTCACTTCTTGGCTTTAATTATAAATAACAAGTACAGCATATCCCGATAAAACGCTAAGGTAGAGTTTTCATGCCCCACTTCATTAAGTTTAAAAACCTATTGTTTCTGAAAAAGGTATGTCGAGGCAAAGAGAATTCCAGCCAGCCTACTATGTATTTTAGTGTTTTCGCATTTAATATTCAGTCAAGGTCAAATTAACACATACGTATTTCTACACAGATTTCACAAAATTGAAGTCCTCGCGGCCGGTTAGTAGCTTGAAACCGATAATAGAAAAATTTAATTTTTCAGGAAACTGTAGCATTTAACTGTGTTATTTTATAATTGTGAAGTCTACTGTTTACTGCGAATAATAAAGGGTAACTTTTTCAATTGGTTTTGCCAGCATATTGTTCATCAAGTAAGAAAACTGAGAACAAAGGTATGTAAAAAATTTTATTCAGAGAATGAAGAGTTCAAGCATCAATAATATTCCGATTAATTTCTACTTCGATGCAAGTGAAGTCATGCCAAATAATCGATCTGATGAGCAGAGCTTCAAAAATCCGATTGCAGTCCGATTTGTTAACAAAGAACAACCAAACAATGAAAATGAGGGCTCTTCTAACGAATTCTCAGTTTTCGATGAAGCGAACTATAAGGCAAGTTATAAGTTTTAATATAATATACAGTTAAGATTATAAAATTTTCAAATGTAAACTGAAAAGGTATGAAATATGTTGAAATTTAAACAATTACGGGATTTTAAAACGATTTCCTGTTTCAGAGACTCTATGAAAACCGTTTCGAAAATGATAATTATGAAGGAGAAAGATCGTTTTCGGAGTTATCGTTTTATACGGCATCTGAGTTCGACGAACTTGTTCTAGTGGAGCAAGATGAAGAAATGAAATCATATCATACTGTCAATTGTCAAAGTGAGAAAAAAGAAGTTGATAATCTTATCCAAGAAAGAGATGAGACGGAGCACGTGACTGAAAATAATAGTCAAGGAAACGTGGTTGCCAACGGGGAAGTGACATGCTTAGCGGAAATCGATGAAAAACAGAATCAAGATGAGGCAAATGTTCAACAGATGGATCAGATGGCTCATGTAAACCGGCGACCTCAGCAGAAGGACCAAAATGAACGCGAAGAGAAAAATCAGCAAGTAGACGACAAGAAACATCAGCAGAGACAAAATCATGAAGAAAATAAAGAGAATGACGATCCACAAAAAAGCATTCACGTCGAAATAGAAGGTAACGTTCTTCAACCACACCGAGAATTTGGAAGAAGCTTCGAGGTCAACGAGAATAGTTTGTATAATCGTTGGTGTAGCAATATGGAAAATCGTATTGTGCAACCTGAAAATCAGGGATGGGAATTCGATCATGAGAAAACTTCGGCGACGAGCATACTGAATGCTTTGGAATGCGCTTGCCAATTCCCACATCAGCTATGGGAAAGCGAAAAACAGGGGCTAACGAATTTCACTTTCCCATTTGGGGAAACTTGGACGGAACAGGGTGAGTATGCCTTAAAAATTTTCTAAACTCGTATATATCTTTACTAAATTTGAATATTGAATTTCAAGAAAATCACTTTGTCAATTTGCGAAATTTTATTGAGAAATATTAATACGTAGAAGTTACTAGTTGAAAGAATCCATTAGAAATTTAAGTTAATCTGTTAGGGATCATAACCCAATAATCTCAATAATTTGATTTAAAATCTACCAGACTTTAATATCGGTATTACAGTGGACGATGGTCTCGTGTTTTGCTATCAATATCAACCAAAAGGCGAGGATATCTTCCCTCTGCGCAGTAAGAATACAAGTACAGCAGCAACGACACAGGTAATCAAGTTAACCGACATGACCGACCTAATCAAAAAAAGAGTTCAATTCAGAAATAATTGTATTTTTTTTCAGCCATTAGCGCAACCAGTGTTTTGGTCATCAAAACAAGAAAACCTGACAGAACAAGCAAAGGAAATCCCAGATGCTGCCGAAAAAGGAGTTTCGTCGAGAGTAATGGAAAGACAATCGGAAGCTATTCAACAAAGAAATGAACCGTTGACATATAGCGCCGTTGCAAAGAAAAATTTACCATTGAAATCTTAAATGTTTTAGAAGCGTTGGCTTTAATTTATTTGTTTATACATTCTACCTAACTCACATTACCAAATTCCACTCATATGTTCGCCTTTGATTACTTATTAGAAATACCTCCGAAAAATTGTCCGACACTTTTTAATAATTAACACTATTGCCTCTTTGTCAAATAGTATAAGCTCGCATGAGGTAAATCATCACGTTTCCGGTTGCTAGAAACATTTTGTGTTCCGCACTTTGTTTATTTTAGTAAACAAAATTGTTTTGAATAAAACAAGAATAATGTTTTAAAATCTTTGAGCAAATATTTTAATATCTACACTATTTTTTAATATATGTATAGTCGGCGTTCAGCGACTGCTCTACGTGGATAAATTACAAAAATGTGTATTTCTCTTGGTCTTGCGCAAACTAATAGATTATTTTGCATTTTATGGGTCGGTTCGATAATTATTGAATCGAATAAAGTTGGAAATTCAAGGAACTACCAAATTCATTAGAAAAAATTACATGAAAGCAACAATAAGAGTTCACACGTGGTATGACAATTTCGAAAGAAGCACGCGTAAATCAACGTAATCGTTTGTTCCTGTGGAACAAATAATGACTAAGTAATTTTTTAAATGTTATGAAACTGTCTTCAAGAATATTTAGTTTATGCAAAAGTTTGAATTAAGCAAAACTCTTAAATTATTAGACAAACTATTCGTAAATGTAGGAATGTTTCTTTTCAATTATATAAAATTTTATAGTTTGAATATTTGAATGCCAATTTAAATTTTCTCTACTTTTTTCTCTGTCATTTTATGTACATTGTCGCATTATGCGAATGTGCGCAGGCACGAGCGTCCTGCAACACGAAATTTGCACTTTGATGCCTCTTTTCGCGCGCGTATGTTGATTTTTGATTTTGTGGGACCACAAAACTGCAAATGGACAGATGGCTAGAGACACGTCAGCAGACGCCGAACTGCAAAAAAATGAGTATAAAAGGATGGTATTTGGCTCATTTAATCAGTTGTCCATCATGAACACCACTTCTACTCTTCTTCCAAGCCAGCATTCTCGCTCGGCCTCAGTTGCTGCTTATGATCCTAGTTCTGGTTCAATTGCTTCGTCTCGTGGAGGCTGCCGGCCGGCATCGTCTGCTGGTCCAAGATCGTCATCTGGAGGAATTTCCCATCATGGGAACAAGCCTTCAAATGGTGGCCGCGGCCCGCTGCCTGGATCCAAAGGATTTCATCGGAACCATTCAGGACCTTCGCGACAACAGTTTCGAAATAGTTCCAGAGGAGGATATCGGTCATTCTATGGAGCTAGCAGCCGGTCATTTTCTCAAGGATCGCACATGGCCGAGTACATGTCTAACACCTTACCGGATCTTTCTACTAGTGCTGTCATGAGACCAGATTTTCGCCAAGACCAGGAATTCCAATCAGGATTCAATCGGGATGGTCCCCTTGACTACTACAATTCCCGTCAGGATTTCGGTCAGGATGGTCGCCCGGATTTACTGCAGGACCCTAGTCAGTTCAGTCGTGATTTTCGTCATGATTTCAGTTGGAACAATCGAGAGTCACGCATTTATTTCAATAGATATTCTCGTCAGGGATTCAATCAGGATTCCCGAGTAGATTTCAATCAAGATTACCAACAATTTTACCAACAGGTATGGAAATATAAATAATACTTTTTTTTTAAATAATTTCTTCAGGGATTCAACTTTAGTTATCCTCGGGACTCTGGTTTTCCAGAAGATGCCAATAATGGTCTTCTACAAGAAATCAATAATGGAAATCCTCATGACACCAACAATGGATTCCATCGTAACGTTGGTTCGGAATACCAAGCGGAGTTCAATTCTGAACCATATCTGTATAACTCATTCTACTTCAACCAGCGCGTTTATAAACCGCAAGAAATAAAGCCACCTTCCTACAAGCCGGAATTTCCTAAGAATATTGTTCCTGAGGACGACGACAACGATCTTCCGGACGACTCTTTAAATTATGAGCGGCAGTTGGCAGCTAATGCAGTTGTGGCCACCAAGGAGGTATTTGAGCTTTATGAAGAAATGGTACGCAAATATCTTCAAATTAGATTATCAAATGCAATTATTCATGTTTAGGAAAAACAGTTCGAAAAATCGAAGACGAAAGATCTTCTCGACCTCTTTGATGAATCCAAAATTGAGCCGTGTGTTCTACAAAACTTGATTGCTCTGAACAAGGACAAGAAGCTGTCAATCTGGGGAGCTCAGCAAAATGCGCTGTTGGATGTTAACTACGTATTATTTTTTCAATTAGATCTATATAATATTCTTTTTAATTTAGTCTGCAAATCCATTTGGTGGCAACAACTCACCTGACGTATCGTTCAACGAGGCTAGCTTCATGTTTTCTCCTCCAACGACAAGAGATAAAGTTCCACTCTACGATCGCTACGTGCCAACTCGTTTGAAGTATCCGTGCCCAAACCCACATTGCTTCACGTGCAATACATTCGTAAGTGACTAGTCAAAAAAATTTATAGTAGCGATTAGTTATTATTTCAGCTTCGTCGTATTCCGCCAAAACCATGGTAATCATGAAATCCAATCATCAATGCGTTACGTTCAAAACTATAACTCCAGCAGGGTGTTTCAAGGTGTTTCACACTTTCTTATTTTCTGTGCCATATGGACTTCGAACGCAGTTTTATCGTCTGTAAAGCCAACTTCTGAATCTTGTGCACTTTTTCTGTTACATTATCTTAGTAAGTCGGTTTTCTTTTTTATCTATTTTCCTGTACCATTCCCACCATAGCAGACTTTTATATTTTTGTGTACCATTGTATTTTACTAACCCAATTTTTATCTGTATTTTACTAACTCAGTATTGGTTTGTCCCCCAGTGACGGTTATTTTGTCTATCTCAGAAGCAGGAATAAAGTTATTTCATGTCATTGAGACGTGTTTGTTCAAAAGTCAGCGAGATAATTCAATTCACTTGGAACACTCCCTAACTAGCAGACACAATGAGCAAAATATGCGCAAGCAAAAGTAATCTACAGCAACGCGATGAATGCAATGAACCTGAAATAATTGAGCAGTGGCTGTCGACAAATGAATTTTCATGTAGCGTCCATCTATTGCGCACCTACATATAATTGATGTCGCATTTCAACAACTTGTTGCTAATATTATATGAATGAAGCACGAGAAACATGAGATGCTAATTAAAGTGGTGCGCTACAGGTTATAAGAACGAATTAGAATGTTTGCAACATATATGTCGAAACAGATGTGCTCTATTCGAAGCGGCATGTTAAAATTTGTAAGATTTTTGTGCAGGAATCCCTTCAATTTTAAACATTGTCCCGGTCGATCACCAGTTGCAATTCAAGTTAAAAAAAAAAGACCCAATACATGATTCCTATGAATTGTGATTGACGATGCGGAATGTGATTTCAAAACATTTTACACGTTTTTTTTGAACGCCGAACACTATTCTCGATGCTGTCGCGACGAATTGTCCTATTTCGAAAACAGCGAACTCGTCTTCTGAATGTGAGAATTATGTGCCAAATTATTAATTTCAGATATTTTTCACGTACTGTTTAATATACACATATATTTATATATAAGTTCCAGAAGTATACGTACACACAAGTTTATTATATATCGTTTCATAAACACCGGTCCACAATTGATACACATATATTGACGAGGTGGCTTCGACATTGTCGTCGTCGTTAACGGATGCATTTGTTCCTATTTCTAACACACGTTGATTCTTGAAGCGGAATAATTCGCATCTTGACTTCCGACGTAGATTTCGGGCGGTGGAAGAGACGCTGGGGGTCCGACAGAGAATAGAAAATGCTCACCATCATTGTGGAGCTCAAGACATCCTTCAATACCGTAGGCTATCGTAGTCTTGTTTGTGAAGTGAGTTGAGAAGGGAGAGAGGGGGGGGGTGGCGCAATAATAAAAAAAAAACACAGAATCACACGTGGAAAAATTCATGTGAATGGTTAAAAAATGTAAATTAAAGCTTGAAGTGCTTAATCTTTTTTACAAAAAACAAAAAAAAATTCAAGAGTAAATTATTCGTATTTTCTATTATTGAAAAAAGGTTTTCTATTTTATCAGGTAGTTTTCATTCTTTTGCAGAAATCTTCTTGCCAATTTTTAAAGCTTTCTATTTGACCAAATATGTGGTGATTCCAGTTCTTCCGGAATATACTAATTATCATTATGTTCATATATAATCGCAATACGATTGAGAATGCATGAAAATGAAAATTGAAGAAACAAACCGTCAATGCAACCGAATCACAATTTTATTGTAAGGTTCTGGTAACCGCATATTTTCCGAAACGAACTAAACTTTATTTAAGTTTATAGTTATCTTTGTTTTCATTGATTTGATATTTAAAGTCTTTTAAGTAAAATCAGTTTTTAGACCAGTGAATTCCATTACTTCAACCTGTTAATAGAGTTTTTAAAAAAATTAATTATTCTTACAATTATTTTAGGCTCTTCCATTATGACTAATAAATATTTCTTAAGATTTGATACATCAACTCATTTGACCTTTAATTACTCTTAATATTAATAATGATTATTGCGAGAATTTTGAATTCTTGCATTGGAACACCAAGTTGAATTATAACATGTCAAGGTGAGCTAAAGATTAATAATTCAACCACAAAGAGTAGCTGTCACCTGCTCAGCTAGTAGCAACAATTGTGCCTCCACCGTAATCCCCGAAAGCATCTAATCCAGTGGTAAACACATGCTGCAACATCTGTTGTTCCGACGGTGGAGACCCCGCCCATTGCGGCGGACTTGATTGGTCGGACCCAGGAATCTACTCCCGTAGGGCCACTTTGCGTCCGACTTTTTTTGCATCCTTCATCGCACCGGCACAGGTCCTCGTCTTTTGATCTGTTTCTTCCGACCCAGTTGTGATCAGCATTTCACGCTAAGTGAAGCCTGAAGTTCGACATCAGTGGCAGAGGTGAGTTGATGCGTGCCATGTCATTTGTGGGTATCTTCCGAAAGCCGCTTTCTCAATGTTTGTCTACTCACACAAAAAATATTTCGGAATTTTTCTAGCACTCAATGTTTTTGAAAATGTGGCAGAGCAGGTAAGCAGTTTGCCATTCCAATCGTTCAATTACTCAAAAGCATAAAAAACTCCCAGTAATTCTCTGTTTGTGTCTTCATATTCTTAGTTTCAATCAAATAAATATTTACCCTTAAATCAAGCTTACTTTAAAATGCCCTCATTATTTTTAACTAAAATTTTTGGTAACTCAAATTAAGACGTTGTCATGGGAAGTAATACTTATAATTTTCCATCTCACTCTCGTTTCCCTTATTAACATTGCCTTACGTAGGCAACCTACGTATATCTACGTAAGAAAACATAATGCGAATCATTACGTGAAATTTAGCAGCAAAAATCTCAATATGAGTTCTGAAAATCTTAATCATCCTTATGCTTCAGCAAACATTTTGGTTGGTTGACTAAAACGCTTAATGAACCCTACAGTAACCCTTTAAGTTCATTTAAAAGTGCACTTTACTCATTATTATTTTCTAAAAATGACATTCAATGATGCATACTGATTGAATACGGTAAAGAAAAAATGAAATAAAAGCCCTTTTTCATTTGCTGAAAGTCTCAAATAATCGACTTCATATTGAACTTTTAAACTCGCAGTGATAAAAAATTGTGCTATGTCGTCGTGAGGTGAGTTTTTTAGAAGCTAACCGTTTAAGAATATGAACCATGCGGTATTAAACATAAATAATTTACACAAAAAAACAACTTTAGCACGTTTTTCGATGACATCGTTTTAAAGATTTAGAAGTCTTGACAATACTGTGCGTCTAATAGGTTTTTCAGTTTGATCGTTGAATTAATTTTTTTTTTCAATGGTGATTATTAAGGGAATAAAAAAAAACGTTCGATAATATTTTTCAAAATGAATTGACTGGCATTTTAAAAATTTCATGAATTTGGTGAACGCTTAATTTAAATATTTTTCAAAATTTTGAAAAAATTAATTTCACAAAATATCGTTGTTTTAATTCAATACAAATACGAACTACATCCAGTCGAAAAAAAAATTCACTTCGTTTAAAAATGAACTGGTGGCAAAACTATTTTTGTTACTTTTTAGACATTTTATAATAAAAGGGCAAGTTGCATAAGTCCAATTTCATTTCTATATTATAAACTCTTGCTAATTTCAATTTGGAAACTAAATCCTTATTTTTAAAAACATGGATGAGATCAGTGCTTTTTAAAAGTGCATGACTAAAGGACAAACTTTATGCGAAATATTGACACACATATATCTGCTGATTAAATGTGCTTTTCGATGCGTGAATGAAATATTGTACTTCATAAAAGTACGGCTAATGTCAGAGAATATGTGAGCACAGATTTTTTCCTACCGTACCTCTTAGACCACGCAATGTTATATATAAAAAGAAGTGCTATTCAATCCTATCAGCACTCATTTAAATATCGAACGACCTCACATCAAAGTTCATGATGGGTGGCATCCCGCTGTTGGCCATGTCATAACATCTAAAATCAATTGGCGTTCCACTCAATTTTCATGGCCTTTGTATGCGGGTTTTAGCCACTTTGCTACTTGTCTTCAACGTTTTTTTGCGCGCTTGTCACGGAACCATGAGGCGCCATTTTGAATCACACGTTAAACGGACATCTAAATTACAATGTTGCCTCAGTGCTATTTTCTAGGTCCCCCCCCGTCCGTGCCTCACTTTTCACTTTATTTGGTTCATTTTTGTGTGTTTCGCTCTCCTTTTGTTTCTCTCTTTAAAAAAAGTTAGAGTAGTTGGTTTCCATTTTTATGCGCGAGTTCGGAGGGAGTAATTTGAATGACCAACTATTAAGATTTTTGACAAGATATTGGCGAGCGACGGGTTCCTTTGCTTTTATAAACCACGGCGTACTTATTTCTTGTATATTTTGCAAAACTTCAAATAAAAAAATATAGTGAAAGTTTTTTTTTATATTTTCTGTAATATTTCACTCAATGAACAATAAATAATAAATCAGTTTGAAAATCTTGCTCCCTTAAATTTTTACACAAGCCATTCAAAAAATTGAAAATATATGTCAAATCAAAGTGTCACTGACAATAAACGCTCCGAGAAATCTAGTTTCCATGCAGCGTCATCAACTTTTTTGTGGCATTGAAAACTATTCCAAATCGGGATAGAAAACGACACCCGCACAAAAAATTCGCAAGCGAATATATCCTCAAATCTCTCGACCTTTTCTCACGTCATTGAGCATTACTCCTATTCGACAGTCCCGCGTGCGTGTTTTTCCTACATCGCGTCGCGCTTTTACATGTACCAACTCTCCTACTTACCTGTAGTTGCAACTAATTACGGGATGGCGGGACTGGCGGCTCCTGCTCGCACTTAAAGAAGATTAACTTAGACTGCAAAACATATGTTGCACGGCATTACGGGTAATTTTAGGATTAGCACAACTGCTTCTATGGCTACTGTACAGTGAGATTTAGAAATAGAAATACATTATTGGTTTT